TTAGACGATTTAGTACTAATTTTATATATTCTTTATAATTCTATATGCTATCGGAGTAAATTAGTATATTATTAAGATAAACTACGTAAATTACGTTAAGTAATCCTACGAGTGTAGTATTAATATATCCTTAAAACGCTCCTAGCGTATTTATTAGCCTAAATGGTATAATAGTATACTTAAAATAACCATATCTAGTCTAAAATGCGGTTTTCTACTTATCTCCGCGATAAATTCGAAGCCGGTAATATATATCTTATAAATCTAGCTTCGTAAAGTACTTTACCTTCATTAATTAGTCTAAAGATTTACTAACTAGCGGTAATAGGTAACGATTCTTCTTAGTTACCGTATTTAGTATCTAATAGTCGACGTATAGATATAAACTTCCGTCTTTCTTCTTTATAAAGAGAATAGATACGCTAGCCGATAACGTACTACGACGTATCTAGCCTCTTTCGAGGTATTCTTTAATATATTTATAAAGAACTTCGAGTTCTAGTCTCGAAAGTAGGTAAAGTAGACTATAAGAGATGTCTACTCTCTCTTTAAGCTCGATCTTTAGCTTATATAGCCCGTGATTAGGGAGAAGTAACGTATCTCCTACCGAAAACACATCCGTATACTATGAATATATGTTAGATAGCGTGTCTTCGCCCCGATTATTACTATTATCCTCGTCTTTATTAATAATTAATAAGGATATAAGATAGATTAGTAATGATCGGGTCCACACGGCGAGGTTCTATGCCTCCTTACTAATAGTTACGACTTACTAGTATAATTTACTACGGTATTATTGGAACGTTAATATCTCCTTCTAAAAATTAAGGATAGGGTTTAGACGTCTAAGCTAAGGCATCCCTAGAATCATATTCTATTAGCTAATATTAGCCACGATAAATTTATTAGATATCTACTATTTTATTATCTTCGAGTCATGAACTTCGTAATTCGTTATAGCTTTATCTAAAGTTCTAACTTTATATCTATTAACTACGATAGTTCGGCTAACTTTACCGAGATTATACGATAATCTATACTCCTTTACAAGAATTAATAAAATATAGTTATCTTCTATACTAGTATCTACGAGGGCCTATATAGTTTTATTACTATTTACTATAGGTAATAATACTTTTAGTAATATTAGGTCTTTACTCGCCGGAAGGCGCTACGGCTCCTCCTAAGTATATATAATTTAGCTAAGAACGCGGTTAGGTCTCGTGTACTAGCCTATTCTTTTTTCGGATTCTTATAGTTAGGTGAAATATATTCTATTTCTCTATACTTATAGTAACGAAGTGCGCTATAATTCTACTATTTTACGATAGGCGTTATATTTAAGCCTATACCTTATCCTTTTCCGTATTAAGAAGTACCGCCTTAATTATTTTAGTATCCTCTTAACGCGTTTCTACCCCGATTTACGCTCTTCTAGTACTAATCGCGGTAAGGTTACTCTTAATTAAACGTATTTAATTAACCTCGTTTCTAACCCGTATAGGGTTCGTCGGTTTTACCTAGAGAGCCACGTTCCTTAAGGATGTGGTAGTATTTATTAGCTTTCTTCTCTAATTTGTATAGATAGTTAAAACTTAATAATACTATTTCTAGTCTTTCGCGGATTAACGGAAGTAGTACTTCGCGAAACTAGAATATATAAATATTTTCCTATAGCGTAGGGATATTATTCTATAGGTTTTAGAGGTATTATAGTAGTTAAGTAGATGTCTAGTTCGGTCGTTATACCACGCTTCTTAACTTAGATAGTATCTTTCTTTCACGTTCTCTATCCGTTCCGAGGGTATTTAGTATAAATATAGCTAAATATTCCTAGGTTATCATAGATAGTAGCTATACTTCCTTCTATCTATCCTATTAATCACGGGATTATAAGTCTAGGTATCGTTCTCCGAACGAAATACGTTATACTTTAGTAGAAAAGAGTAGAGGGTTATCGAGGAAGTACTTTTCGTAGTCTCTCTTCTAGTCTTTCTACTCCTTTTAGTTCTTCCCTATAAATATAGTCGGGTCTTTAGATTTTAGTATACCTAGGGAAGGAGTAGAGTAAATCGGTAACGAAGCGGCCGGGTATACGGTAGATTATTATAACTCTAATAGTAGGTGAACTAATTCCGCCTAAATTAGTATAGGAAGTCGTCTACCTACTATTATTCAGCGTAGTTCTTTAAGAGACTCCTTAAGTTCTTATCTCTTTACAAGGAGTTTCGCGCGTTCTATCTATTCTTTAAGGGTTTAAATCTCTCGAGCCTAATTCGCGACGTATTTCTAAAGTTTAGCGATAGTTTATTATAATACCTCGCGTAGCTCCGCCACGACTCGTTATCTAGCTTTATATTATTAGAAGTTACTTAGCGTATCTACTATTTCTTCGTCTAAAAGCTCCGTGATTTAGTCTAATATTTCTACTTCTCGGTTAGAAACGGCTAGGATTAATACTAATTATAGAGGATCCCTATTATTTAATATAGTATTACTTATCCCTATAGTAGATCGTGTCGACCTTCTTGGTTCTAGTTAGACTATCTTAACTATAGTACTATATAGGGAGTAATTTAAATATAAGAATAGGGTTATTAGATAGTAGTATAGTTAGATAGAATAATAGAGTATATTCTATTATAGAACGAATTACTACCGAACCCTTTCGGTAGGAATCCGAGAGTATATATATAAAGGGACGCCGATCTATCTAGCACGTGACTATTTACCGCCCTTCACGTCACCTTCTAACCCTGTTAGCTAAGATATATATAGGTCGGGTCCTACCTAAGGCTAAGTCCTAATAGATAAGGTTAGTTACTTTATCCTTAACGGAGTAAGTAATAATACTAGGGCCGTAGAACTCCTCTCTTAAGCTCTTCCTAGAGTAAGTAAGTTCTTATAGCTTTACTACTTCCTATACACTCTTAATCTTATTGCCTAGTCTCTACTTTTTAGTAAAGATAAGGACACCTTTAATAACCTATCTAAGGACCTTATTACGGAGCTTACCTTCCTATAAGAGTGGCGGAAAATAGGACTAATTATGGTACTATAGTTAATTATTACGTTTATCTATCGCTTAGCTAAGAGACGATAGAAATTTATTACTATATAGAAGCGATAGTATAATAAGAACGCGATTACTTTAGGTACGAACTTTACTCCTACTAAGCTTATTAAGCTAGTTAAGATATACTAGAATAGCTACTACGACTTTATAGAGCGTGGCCTTAAGCTCCGAGCCGCGATTAATAAGTATATAGAGAAATTCCTCTTCTAGTAGACGTATTGGAGTAGCACCCGGATAGTAGTTAATATAGATATCTTTATAGATAATAGAGACGGAGATTCCGATAATAAAGACGTTAATTTAATAAATAAGACTCTATTATTTATTACGGAAAGTGGACTTAACGGCTACGACTAGAGTATTATCCGGATATATACTAATACCTTATTACTAATTAAAGAGGTATTACTATAAAGCGAGGGACGAGGCTATAAAACTAATTTTAGAGTAATCTAGTAAGTACTTCCTTTAATATGTTACCTAGAGAACTACTTTAATAACCTTAAGGTTTCTAAATCCACGCCTTATATACTAGCTAATAAGGTTTAACTAAATCCACCACTTAAGGACTACTTATAGATAGTAATTAATAACGCGAAGGTAAAGCTAGCGAAGTATTATAACTTAGTAAAGCTAAACCCGCTATATTATAGTAGAACTTATCTCTATCCTTTATAGAAGAACTTCTTTAAATAGGATAAGGAGAAGTTTACTAGATTATATCTATAGAAGACTATTAACTAGCTAGAACTCGACTTCCTAGCCCTTTAGTAGACGTATAAATCTCCGAGACCCTCCTCACCGTTATATATACCTCTATCTTATATATAATCTCTAAAAATACCTCTCTTGAGCTCTCTAATAGGCGAATACCTAAATAAAATAAAGTTAATTAGCTAAAGAAGATAAGAGAAGGATAAACTTAGCCGCTATTGTCGACTCGATAGTAAGTTTAACTATAATAACCCTATTAAGTAGTGGTTAGATCGGAAATTATAGTTTCTACGGCTTTATAAGATAGTAATTAATATTCTATCTATACTAGCCTTAACCTATAACGACGAGTGAACGTTTAGCGAGGCTAGAGATATAATTATACTAAGAAGAAGTAAGATAAGCCCGATTCTAATTAGATAACTATAGGATCTTAAGAGTTAGTAGAGATATAACCTTATTACGGACTAGGAGATTATATAAGGCTAACGTAAAAGTATACTCGTAAGTTTCTCTACGGATTTAAACGATTTAGCTAATATAGAGATAGACTATATAGATATATAGACGTGGACGTGGTAAAATTTAATATATTAACTTAAATAGGCGAAAATCGAGTATATATATAACCTTATTATGGACGGCGTACTTACGTAAGGCTAACGTAAAAGTATACTCGTGAGTTTCTCTACGGATTCGAACGATTTAGCTAATATAGAGATAGGCTATATAGATATACGGACGTGGACATGGTAAAATTTAATATATTAACTTAAATAGGCGAAAATCGAGCAAATTATACCTATTTTTAAGACTTTTAGCTACTTCTACGGATATACTTTAGTCTAGTCTAGTTTAACTTTAATTCTACTACTAGGATTAATAGTTTAATCTAATTCTACGACGGCTAGGATTGAAGTACTTTAGTCTAGTTTAACTAGAGGCCCAAAGTTGAACTGAACTAATTGATAGGAAGTCTGTGCGCAACTAAGAAGCTAATCTATTAATCGTGTAGGGATGAATGGGACTCGAAGATCCATACCCTTTTAAGTAGTTCTAAAAAAGCGAAAGGTCTATTTTTAAACTACGGTTCACAAGGTTAAAACACGCTTAGACCAAGGATGTCTACTGCTAGATTTTACTGGTTTAGAGAGTTTGAAAATCCCTTACTCGTGCTTCTAACTATTTAATTTATCCCTAATATATAGAACTATTAACACTTTCTCCGAGTGCTGTTTCTCTATAGCTATTATTCTACTGTAACATGGTTTCTCTAGTACTATTCACTCTCTTTACTTGCCTCCTTCGCCTTCCTCTAATTACAGCGCTAAAATATCATATCGACTCCTCATGTACCCATAGGACAGGTGTCAGACCGTCTGTAAACGAAGCAATATACGCAGCACAGCGAACCTGGTCTCGTATGGAAGGCTACACTGAGGATGATGACATCAAACATATTCTATGGCGTCTTTTCGGAATTGAAACTCCAGACCATCCTCTTTTTCTGCATATATTAAGCGTAATGCGCCGCATGGGAGAGGCAACAGAAATTGTAAATGAGCCATCTCAAGAAGATCTAGTGACGCGCATCTTCTGTGATGATGACAACCGCTGGAAAAAATCGTCCGTTACAACAAAAAAATACTACTTTTGGCAAACGACCTCAGACATATGGATAGATATGACACCACAATTCAGATCCGTAAGAGGGGGTATTACGAATTACCTGTTCAGCCGTAGTACACCGCCGGACTGCACTAATAAGGACAAAAGAGCTGTTGTCACCCTATATAATAGTACGGATGAGATGTACAACAGCATGACCATCTGCGAGCCGTACAGTAGAATGTCTGGTTTGACGTTAGAAAGGCTCGCAGAGGATTACCCTGATGAAATACCACTTAGGGACAATCGCGCCCCGAGTCCAAAGACAGTCTTTAGCATGATAATACTCTACCATTTACTGAACACGGCGGAGTTCAAAAGTAAGTCTGACATTTCTAAAGCAGAATCACATCTAATAGTAATAGATTTAATACAGCCTCTGCCAAGTGTCTATCTTGATTGGGAGCCATGTGTGATTATGCCAGAGCGGATGGCGGCAAGAAATGTACAGAACTATGGTAAGTGTTAGAAAATTATCCCTGTATTTTTTTGAACTGATGATTGACGTGTTACATAGCGTACCTTGCCATGCTTGCATTGTTAGGGGACTATGGGCTAACGCTTCATTATCGTCCAGATGAAGATGAAGATGAGAGTGAGTTCGATAGTCCAGAAGAGTATGACGACTATCAAGATCGAGGAACGCCCACGTTCGGATATTTAGTTAGAACCCCATATTATGAACCGGGGGCCCCTTGGCCACCAAGGGACTGATAGCATCAAGAGAAATCCTTTATACCGGAGCGCCAGGCAGTAACACAGAAAAGAAGCACTCCACAAACTATTTAGATTATTTTCCTTATCAGTATAATGTATGTTCTTATCGTACACTTATAAGAAATAGTATACCCGACCATTACTACTTAGAATTAGAGTTGTACATGAGTATGATATTCTTCTAGGTTAATGGTATTGATTCTTGAGGTAGCTGTATGAGACCTGTGCATATTCAGAGCTGCTCTCTTCTTATAGATGATATAGTAGAGTGACTTAGGGTTCCTAATTCTTAGTCGATACAATATAATATAACAATGTCCCATAGTCATATTATAACACAGTTGAGGCTAGCAGCCAGCCAATTGTGCAACGATGGATTGCGTGTAAATGGAAGGGAATATCATTGTTATGACGGTTCTGGTGCACGGATGCGGAGCGTTGTTGCTCCCTGGGACCTTGTTGCGGACATATATGATAATATATAGCTTCAGATACAAACAAAAGGTAGGCTGTATGTATCGTGTCGTCGTATATGCCCTTGGTCCGAACTACAAATACTTCTCACAGATCCCTGATATACCCCGTCTGATAACTTCCATACTAATCCCCTTCCAGCCATAAATCCACTCCCCTCCCTCCTTGAATACCATCTCTCCCTCACCAAAGCCAGTCAGCCCTGCACAATGACGTTACAAACATACAGCCGGCCTCTTCCCACACTCACAGATATCACATACAGCGTGGCATACCGTTGCCGCCTCTCCATCGGGTCCAAATATCCACATGACCGAATCACGATATCGTATTGGAAGCATAGCGTGCACGCATGGGTGCAAACCTACAGTGCAGCATAAGTGCATGGTGAGCTGGGGTGGCTGCCTAGAACAAGAACAGAGATCTCTCGGTTGACTGCTGTTAAGTGGGTTCAGCAGCGAACGTGGGATGGCTTGGAGAGGTGATACAGACGAGTGCCGGAGGGTGGTGGATGATGGACGTGCATGCTCGTCCGTGGTAGAGGGCGAGTATGAGGACAAGTGTTCGTGAGGGTTTATATTGATGCTGAACCAAAATTTGCGGTATGTGTATGTGAGACGCGGGTATATATGTAGAGATACACAGGTAAAATCAACACATCTATCCTCTTGCTGGCGCCAGGTGAGCAGATGCTCTGCCTGACCAGACCAAACCATGGAATCCAAAGATGGGGATATGTAGATTCTGAAGCTCGGCACCAGTCTGTGGCTATCTATAACGTCAGATCGATGACTGAGACGCCTCTACCTGCAACACCGTGTCTCCTCGCTATTCGCTTGCTCCGCTTTGTGCCTCTCACTAGTGGCGATGCTGTCGCTGACACCGGCTGTCTGATGTACGTAGGTTGAGGCTGAGATTGTGATGGGGCGCATTCAGCGGCACTCCGACGGGTGTTCACAGCTGATCGGGTTCTTGTGCTTGTACTTCCAGCTTTCGTCTTTGATGCTGGTCCAGATGGTCTTGATGCTACTGAAGTCGACGTAGAATGTGACGGCGAAGCTGTTAGATCAACCATTCTCACGTTCTGAAGCAACTTGCTTCGCTCCATCCAACGGAGTGCCTCAGGGCTCGTTCCGTCTGTCCATGCAAAGTGTCCAGGGAGATCTTCGCGAGGACGGATGAATTGTTTGAGGACCTTGGGTGATGCGCCGAACGGATCCTCGAACTTGTCTGGAATGCGTTGTTGGTCCGACGGAGACCGCGCAGGAGTGGTTATTGGGGGAGTCAACGGTGATTCCTGTGGCTTTGTGTTCTTGTCCTGCTCAATCAAGTCAGGTGACTGCCATCCTTGGTGTCGGTTCAGGATAGATGTCTCCTTGATCGAGTCAAGATAGGGAGAAGTCGTCCTTATGTCCAGTATGGGACTGGCAGGAGGTGAAGAGTAGAATGTGACAGGGTCTCGTGGGGTCGCGGGCGAGAGCATCGGCACAACTGAATTGGAGAACGAGGGAATTACCCGCGACGGTGGTTGTACTGGTGAAGAGCTCGCCAAATCTACGATGCGTAGTGTACGCCCCGATGGCTCGTGTGCTGAGGTCGAAATTCGCTGGAACGAACTCGTTGTCGCGCACAAGTCGAGACCTTCGATAGACCGTCTCTGCCTAATAACCTCTTCTGCTGAACTTGGCTTCGAGCGTTTACTTCTGAATTTGCCCGGAGACGGTAGCTGAGGATCCGGCGAGTATGAACGACGCTCCCCACGTGATATCGACGCCCGCAAAGCTCGCGGACTAGACTCAAGGTGTGTTGGCAGTGTTTGAGTTCTTTGAAACCCTGAACGTTTTTTGCGCGGCTGGACAGCGAATTCATCACTCGTCTCAAGTTTGCTCTCGATTGAGGGTGCTAAAGTATCGATGCATCGAGCGTCTGATCGAGGTGAAAAGTACCGATCGATAGTACTTTGCCGAGACTTTCTCGGTGTTGTGGGTGGACTAGATAAGAGACTAATGACAGACAACTGAGGAGCTGTGGATAGTGGCAGGGTTTCCTTAAGATCAGGGTGGTCCATGGTGGCAATAATTGCTTTCCCGGCTTTGCTTGCTGGTGGAGGTCGGCTCCCAGGCTTTGTCTGCTTTGCAAATTTGTATAGCTCACCACCACGCATGCCCCCTGTGGCTGAAGAACTTTTTTTGGCTCTAGGCTGAGTTTTCCTGGTATCCTTAGCTGTCTGTCGCATGCGCTGTTGTTCTGTGGCTGTACGCTTTGAACCTTCCCAGTCTTCTATCTTCAACGGCACCCCGATTCGTACGAAGGTATCAGGAATCCATGCCTTGTTGATCATCGTGGGATCATACTTTGTGGGACCCCTTGTTTTTGGCGCTGCTGTGGGTTCTGGTGCGTCGTCTGCGTTGAGGAACAATGGTGCTTCTTCCTCGATATCGCTGTCACCCACAACTATGGTATCGTCTGCCTCCTCTGAGTGTAAATCTATCCTGACAATTTCAAGAGGGACGAAGCCAACACGAATCTCCGAGGTCAAGTCAGTAGTAGTATGCTTTCGTTCATTGTGCAAGGACGTGATTAGTCGTGATTCTTCTTTTTCAATTTCGTCCATGTTTTCTGAGATGTTATCGCATCTTGCAGCGCGGATGCGCAATTCCCGCACAAGCATCGCCGGTGCTAAGCTGCGAATGAAATGCTTTGCGCCTTCAAGTTTCACCCAAGCAAAGGCATCACCAGTAAACTCGCGCAATGACGGGAAGTCAACATCATGATCCCATCGAAGAGTCAATTTAAGCCTCTCTAGAGCCTGCGCACTAGATATGACAGGGTTTGTGTAATATCCCATGATATCTGCACGAGGGAATTCATCTGGCACAGTCAGCGTTTTGTGCTTCCTCTTGAATATTTTGCTATTGTTCATATGGAGCTCGTCGTTGAGTCGTTTGCGCCATGCATTTAATCCGACTTTGTCTGATGGTTTGAGTCGGCACAAATCCTGTCCAAATCCAGCTCGGGCAGCTTCACATGCTGTTTTGGGGCCGCAGCCAGGAATACCCTCTGGAATGTAGTCTCCTCCGCTCATTAAAGCTACAAGTATCATGCCTTCTCTGTCAAGGCCCGAAGGACCACTCTTGATCTTCTTTGCATCGTACAAGTTGATATGGGTCGGCACCTTGCTCGACTTCTGTTCCGGTGACCAGCTTCGTAGGGTAATACCGCTTCCAAACATGAGCGCGTCGACGTCTTCCGTGAGCACAGAGTCTACGATGCCTTCTCTTTGTAGCAATGCGCATTCTGCTTCTGCTTCACCTGGCGCCATGTGTATCGGAAAGCCGAACATCTTCAGAAGCTGCTTCGCCAGAAACTCGGGGATGGAGGCGACGTTAGGCCCAGTACGCTTATTGCGCTTGAATGGAGGTTTATTTGGACCATCGAATACGAATATAGGATGGATTCCATGAGACGTCAAGCGCAGTAGGCGGTAGTAGAACGTTCGAAGGGCTGGGTTGGTGCCGCCTTTGCTGGCCTGGATCTGGAACAGCCATATCGACACATCTATAGCGATGCGTAGTGGGCGTCCCTCTTTCTCATAAGTCTGTACAGCATACTTGAGGAACGATATGCGCTCTCCCTTGCCTATTTCTTGATAGATGCTTGGCCCATGTTAGCAAGACTGGGGAATGGGATGCAAACAAGCTGAACAAGGGCTTAACTTACCCATGAATACCCATTGCTTCGCGGAAGTCCTCCCAACAAGCCAATACCACTCACATAGTAAAGAGAGACCAGCAGCAATGGATGATGTCGTTTTCAAGGGCTGCTCCGCACCACCAATACCTTACTCGTGGTCATCTTGTCGCAGACCCGTAGGCCCGCAATTACCTTGGTAGGGTCGTCAGTGCTGCAGCCCCACTTGAAGCGTAAATAAAACTAAACCTGTTAGGGCAGTAGCAACAACAAAGCTTCCCACCTTGCGCCCGCCATCATTCTGACCTTCACCTACGCGTCGTGTACGGACTTGCGCTTTTCAACATACACCACAAAACTCTGGTGGAACGGCGACCTTTCAATATGGCGCCTCAGACCCTGCTGCAAGAACGCGATATCTATCCTGACTCTTCGCCAGATCCACTGGCATCTTCGCTTGGTAGACGACCTACACCTCGCAAACCACTGCAGCGCACCTCATCAAATCATGCAAAAGCAAGATTGAGTAGCCCAGTGAAAACAGTCCACTCTACAGACCACTCAGCGACCTTTGAAGTATCACCTTCGAAATCTACAAGCCCGTGGAAGATCAAGGTCACCGTCGAACAAAATGGCGACGGCATTGTCGACCAGGAGAACATCGATCTGGAGTCGCCCACGCGCCGGGTCAAGCAACGAACTACAACAAAGACTACCACAGTACCTTTGAAAGGCGCAGACGAGACATCGCCAGTTAAAAGAAGAGGGCGACCGCGCAAGTCAGACACCGGAGCTGCATCTAAACCTAGAAGAGATGTGACACCTGCGGGAAAGAGCTCGAAAGGCAGGAAATCTGCTGAGACTGCTGAGTCAAGTATACTGGATGTGAGCGGCTTGGACAGTGAACCCGCGCCTACAAAACGACCACGAGGACGACCACGAAAGAACATTGCGACGCCTAATCAGCCTCAAGGCCGGAACATGAAGGAAGGACAATCTTCTCACGAAAACCAGTTGCAAAACCTAGACGGTAACGCTACTAAGATTGCTCCTGTAGACCCCTCTTCAAGCCCATCAAGCTTGCCCGGTAGGTGTGACACACCAGCAGAGGATGTCTCGCCGGTCAAACCCTCCGAACCCAAGGGTGTACCCGGTAAGGGTCGGGATGGCAATGAGAGTAGTCGAAAAACTACTCACCAAGTGGAAACATCCACATATACACACTTGCAGCGAGCTTCATCCACTGGCGTGAAAAAAATCGATTTTGCCAATGTCACCCCTTTACATCTCAAATATAGTCGCCAGATTGGAGACAACACCACACCCGAAATCAACCCAATTCACTTTCGCGTACCTACACCGAGAAAGCCCATCGGATATGATGAAAGTGCCGAAAGCCCCATGCCACAGTCATCACCTATGCACAGCTTTCCCGTAAATCCCGACGCGTCCATAATTGCACCCAAGATCACGCGATTCGACAAGCGAAACTATCCTGCTTTAAGTACGGCTCCAGAAGTCGTGAGAAGAGACAATCAGGAGCATGGAATTGACGATGGTATCGATAGCACGACCATCATGGAGAGCGAAGGTTTCAGTATGATATCTGTTGATTCGCTTCCTAGTCGGCAATTGTCAAGTAGCCCATCAGCAGCAACCTCAAACTTGCCTAGTATCGCATCCGTGTCAAGCAACCCCAAATTGAAGGCTGCTCCAAGTCCTCGGGTATTAAGCTACTTGAAGGTGAAACACTCGCACATGCCCTCCTCACCTCCTGGAGCACCTCTGTCATACCGAACACCGTCGCTTGAAGCCGTATCACCCTCTGGACCACCTCCGATTGAACCTGCACTGCTATTTCCCCGCACAGCGTCAACTCCTAGGCTTTCAGGCGTAGTCAAAACCGCAATCGCTCTACAAGGCGTCGTCGATGTCAATGAAAACAAGGTCACCGGAGATAAGTCGCCGCTGGCTACCAAGGCGCGACTGGACAGCTTGTTCAGTGGGTTCGGGGAAGGTACTAGGAGAGAACTTCAGGCTGGACTCAGACTTGGGGAAGAACTTGCAAGGCGCTCACAAGAACGAAACATGAGTCGTAGTGTATCCCCGGAGATGGGAGCATGTGGTAGTGGCGACGACGTGTTTAAGATACATCGAAATGCGGCTGGAGAGCCAAATTCCCAACGCCTACCGACACCAGAGGAACAGTGCCAGTCGCATAGTAGAGCAGTAAAACCTCCATTTTCACTTCCTGTCCCGCGACGACAAGTTCAAGATGTTACAATCAGATATCCTAGCCTAAATGGAAACCAGCTGTCTCTCCAGATTGCTACGCCGGAGATCGGGAGCGAGATGGACTGGCAGCCTACCACACCACTTTCTTCTGCAGGAACAGACACTGAGTCTCCGTATCAAAACAAGGACGACAACCGAGAAGCTAATGATACCCAAGTATCTCAACACGTGGACGACAGGGCACAGGATATAAGTGATATCTGGGAGGAGGAAGCTAGCCGATCCTCTGACATAGAGATCCTTGACAAAACTCAGCCGTCGCTGGTACCTCAAGTCGCAGATCTTTTCGTCGATGATGAGAGTCTGGCTAAGCCGAAGCGTAGCAAGCTACCAAAGACCTGGAGAAGGAAGAGTAATAGCGATTTCAACTATAGTGATGAAGCCGAGCCGTCCACGCAAACCATTCCCACGGATACCAGACTGCCTGCAGAAGTCAATGCGGTTTCTGTTACTGTATCTGAGGAATCTACAGCAACTTTACCTGATAGAATGGATAATGTCTCTTATCCTGACATCGAAGATGACGACACGGGCTTGTTCTGGCAACACGACTACACTGTGCACAACATACCAAGGCGTAACAGAAGAAAAAGAGGAGACTCGGAGAAATTGGATCTAACGGAGCTTCTTGGACTCAATAAGAATACCTTGAACAGTAGTCCTATCCGAGAGCCCCAGCGGCTAACACCATTCAGGAGTCCGGCGCCGATTTTAAAGATCACAAGGGACTCTTCACCTGCTCGACCCAGAGATAGTGCCAGCAGCCCTTCGAAACATGTCTCGTTTGCCGATGCCACATTCGATGACAGCATTGACGACTCTGACCCTATTGTTGACCAGTACGTGTCGGAAGCGTCTGATGCGCAGCAGTTGCAGGATGAACTGGAAGCCCGATCGAACAGTCAGCCCTTTTACCGAGACATGCAGTCCTCCCAGCCGCTTGAAGATGCTGTGTCGCAATGTAGCTCACCGGCCTTCCGAACGAGGATGAGCTGTTCTGTCTTGACCGTCGATCCAAATTGTGTCGTCAATCCATTGTTTGAGAAATCTTCGGTCGCGGCGCCCGTCGTACCAAGTCCAGTCGAACGCCAGTATACTAGTGCATCAAGTGAGGTTGTCGCGGAGGATATCGAAATCAAAACCACTGGTCCAGGCCTGTTCTCCCGCTTCACTGGTGGGATCTGGTCTGCAATTACAAGAACGCCGCCACCGCCACAGCATCCTGTTCTTCGCCCATATCCACCAATCCCCTCAGAATATCCTTGGACCCGTACCCACTTCATCAGTCTTGACAATCTGTATCAGGCGCAGAAGCGGGACCCTTCGGTGTTCAGCCCAAAATCACACCCAACGAACGCTGCTCTACTCTCTACGTTCTCGAATCGTTCAAAGTACGTTGGTGCAATCATCAGCAATTGGGGCTATAGTCTAGAGTTCACAGAAGACCATCTGGTTATGGCCAAGGTGCTAATGCAAACGATGACGGTCAAGGATGTGGCAGAATATGAGCAAGTCACCGGCAAGAAGGCTAAGATCGGCAATTGTAATGTTGGCGGTCCTGAGAGTGGCCGCATTTCGGAAGAAGACGTTATGATCAAGATCTTTGCGATCATTGCGGGTGAGATGATTCGAGATGATGAGGATCAGGGCAAGAAGATCGATCGGACGGGCACACTCACAATTGAATGGAATGTTTAAGCTGCACTGGCTGTAGTTTGGGCCCTAATCTTGTTGATACTTGCGTATTTGTACATGTCAGCCATTGGGTTCATTTCAAGTCTTGGCGTTAGAGACATGAGGCGGGTACGACGATATGACGGGTACATGATGCATGGAGTTGGTGTCCTGTTTATTCATTCTGAAACCGACCATAAGCGAATGATCATAATATGCATGTAGATCTGTGTGTCTACGTGTGTTTACGGATAGAGTGGAATCCATGCTCCTGTGTAGCCAGCCTTGCTGCGTGACCCGTGTCAGAATCTTAGCAGCTTAGAGACCTCCTATCTTGTGGTCCTGCAATATTAGAGCATCAGATACCCCCCTGCAGGATATCTAACCTCATATCATGCGTCGTGGCGCCATACATCATATCGAAGGTCATATTGAAGCTCGGTCGTATGTCATGGTATGAAGAGCTTTAATGCTCGTACATCGGAACTTATGCTTTTGCCCTTAGTCCACAGGCGGCTTAGAGCTGCAGGACGTGGATTCATCTACACCGATCAGGGAAACACGGTGACATATCTAACGCTCGAACGCTCAAAGAACTACTCTATTCATAGCATTGAGCTGTTGAGTGCGGCTTAGTATTGATGGGCAACAGGAAGGTCAAATCACAGTTTCTTTTGCGGGAAAGCGTGGATTGATGCAGTGTAATGCACGAATACGAGGTCGCCATCATCATTTCAGTAACTCAGATTGATTTGCCCGTCACAAGGTGAAACACCCGATAGATAAGATCTCAGCTGAACCCCCATATGGCGCATCCAGATGCGCTCTCAGACTCCGCTGCATTGTTCCAACTCGCCTCGAGATACCAGTTCACCACTGTGATGGCGGATTTAAGCTCCATGATCGGGCAGTTCTCGCCAACATGTTCTAACCAGTAGCAAGTTACAGCCAATATTTCAGCCTCACAGGGTTTTCAGCTTACGCTCTACTTAAAGGCTTCCATAGCGCTATGTACGGCTCCTGCCAACAGCCAACACAACTGACTTGCGAGAATGTCAACTCCCAGCCAAATCCCCGATGGCGTCAGTCCTGGGGCGCGCAAGATTGATACTCGCCCGGCTTATATCGATCCTGTCCCACAGCATGTAGTAAACCGAGACTTCCAAAACGCCATAAATTATACAAGTCAAGCCGGACCATCTCGGAACACTCCATCTAGGCCACCAATAACATGTGGTTCATCGAGAGCTGGTGTCGAATCGGGTAGTTGGCCAATAGAGAATCAGCCATCAGTGCCTGTCGTTATTTTTCCACCTACGTACCCAACGAGTAGGAGAACACTAATACTTCGAGATACCTCTTCTACTTCTTCTCCTGTAGATCCAATTCCAAGCTCCTACAGTCCTCGGAATCAGGACCGGTCGGTGGCGACAATTCAGCCAGTAGGCAACCCCGGACGTTACGGCGATACTCTGCCACGGCGCCAAATCCAAAGGGTCACATCGATGCCTTTGATCACCACCTCGATGTCAGTAGGGAGCGCGGCTGGTTCTAGAAGGAGCTCCACTCGTCCGACTGGACAACCTATATATGACACGCCTCGAAAGCCCTGCGTTACTCGACCGCGACAAAAAGCGAAGCAGCGGATGATTGAGCCAGTTCCAGATCACAGTGACGGTGAAAGTAAGGCGGAAAGGTGCCAGTCAAGACGTCTTTCCTTCCAGACCGAAAGTGAGGGAGACGACAAGGAGGAGGTCGTGGATGTCGATGACGATAATTTTAGCGACGACGGCGCCGCCTCCACACCTCTTACAAGTCTAACTACCCGAAAAGCAGAGGCACGAAACCTATCATACTCAACAGACCATGAGGCGCCCGTTCCTCGCCAACGAGGACGACCACTTACCCGAGCATCATCCTGCCTAACACTGCGGTCAGGACCTAGTCCCCTCGACGCAGTGCTATCTCAACTACCCACCACATCCATAGACATGTGGTACTGGATCCTGGACCTCTGCAACCAAATAATCTACGAATTCGACAGCCACGACGTCACACAAAGCGACTACGCCATACCCAAAAGAACAAAAAAACGCGCCTTCAAAGCGTACGAGCGCGCCATCCTGAAGCGCGACACCGCACGCGCACAAGCAGAAGACTTAAAGAACGATGTTCAGACAGATATCAGGCGCAAGGTGAAGCCCGACGAGGAGGTCATTAGGGTGTATTGTTATGCGCTGCATAGTTGTCTTCGCGCTGCGGAGTCGGCGCATGATGATCTCACAGGGCTGGACGCCAAGGAGGCGAAGGCACAGGAGAGACGCGATAAGGAATGGCAGCGGGAAAATGAGCAGATAGTGTCTCGGTTCGAAAATGACGCTAGGTACGAGAAGAATAAGAAGGACAGACTGGATAGGCACTTGACGTCATGGGGCTTCGTGCTGGACAAGTATCCGACTTTTCAGATATTTTGGAGGGTGATTCGGAAGGGTATATTCGGGAAATAGGTCGCAGAGATTGAAGATCTGTTAAGGTATGAGACAGTTCAATGTGTATGCTGTGTTATTGTCCGGAAGTGTTCTCATATGCTAGTACGAACGAAGTCCGCTTCGGATTTGAAATGCATATGAACTAAGCGATGCTGTCAAGGCTCATGCTTATTATATGCCATTATACAATTGCGGGAATCCGGATCTCTGTTATTCAGTACCGAGATTATACGGATCTGGCCCCCAAATCATAACGTTATCCATAACACTTGCTATACCACCAAGCACGACAGGGAGATGACCACGTTTTCGTGTATCAACCTCCTGCTGACTGAGAGCGTCAGACTGGCAAGGCGCGCCAACTCTAATTTGACCCTTGTAGTGCTATTTATGCCATGCATGTTCGTATAATCCATAGCTTCAAGTGGCGTTCTCTCTTCCGTGCTAGACCCAACACATAGCAGTAGTAGCTCGCTCTCGCAATCGCTTTCTCCATCTCCTCCGCTACGGAAAACCAAGGGTGCAACAAAAAGTGCCTAAATCCGATCTTCGAGGAGGTTGCTGTCTTGCGGTGATAGGTTGATCGGTATATGTAAGCAGGAATCCTTCAACGGCATTAGCAATGAATAGGTATGACTGTTCCCACACGGCTGGCCCGGATGGCAAGGAACGTCCAACTTTCAGCCGCTTTTTGCTGTCCAGACGTTTCGCTTCCTGAGTGCTGGGAATGGTGCGTTTTCTTGGCGCTTTTTAGGGTGGCTGGCCTTATATGCCATACTTCGATTATGCAGTTTATGAAAACGGTTGTCTTGAGCAAGTCGTGTCCATGAGTCATAAAGCCGATGCATTCGGATTTCGTTATGAGCGACGAATCCTTGCACGTATGATGAGCGGTCTGAGATGAATGACGTCCTGCGAGCTGTGTTGTTAGTGGCTTGTTGCTTGCTTTGGGAGTGGTTGATGAAACGGTCCGGAGAGCCTTATCTCCATCTTACATTGAATTGACTACGGCTGACTTCAGAATAATTAGTCTAACATTCGGCCATCGGAGCAAATTATGAGTCCGCCATGCTTACGAGAGCGTTTTTCTAAGCTGGAGGCGCCAGTAGCGAGAGGATGATAATCCAAATAGGTATAAGGGGAACTGTTTCCACGAATTTGTGAAACTTGGAGATAGATTTTCCTCTTGATTCTTGCAATACCATATTGAGGGTCCTTGCGAAACTTAAGCAATCTCGATAGCCATTCACTTTTGGGCTCTCTGGTTATTGACGCATCATGGCGACTGAAGCCAACAGTCTTACAGAAGGCGCATCGTCCGGAAAAGGTGACAATCCTCCGGATGAGCATACAGCCATCACCACCCCTCCAAATGAGCAGACCAAACCAAACAGAGGCGGCCCTGTGAGGTGGTCACTCGTCGTCACCTCCCTGCTCATCTCTATCTTTCTTTTCGCCCTGGACAACACTGTAGTCGCGGACGTACAGCCCAGCATCATCGAAAGCCTCCATAATGTCGACAAACTCCCCTGGGTATCGGTTGCGTTCCCGTTAGGTGCGATAGCAATGACTCTGCCTGTGTATGTGACTTCGCGCTCCCTACCTGATCAAGACTGACAAACATCTGCAACAGAGCTCGCCTTGCCAGCCTCTACGATAACAAGTTGATCTTCATCAACGGCGTTCTACTCTTCGAGATCGGTTCTGCCGTCTGCGGCGCAGCTCCGAACATGACTGCCCTGATCATTGGCCGCGTCCTATGTGGCATGGGCGGTGTGGCCATCTACAGCGGTGCCATGAACCTGCTCTCCGTCCTCACATCCGAAGCCGAACGACCCATGTATCTGAATCTCACCGGTCTGACCTGGGGCGCGGGCACAGTCCTAGGTCCCATTGTGGGCGGTGCATTTGCCGAATCGTCTGCGACATGGCGCTGGGCCTTTTACATCAATCTCTGCGTCGGTGGGGCTTTTGCGCCTGTGTTCATCTTCATGATCCCGTCATTCACACCGAGGCCTGGCGAGGGCGTATTCGCCAAAATGAGGGAGATTGACTGGTTGGGCGCGACGCTCAACGCGGGTGCACTTGTGTCGTTTGTCATGGCCGTGTCTTTCGGCGGCGGCGTTTACGCGTGGTCCAGCGCCCAGATCATTGCGCTGTGGTGTGTGAGCGGTGTGCTCTGGATTCTGTTCGTCCTGCAGCAAGCCTTCGCCATCACCACCACGAAGGTAAACCGCATCTTCCCCGTCAAGCTGATCAAAGACTATGAGAACGTCATCTTCTTCATGGAGATCGCCGCTGCGACGACTGTGGTGTACATCCCGCTCTACTACATCCCGATCTTCTTCCAGTTCGTTCATAACGACTCACCTCTCGAAGCAGGCGTGCGTCTACTGCCTCTCGTTGCATTCCAGGTCTTCGGCGTCATTCTATGTGGCTCGCTGTCCAACGCTGTTGGCTACTACTTCCCCTGGTACATCGTCGGCGGCGCCCTAGGCGTCATCGGTGGCGGGCTTTTCTACAGCATCGGCATCGACACCTCTGCCGCAGCCGTCTACGGCTACTCGGTGATCTTAGGACTGGCGGCCATGTACGTGCAGTGTTCGTTCTCTGTCGTGCAGCTCAAGAGCACGCCGCGCGAGATACCGGATGCGGTCGCGCTGATCTCGCTGGGCCAGATCGCCGGTGTGACAGCAGCGCTTACGATCTCGTCGAGTGTGTTCCTAAATCAGGCGAGTGGGCGCATTGCCGAGGCGTTTCCACAGTTTGCGCGCTCGCAGGTCGTCGGGGCGATCACCGGGGCGCGCGGCGAGTTTATCCAGATGTTGACTGAGGCACAACGAAGGCGTGTGTTGGAGATTATTGTGGATGTTATCAGTCGATTGTATGGGATGGTGATTGCCGCGGGCGGATTTTCGATTGTGTTGGCGGTCTTTATGAGGCGCGAGAAGCTGTTCTTTGCGGCGCCGAAGCCGGCGGATGAGGAGAGTGGGCCGAAAGAGAAGGAGAATGTACACGCAGAGGTCAAATCGATTGTGCATGATGCGGAGCTCGCGAGGGACGACGAGAGCAAGAAGAGTCAGAATTGATGACGACGGGGCCTCTTGAGAGGTACCCCTTTTTACATACCGGTGGCTGTTTTGCTTAACGTAGACCATACCAAGAATTCGTAATATGGTGCTCTAATACCTGATAGCATTCTTATCCAAGCTTTGACACATACCCACTTCCTTCTTTTTCCTGTCGTTTGTTAGTCTACTACTTCCACAGGTGCTAAGTTGTGCATGCGACATCTACACGAGAAGTAGATCGTGATAGACATCAGTGAAGTGCGAAAGGACTTGCAGAAGAGAGCTTCTGGCGACGCATTACTCATATACAAAAGTAGTGTCATTGTTTTGGTTTCCATTACGTGGTCTGTCGGTAAGGGGTTGAGTAGAAGAAAAAGCCCATGTCTGTGGTATCGCCGTTGTGTTCTAGCCGGAGAACTCTTCAGAAACAATTGATGCAGCTCATATGAACATTCGAATTACCAAGACAAGATGTTTCCCACATGTACGCCAAAGCTGTCGCGTTTAACTCCTGTGATAAGCTGGACCGTGACGCCATGACAATAACAGATTCCGAAAACGCCTATACGGCTCCACAGACACAGACAATTGTTACGCTATGCTGGGCCATGCTTTCTAGGTTCGCTGAGTGTGTTGCATTTGATGCAAAGCCCCCGACACATATATACTAGGAACGCCGGAACAACGACTAATCATCCCAGCTCTTCTCAACCGTCTCCCGTACCTTCTTTATGTATTCACGGCGGTTGTCCTTGAACAAGTTTGAGGCTTCGACGTTGGCAGGGGAGGATGTGTTTGGATCGTTGAGTAAACTGTTGGCAGTGTCAGTGCCGTCTTAAAAGACTGTGTTCGTCTATACGAACCTCTGGATGCTAGTCAAGATCGCAGCAACATCATATGTGGGACTCCATCTGTTCTGTAGAATGTCTAGACAAAGCTCGCCCGTTCCGTATACGTTGGGATGGAACATTTGACTTATAAACTTCACGCCTGGTGGCTTATTCGGATATGCCTCTTCGAAGTGCATTACCAGCCGGAACGTGCCGTCTTCAAAAGGAGTGTCTGCTGGACCTATAATTACAGCATTCCTGCTTCATTATCAGAATTGATCATTCCATGTGTTTGGATCAGCCCGTGGAGGATGTAGGCTCAAGATGGCGTACCATGTCATGACATTGTCTGCTATAGGGGAGGCGGAGACTCCGGCGGGAGGATCAGTCTGCATACGCTGGAACAAGGCATCAGTCATGTGAACGTGAGAGGGATAGATTTGAATGCACGCCTGGCCATCCTAGAGCTGGCACGACATGGATGGCTTCATCCCATGAAGTTGCATGCTTACCTTGAAGTCTCGCATGAGACGGCGGCGGGCAGAAGTGGACATAACTCGGTATGAGAGAGAAGCTGAGCAAAATATGTGTTTTATCGCTTAATCGCAGGGGAAGAAGGGAGAATGAAGGGCTCAAGCTGGAGAATGCAGGGAGGAGATCTGGAAGTCGTCCGGGTACTCAGCTTTATGTAATCGAGCAGTGTATCGATGAATGCTGTGAGAACCCTTTTCAGTACGCCGTGCAGTGACGACAACGCGGGGGTCTGCAGCGATAAGGCAATCAGGCCTCACAGCTAAGCCTAATACGGCATGGATACGGCTGTGTCATCTCACTAGGGCTGCGGCATCGATCTCGCGACTCGCGCCTCCAAGCACCCATGCAAGCAAAACACAATCGTCTACCAAACGTTAAACTTTCCCCCTTTCGTTCCCACACGCGACGAGTTTGTATATACACCACCTCAGTCGACTGCTCTCGTCTACCTGCAGGTTCTATAGAACACTACGTACTATTTCGATTCATCGCACCACCTTTCCGATACACCCCGCCCTGTCTCGATACGCAGCAAAACAGCCCCCTGCGACTCCTGCGATCGCACATCACCCTTCCCCGTATTGTCCGGTCCCTTCAACCTATAACATTGATTTGTAACTTCGAGGCCGCCGGGCCTAGAGAGGCCAGCAACCGCAAATATGGCGTACGTTTGGGCACTAGCGGTGTGGGAGGCCATGTTGACTGATCAAGAGACAGGACCAATAACACCGTCAAAGTGGTTGCACGGTTTAGGCCGCAAAACAAAGTTGAAATCGCAAGTGGAGGAGAGCCTATCGTAAGGTTCGAGAGTGATGACACATGTGCTATCAAGGTATGCACTTCTCATGCAGGTACCCGGTGATCCCTCGCCGAAGTATGTTGCGTCTCGCATGTAGATGTTAATCCAGAAATCCACATAGTCGCAAGAGGCCTCAGGGTCGTTCACCTTTGATCGAGTGTTCGGAATGGACTCTCGGCAGACCGACGTCTTCGATTTCTCTATCAAGCATACCGTCGACGATATCCTACAAGGTTATAATGGCACAGTCTTTGCATACGGTCAAACCGGTGCTGGTAAATCCTATACCATGATGGGTGGTGATATCGACGACGATGAGTCGAAAGGTATTATCCCACGAATAGTAGAGCAGATCTTCGCCAGCATCATGGGAAGCTCAGCCAATATCGAATACACCGTCCGTGTGAGCTATATGGAGATCTACATGGAAAGAATTCGGGATCTGCTAAGGCCGACAAGTGACAATCTGCCGGTACACGAAGAAAAGAATCGAGGTGTATATGTCAAGGGTCTGGTGGAACTATATGTCTCCAGTGTGGGCGAAGTTTACGAGGTGATGCGAAGAGGTGGTCAAGCCCGAGCCGTCGCAGCCACAAACATGAATCAGGAATCTTCGCGATCGCATTCCATTTTCGTAATCACCGTCACCCAGAAAAATGTTGATACCGGATCTGCCAAAACTGGTCAGCTCTTCTTGGTCGACTTGGCTGGAAGTGAAAAGGTTGGAAAGACAGGTGCTAGTGGGCAGACTCTAGAGGAAGCAAAGAAGATCAACAAGAGTTTAAGTGCTTTAGGAATGGTCATCAACTCCTTGACCGACGGGAAATCTACGCACATTCCATACCGAGATTCTAAATTGACTAGAATTCTGCAGGAATCGCTCGGTGGTAACTCTCGGACGACACTCATTATTAATTGCTCGCCGAGTAGCTACAACGATGTTGAGACAGTCAGCACTCTGAGATTTGGCGAACGGGCAAAGGCTATCAAGAATAAGGCCAAGGTTAACGCCGAGTTAAGTCCTGCAGAGCTGAAGGCACTTTTGAAGAAGGCTCAAAGTGAGGTCATGTCCTATGAAACATATACCGCCTCTCTCACCGATGAAATTCAACTCTGGCGCGGTGGATCAAGTGTTCCCCAGGATCAATGGGTGCCGGCATTCGAGAAAGGCTCAACTGCTCCAAAGAGAGACACCAGGCCTCGATCGGACACGCCGTCTAAGCAAATAGCGGACGTGCGGCGGATGGAAACGCCCTCAAGGCCAGATTCCCGAATGGAGATTGACCGAGCTGGCACACCCAGCGCCATGCTAGAGAAGGACGAGAAGGACGAATTCTTACGGCGCGAAAACGAGTTCCAAGATCAGCTCGCCGAGAAGGAAAGTGCACTTGCCAACTCAGAGGCGACCTTAAGGAGTCTTAGGGAAGAACTGCAATTCCTAAGGGAGCGCGAGGGCAAGAGCGGAAAGGAGAATGAGCGTCTCGTGGGTGAAGTGAATGAGTTGAAGATGCAGGTGGAAAAGATCCATTTCGAGACCAAGGAACAGAACATCACTATGGACGGTCTCAAGGAGTCCAATGCAGAACTCACATCAGAGCTGGACGAAGTGAAGCAGCAGCTCCTCGACGCAAAGATCGCAGCCAAAGAAGCTGGCGTCCAGCTCGATGAGAAAGAGAAAAAGAAGGCCGAACGTATGGCTCAGATGATGGCTGGTTTCGATCTGGGCGGTGATGTCTTCAGCGACAACGAGCGTAATCTTCGGAAGATCATCGAGCAAGTTGATTCTTTATACGAGGTCAGTGCATCAGGCGAGGCTGTATCACCGGACCACTTCCAAGACCTCCGACAGAAGTTGCGTGAAACCCAGGGTATCGTGAGGCAAGCCGAGCTGTCTGTCACCCAACGAGGTGAACAAGATGACGCTCATGTACAGAGGCATGAGACACTGGAGCAACGACTATCCACCATCCAGCGGGAGTACGAAGAGTTACTGGAGGGTAAGCTAGGTGACGGCGACGTCGAAGCGATTAGATCGAAGCTTGCAGACGCCTATACTGCCAGACAGGAAGGCGACAACGAACACACCAAAGGTCTCAAGCAGGATATACAACATAAGCTGCAAGAGAACCAGCAACTGCGATCAGAGAACGAGAGTCTTCAACAGCGATTGAAGAGTAGCGGTGTGATGAATGGTGTCGCGGCCGGCGGGTCCAATGGAAAGACCGTTCAGCAACAGATTGCCGACTTTGATATCATGAAGAAGAGTCTGATGCGTGATCTCCAGAATCGTTGCGAGAGGGTGAGTTTACTGCTGCGCGCAGTTAGTGATAGTTCCAACTAATGATTTTACAGGTCGTCGAACTCGAGATTTCTTTAGACGAGACCCGGGAGCAGTACAACAACGTTCTTCGCTCTTCCAACAATAGACAACAACAAAAGAAGATGGCTTTCCTCGAGCGCAACCTGGAGCAACTCACCGTGGTTCAGCGACAGCTTGTCGAGCAGAACAGCGGCTTGAAGAAAGAAGTTGCCATCGCAGAGCGTAAACTCATTGCTCGAAACGAGCGAATTCAAAGTCTCGAGGCTCTCCTTCAGGACAGCCAGGAGAAACTGACTGCTGCCAATCACCGGTACGTATCAATGCCCCAGACACTCAAGATGATACATATCACTAACAGCTCTGAAAGATTCGAAGTTCAACTCCAGGGAGTCAAAGAGCGTCTCGAAGCTGTAAAAGCGAACTCAACCCGCGGTCTCGGCGGCCTCGGCTCCCCAACGTCCAATGCGTCGTTTGCGTTTGGTGGCGGCTCACGCATAGCTAAGCCGCTGAGAGGAGGTGGTGGTGCCGGCGCTGGGCAATCGACAGAATATGCTGCGCAACCAGCACTTGCCGGTGTACAAGCTCAAGAAGCAGGAAACTCCGGGAAGCGCAGCAGCTGGTTCTTCAACAAGACTTCGTGAGTGTGCCGTGGAGCTGATGATACCCTAGGCTGCGATGGAAGCTCGGAAGAAGTGTGAATAGAGCATACTGGAGGATGGCGTCGAGATGAGCAAACGAAATGTCTACATTGATGGCTTGCGGATACGATGGCGTGGAATGCTGCATGTTGCATTCCCTGTATGAAGACTGACTGCGATGCTTTTTCCTTGCATATGATTCCCTCCCTATGCGCATGTTGCGTATTGAGGCTTTCTGACCTTCAGAAGATTTGGTGGCACCGCGCTTGGTTGGTACCGGGACTTGTTTTCTACATAGCATACATTGGACGCGACTTGATGGACGAAAATAGATCATCTTTAGACAAGACTGATCATGTGGTCGCTGCACAATCATCTCACACTGTGCCTGATACCCGTATGAATTGCTGTTCAGGAGATAACCCAGCATGGGGATGAACAAGCAAGAGTTCTTTATTGAAGTGCTCAGTGACGGTGGCCAAACAGTGAAGATGTCTCGGAAAGGCCAATTTGAGTCCATAGCGTACGCATTGCAGTACCTAGTATTTGCCTACGACAAGGCTCTGACCAAGCTTCCACAAGGCTGAGCTGTTGCGCCCCTCGTTGGGCTCTGCTTTACTTTGGTCTGTATGACCTTCTGGAACTCGCAACACTGGCTTGATTCCTTCAGAACAGACACCGCCTGCTGGGAACGTTTCAGCTGAAATTGCTGTTAACGATGGACGAATTTGAGTACCAAGCACTGGATGCCAATCAAAGGCAAGATCTCAGACTCTTACGGATGCTCGAATCCTCTGGAACCACCATACGCTGCGAACTCTTCCACACTACATACGCGCTCCAGCCATATGAAGCCCTCTCTTACACATGGGGCAATGCAGAATTGGTGGACGAGATCGAAGTGAACGGAAAGAGCCTTTGGATTACAGATAATCTACACACCGCCCTGGGATATCTCCGCTTACCACGCCAGGACCGCGTCCTATGGATCGATGCTATCTGCATTAATCAAACAGACCTACAAGAGCGACGTGAGCAAGTGGAAAGAATGGGCGAGATCTTTAGGGGGGCAACACGGGTCATATTTTGGCTTGGTAAGGCTACGCGTGAGATCAATATGTTCTTGGATGCTTTTAATGAATTGGAACGCATGTGCAAGGAAAGATGCCTTGATATGAGTCTTTGGTCGTCGAGCGACCAGCAATGGTCTGACCTGAAGTTGGACTTTACATCGCAGCAGTCTGCGAAAGGCAAGTCAATGTCATCGCTGCTAAAGGGCTTCCAAACAATCCTTCAAAGGCCGTGGTTTCGACGTATCTGGATCGTTCAAGAGGTGGCAAGGGCATGGTCAGCCTTAATCTGCTGTAGTTCGAGATCTTTGTCCACTGAAATCTTCTTTCTGACCCCGATGATATTGGACACTCGAATAGACAGACATTGTCACGCTGTGCTTGAGATCATGCCCGGGCCAGGAAGGTACCATTCGTGGTTTCGTGAGCACCTTGACCTATATACACTCCTTGCTATGTTCTGCAGAAGCGAGGCAACAGATGAACGGGACATGATATATGCCTTACTTGGTCTAGCAGCTGACTCGTCAGCTATCTCGATGCTGGCTGCAGACTATGCGGATCCCATAACAAGTGTTCTCCAGAAGACCGTCCACTATCTCACAAGCAAGACTCGCCTGCCAATGATTCTGAACTATCTAACGTTTTTCCAATCCGTCACGGTTGTCTACTTGACTTCTGGTGAGAACGCCCATGAAGTCCTTGATAAAGAGCTGGATCAAGGAATTCAAAAACGCCATTCCGAAGAGCGCTCTTATGATTTCACCATTGAAGAAAAGACAGCCGAGTCGCCGACGTGCTTCAAGCAGGTCATGGAGTTGTGCAAAGACCTTGACAAGAATAAGTTACCCGTCCATAGCTACGCACGAGTCGTACCATGGACAAGTGACAACAAGAGTGTCAAGATTCTCGTGGTTGATGACTTTGACGTAGCACTGGAGCATGTTGTAACTCAAGGATATGGCCAGCTTGTCGAAGCCATGTTGCGCCGACTGAAGCCACACATCTGGAACAGTAGAAGAGCTCTAACCATAGCTTTTAACGAGCGGCATGAGGAGATTGCACAGACCTTACTGCATTATGGTGCGAAAGCCTCGGCTAGCGATATCCGGTCGGCTGTCGAGGAAGATAATTTGCAGAGGGTGAAGTACATACTTGATGCGCAGCCCGAACTTGATGATACATTACAGTAAAGACACGGGAATGAGTATGCTGAAAGCTGTGATCTCTAGTGAGATGCTTTTCTATAAGGGCTTTCGAGGACAGATGTGCTGTAGAACGTACTCCTGGGTATATAAGGGGGCAGGGAGTCAACAGAGGCGCTTGAAAGGCAGGGCAGTCTATATCATCGCAGTAGACTAGGGAGTGATACTTGAGCAGGATCTGAAGCTTGACAGTTTACCGGTAGGTTAGAGGCTCGTTATATCGCATGACAAGAAACTTAGTCTTGTATGTCGACTAATACATCTGGAGAGCCTTTACGATTGGCTAGCTTGTACGTAGTAGGCTCTGTACCGAAAAAGTACATTGTAAACATCGATGCGAGATTCACTGACTTTGAGAGTTCACATTTAGGCATACCTCATTGGGACGAGCTCATGATCGAGCACTTCGGCAAATCTCCTGAGCCCACAATTAACAACTAAAGGTAGGCTCCTCTCACAAAATCTAGACTCATACGCCTCTTTCATACACTCTGACCCCCGCAATAGCTGCGAGGCTGTGTTCCGTCATGCCTTTTACCCGGCCGCCACGTGCAGGCCCGAGAGGTAAGCTGACTGCTTAATGTTGACTGCATCGTAAATCTGGAACGCGTCCTCCTGGTTGATTAGTACGATGCACTTTGGCCCAGGGCTTAGGTCATTGAGGCGCAGTGAAGTATTAGGGATTCGAAGTGAATTGCGTGCGTTGTTAGTTTGCGAGATAATCTTCAGGAGGGCGGACAAAGTGAGGTCGGTGCTTGGACGTGAAGACACTGTTTGTTTGTGATAGACACTGATTTATAGGCTCTCGGAATTATGAAGAACGAGTTGGAAGTCGTAGATATTGGGTTAATGTTGTCAGAATAGAGAAAAGAAAAGGATAGATTCCGCTAGTCACCTGACTGAGCACGTGGCATCTTCGATGACAATCAATTCGCAGTCGCGTCTACTCTCACATTGAACAAACACAAACTTGAGCGAATTCATTACCGAACACCGGGCCATGGCGGTTCTGCTAGATCTCCCGAACGAACTTCTCATCGAGATCGGCAATCACATCACGTGTCCGCGAGATGCCCTCTACTTTCTATTCACATGTAGAAGACTAGCCTACATCCTGATCGATGCGCCCGTAAAGTCTAACATCTGGTACAACAACAGCGACGCACTGGCCTGGGCTGTAAGCAATGACCGACCCGACCTCGTCTCTCGGATGATCAAGCTTGGCGCAAACCCCATGGCTACGGATCGACAGCGAGTCTTGATAGGCCTCTCACCGGAAAGTGCGCTTATAGCTGCTGTCACACGAAGGAGGATTGGTATGGTAGAGCTTCTTACCGGAGACGAAGCTCAAAGTACGGCTGAGAAAATCGACATCAAACAGTTCGAGAGGGGCTTGATGGCGGCCCATGATATGGTGCGGGTAATGGCTTTGAAAGAGTCCGACCAGTTGTCGCTACTACATATTCTGGTAGGCAGGCTGATCAAGCTCCTCGGACCTGATTACTTGACGACAGACACAGGCATCAGATTGTTAGAATCTGCATGCGGGGAACGTCGTGTCGACATGGTACGTCTTCTGCTGGCTAGTGCACGGGCGGGCTTGAAAGAGCTACCACCGAAGACCATATTGAAGGTCTTTACCCAGTGTGATGAGGCGGTAACAGTCGAAATCTATGACATGTTGTTGTCCGCTGGTGTCCAACTCCCGCACTTATTCAGGGTACGGAGGGGACTGGGTGCGCGGCCAAAGATGAAATCGCTACTCAAGAGATTCGGATACTCGATGATCGACGATACGGATTCTTTTTTACTACACAAGGCTTGAGACAGTATCCACCATAACATACAGCGACCGAGCATTCGGGATCACACCTCGGAACTTCGAATGTTCTTGATCGCCTCCTCGGAAACGTGTATCGTAGACTCTACAGTCTTGTAAACCGTGAGAACTCGAAGCAACCAGCGTGATGCGATCTGCCGGATAATCGAGTGCTGTTACGCAGTGACTCGGATTGAGGAGAGCCGGGCACGATCTTCGCCATACATGATACATCCCTTCCATCACGTTAAGATCCATATGGGGACTTGAATCAGCCAACAGCGCTAGAATATGAGCCGCAATACAGCGGTGATTGCAGCGAACGCGCACACTTTGACCCGATCACGGAAGCACAAATCCGTCCAGACGCTGCTCTATCTAACACACAACAACAAGGCACCCCAAACCCGAACTTATAAAGCCTCGCCCCTCGCCCCTCGCCCAGCTACAACCAACAAACCGCCCCCCAAGACACAACACATCCGCATCTAGACACGCAGATCACATCACATCGACAGAATCGGACGTCGTAGTCAGTCGTGGCAAAACCGACGCGATCGGCGTTCTAAAAGGAACAAACGGCGTCCCTGTGCCCCACGTGTGCGGCCGAGCCCTTGGGGCGGGCGAGAAACTGGGGGCCTGAACTACTATTAGGGCCTGCTCCGAAGAAGTGCAGAGATTTCGATTTACAGATATTGTAAATATCACAAACGCAGAAACTGTCCTGTTGGGTAATTATCGCGATATGATGAAACACAGCGAATATACCTCCCTCCTTACCTCCCTTCCTTGCAGATGTAGTCTTCTACATACAAATCACACACGCTAGTGTCTCTCTAACAGTTCATCATACCCATCGCGTCCCCTTCATCCTCCCCCCTCGCGTCAACAAACGCCCTTACATCTGCTGGTCACTTTCCTTTACGTTATAACTACCCATCAGCACGTTGCTCAGTTTCCCCTCGCGCCAGTGCCTATGTAAGCACGTGTGAACCTCCGCGGATTGTGGCTTGCCAGCTAGACAGCCCTCCATCCGTCGAATGTTGGTGGCGTCGCCCTACGCGCCGCGCCGCAGGTGCGCAACTACAGTTCAATACCTGCGCGCCGTTGCGAGACAGAGATCATAGGACTCGATGTTGGATCTGTGCATCTAGATTTGTGAATCCTACGCTTTTTGTATCGTCATCGCGGGAGGGATTTGATACTGTATCATTGCCGTCGCGCGAGGGCTTGTCTAATGGCAATTCATATCTTGGCATCAATATCGTTATTGCATGATTCTACAATGATCAACTTCTGGATCAATCATAGGTACAAGAAAATCGCCAAACATACATATGCTTACTACATACATCCCCGCGCCCTGCATCCTCCTTTTCTCCTTCACACATCTTGTCTTGCATCTACTTATGTAACCTCATGCACGCGTACGGCGCAGTAATATTGCCTGGCCTTGCCCACTAGGACACACCCGCCCGGCCACATACACACCCGCCATCCATGACGCCCCGTTCGCTAGGGTTGGCGGAGATCGAGTCGTTCCTGTTTGGGCGGGATGAACGGGAGAGGGGAGTGGGAGGGAAGGTGGAAGAGACGGAGAGTGAAGGTTTATTTGATCTGTTCTATTATTAGGTATACGTCGGATGTTCTGGGCCTTTCGTGGGTTTGGTGCTTGGTGCTTGGTGCTTCGTACTTTGTGCTTGGACTGGAGTTTTGAACTGAACGTGATGTATGGATGGAAGGGATGGAGAGTGGAGAGGTGGTAAGTAGGTAGGTAGGTAGGTAGATATAGATATGAATGTGTATGAGTATCAATGGACGATATATATGGCGATGGTGATGGTTTGGTTGACAGTAGAGTGTCCACTGTACGATCAGCGGAACTATAAGGACAATTGAGTCAGCTTGGACATTCTGTAATCTCAATTGTACGTAGTAGAGATCCGAACCTTTGAACACTAGATGTTTAAACGACATCGCAGTACGTCACGTCACGCAGACCACAATCAAGCAACCAGCACACACATTCAACATAGCAAATCATTGTATTAGCCTCAATCCATCTATACCACCTCCTTCGTTTCTCCTTTTCCCCTATTTTTTTCCTTTCCAAACCCATGTTAATCCTTCTTAATCCCATAAACACCATCCCAATGCCCGGCCCCTAATATGTGGATATGTATATGAATGGATGCATGCTGGAAAAACACAAGTACAAAAAGGGGACAAAACAAAAAAGCCTCATACGTAGTAAGGGCAGGGGATATTAGTATACGCCACTTGTACACCATTATACGCCTTCGAAGCAGCGCCACTGATGCTAGATGCAAGACCTTGATGAGCCAAAAGAAAAAGGAATAGAGACAAATAACGCCCGCGCTCCTATATCCGGTCCCGTCCGATATGGCTCGGATTCGCAAAGTCGCGCTCCGACATATTCGAGCTAACACGACCATACACACCACCACCACCGCCACCGCCACGCCCAAACGTACCCAGACTACTGCTCGAGCGGTTCCACGCATTACTCGTCACGCGCTCCATCTGCGCGATTCCAAGACCGCGACTAGGCGTCATGGGCGTGGGCGGGGAGCGCGAGGACGAAGTAAGCGGAACGGGCTGGTACGCAGACGCAGACGCAGACGCGGGCCCAGTAGAGCGGATAGTCCAGGACGCCGGGGTCGGGGGCGTGCGATACGGTCTGGACACGGACTGGGGCGGGCTGCGCGAGGGCTGCAGCGAGGTGTAGCCGTGGTACAGCGCGGATGGGTTGCCGTAGCCATAGCCGTTGTATGCCGCTGTGCGGGCGTCGTCGTCGTGCGCGAGGGCGTGCTCCATGTCGATGTCGTTCCACGTCGGCGCGGGCGCAGGTGTGGGTGTGGGCGAGCGGGTGACGGAGCGGGGGAAGACCGGGTGGCCGGCGATGAGCATGAGCGGGCGGGCTTCGTTGATGGAGGCCGGGTCGTCGTCGTCGGGGAGGTCGGAGTCGGATTCTGCGGATTCGCGGAGCGGTGGCAGGCGGGCGGCGTGGAGGCCGTAGGGGGTGGTGGCTGTCTGTGAGTCGAGCTCGTTGATGCTGTTCTCGTCCATCTCGGCCATGCCGCGCTCGTCGAGCATCATGGCTGGGCCGCTGGCGTGTGAGAGGCCGCCTAGGGCGCCGGACATTTCGTGGTCGGGAGACGGGGTGTAGGCGAGTGAGGGATGGCTGCCGGCGGAGAAGGAGGTGGAGCCGTATGTCTTGCTCACCATGGGGTCGTAGAGCCAGGCTTCTTGTGGGTAGACGCCTGTGGAGGCTCGGCGGGCAAGATCGCGTCTGGCGTATGCGCGACGCACGAGGAAGCCTGCCGCGAAGATGGCGAGGAGAGCTGCGGTTCCGGCACCTGCGGCGATTCCGGCGATGGCGGGCGGCGGTAGGTCTACTGGACCTGGGCTTCCTTCGCTTCCGTCTTGAGGCCCATCGTTCGAGTCGCCGGTGCCACCACCGCCAATGGGGTTGATTCCCGGACTTCCTCCACTTCCGGTCGTTGCTGGAGGATTCATGGCCCCGCCGTTGCTCGGATCAATCCAGTTTGAATCTGGCGTGCTAGTCGTGGTGATTACCAGCGTGGGTGAGGGTATCACTTGAGAAGCGCCATCCACTGTCGTGCTTTCTGGTACTGGAGCGAAAGTAAAATCTGGTGGAGTCCTGGTGGATATACCGGAGGGGTAACCATTGGCACCCACGTCGTCCGATGCGCTAGTGGGTGCAGTATCAGTAGGTAAAGCACCTGTCGACTTTGCGATTGTTCTGCTGGCACCACTGTCATTTGAGGTCTCGTTTGACGGAGCTGTGGGTGATTTCGTGCTGATCGCGGCGCTGTTCCCACTCCCTGTTGGAGTGAGAATACTTGCTGAATCTCCTGTCGTAGGTGACGTGCCTGTGACAAGCTGCGTTGTTCCCGCGCTACTTGGCGTAATGACGGAAGTGCCATTGTTATCGTCCTGGAGAACACGACTGGAGCTTATTGCTGTAGGGACCACGGTTGTGACAGGCAGATTTGTGATGCTGCTATCCCCAGTTGACTGACCCGGGTTCATGGGAAGCGGTGTCGGAGATGCAGTTAGGGTCGGAAGGGGCAGCGGGCCATTGGTGACTTCAGAGATAAAGCTACCTATAGCACTCTCGACGAAGCTTGGTAGGTCGGGAACACCGGTGGGTAGGACAAAGATGGGCGTAGTGGGGAGTACCTCGGAGAAGAAGCTATTCACAGCGCTTGGGATATGTGGAAGACCGGACGGTAGAGGGAAGATAGGTGTCGTAGGAAGCAGATTCGATAGGGCGCTCTCAATGAAACTCGGGATAATTGGGATGTCGGACGGTAGTACAATAATGGGTGTCGTGGGAAATAAATCAGGTATCGCACTTTCAATGACACTGGGGATATTTGGGATGCCAGTTGGTAGGTTCAAAATGGGTGTCGTAGGAATGATATCCGGTATGACGCTTTCGACGAAACTCGGAATATTCGGGATGCCGGACGGTAGTACAATGATGGGTGTCGTGGGAAACAGATCAGGTATCGCACTTTCAATGATACTGGGAACATTTGGGATGCCAGTTGGTAAATTCAAAATGGGTGTCGTAGGGATGATATCCGGTATGGCACTTTCGATGAAACTCGGGATGTTTGGGATGCCAGTCGGTAGAACAATGACAGGTGTCGAAGGGATCAGATTCGATATAATGCTTCCAATAGGATTGTCGCTGGGAGTAATGATCGGTGGTATTACTGGGGTGACCTTGGATAAAAAACTGTTAACCAGAGATCCGACCGGTCCGGGGATGAGATCACTGGGGAGAGCGACGCTGGGAATGATATTTGGTGGTGTCGGTATTATTGGATCGATGAATTCGGACTTGATACTGCTATGAACAGACTGCGCAGGGCCCGGAATGATGTCGGACGGTATCGCAATCGATGGTGTTGGTGTTGGTGTGGGCGTAGGTGTAATATTAGGTGCTGGAACGCTAGGCGTTGGAATGATATTAGATGGCACTATGTTCGACGGAATGATGTCCGGGACGACGATAGAGGGTTTTGGAGTCACAATAGGCTCATCCGGCGACGGGACAACACTACTTGCAGGCTCTGGTGGTGAACTTGAGGGAGTTTCGTGCGGTGGACTTGAGGGTGCTTCCTGTGGTGGACTTGAGGGTGCTTGCTGTGGTGATGTTATGACAGGAGGTTCCTCGAGGCGACTCGTAGGTAGTGCGGGCGAGTCTGATGTAACGTCTGCTGGTATCTGCCCAGTTGCTCCGTCTGTTGCGCCATCCAGAACCGACCGGGGCGCAAGCAGTCGGTCGTCGAGGGCAGCCCATCTTGCAAGAACATTTCCAGACTGAGCACGAAGGTCTGTTTCATGATAAGCAAAGGTCTGAAGTGCCGAAGAGCACCTCTGGGAAGGAGTTGGTGGATGGGATGGGTAAGGCTGAACATACCTCGAAGTGGAGTGGCAGCTGTCTGTTGGTGCAAGCACAAGGTAGTGCAGAGCAGTAGTAAGGCCGTCTTGTCCCACATTGCATATTCAAACGATTGACGACCGCGAACGGGTTAAAGAGAAGAGAACATTTGGAGGATGGGGATGGAGAGAAGAAAGAGTACAGGCAGCAGAGAGCGAGAGACAAACAAACGGAGGACTGCAAGGCCAGGTAGATGCAGAAGATGGACAGAAGGCGGAAGGCGTCTCGGCGAGAAGACAAGACGACTGGGAATGGAGCCAAACCTTGCCAGAAACGTGGGCGGCGATCTTGGACAGGATATATTGCTAGCTAGAGAGAGAAGAGTTGTCGAGACGGCACAGTAATAGTTGGAGGATGGGACGTGCATCAAGGATCAAGTTTTGGCGTGCATGGCATGGCATGATAGCCCATCAGCATCTTTGTCGTAGTAGTTAGTGTGTAAATGTGTGTGTCTGTCCCCTTGTCCCCCCATGTTCTATCTTGGGAGCGAGGCGAAGCATCCTGGCCTCTACTAATTAGCCTCTCTGCTGCTTGTCTCTTCTCGCGTCGCTTACTACCAACAATCGTGGCTTCTGTTGTTGCTGGTCATACCGATACTATCTACTCACTTTTGAGCAGCTACTATCATCATAGTATGTGTGTAAGTCCAAGCTCACTCCACAAGTCGCGGAACGAGTGCTGGTCTGTGGGAGTCAATGCATCTGAACCAACATCTACGCAGCCAGGGAGGCTGGACCACACACAGTGATGAATACTGCGCGCTGTGGACGTAATGTGACTGTGCGGCCGTGAGAGAGTATTAGCATGAGCGTGTGTATATTGCCGAGGACAACGTCCATGCCTTCGCATTTGGCAGCCTTGCGTGGAGACAGCATCGCAATGCGTGTGATGATGCCTGCTGTGAATGTGATGACTGTGATGAGCGTCAAGCGTTATACCTGATGAGTGTGTTCTTGGTCTGCTTAGGGCTTCACGCAGCATTCCCTTCGCTCTCCTGACCAATCAACGTCGTCGAAAACAAAGGAAATAGAGCTACCCGTCCGCCTAGTCTTCATCCGGACACTATCCCCAGCCTAGACAGGCTTTTCGGGAGCGGGATGCCCATCTTCGGACTAGCGCTGAATATCACGTTGGGAATGGAATTCTTAGCGGAATCATAAGTGAAAAGACGCCGCCTTATGGACTTCGGCAGCTGGTCTTCCTCCACTACAACGACTATCACTACTAGTATTACTACTATTAATGTTATTAATATCATTGCTTCTACTTCTTCCAGTACTATCGTTGCCGCTACGTACTACTGCTGACTCCAACACCAACAGCACAATATGTCCTTAATGATGCCCAGCAAAAATGCATCTATTTACCAGATAAACTACTCTATACATACGTGCCCAGGTATTCTTCAGGCGCTATCGTAGTCTGTCATGCATCGATGGATCTGCTGCTCTGGCCCTATCCTGGCCCCCATATTCTCAGCCTGATGCTGCCAATTCATGCCGTGTTCGGTAGAATGCCCGGGAGCTCGTCCGTGCTTGAACACCCCCCTGATACTTGATCCATGACCTGGAGTCCTGGACCATATGCTGTGCTCTGCTGTCGAATCAACGGCCAACCGTGCACGTTTGCTGAATCAAACAGAGAGATTTGTATATATACGTGTCGCCTTGTCTGACGGAGAATTTACCCGTCCCAGCCACAGATCGTGGCGCGTCCTCACATGGCTTGAGGCTTGATGCTTGATGCTTGAGCCACATTCATCTTCTAAGCTCCAACTCCAACATACTGTATCATTATTCTCTATCTATTGCGTTATATTCTGAAATATCTAAATCCATTTGGCCTCCACTCTCTGCTTCCTTCGTGCCCTTACTTTCTTCTCGGCATTCTGGAGTCTTTTCTTATCTCGGCACTTCTTCGTGCTCCTTCGGCTACATAATACAGCTCCCCCTGGGCTGGCCCCATGCTGCGGCTCATTGCTTCTCCATACCCATTTCATACGATGTTCCCTGCTGGACCACCATCTTCGCCGTGTCGTCACGAATAAGTTCCTGAAGCCACAATGGCAACCCACGCAGACCCGGTGCGGCTCTGGTCCAGAACAGGTTGGGCAGGAAGATTCTGCCGCGCTTGCACTCTAGAATCTGTTTCGACATGGCATCTCCAACGGTGCCGACCTTCATGATTGGTGTCTTGGATGCCTTCTTGATGTCCTCCTCAAGCTGCTCCGTCAGTCGGGTGCTGGTCCAGAGCGGGTAGACAATCGAGGTGAGAATCTCAGGGCAGTGGTACCGATGTTTCAGCTCCTGGTTCAGCGATTCATAAAACGCCGTCAGCGCTGCCTTGATACTGCAATAGTCTGATATGCCCGCAATGCCGGTGAATGCGCTCATGCTAGACACGCTCATGATGTGGCCCTTCTTCTTCTTGATCATGTCGGGCAGGAACTCTTGGATCGTGTACCATTGCGCGATCAGGTTGATGTCGAAGATGGCATGCAGAGCGCCAGGCGTAAGGTTGAGAATGTCACCCGCATTGCCGATTCCCGCATTGTTGACGAGGATAGACGGCGAACCCAGGGTGGAACGGACCTCTGTGGCAGCCTTGGCCACGGCCTCGCGGTTGCGGAGATCGCAGTTGAAATATTTGATGTTCGGAGCTGCCTTGGCTGTTGCGAGTCAGCCGCTGAGATTGCGATCCATAATGCGACATGTCGAGTGACATGACTGTGCCGCCAAAACTTACAAGCTTTGAGTTCCGCACTCAGATCCATGACATCGAGCACAGCGACCTTGACTCCCCTGAGCGCCAGGCGTTCAGCAGTCGCGGCGCCAATGCCGTTGGAGCCTCCAGTAATCACAGCCACTTCTTGCCCCCAGACCCAGTCCTTGGTACTATCGCTGCTCCATTTCCAATTGCGCAGCGCCCATCCATTGAGGACATTGTTTATAAGCGATACAACGCCCAGCGGAACGAGGAACTTCAGCACAGTGACAAGGATATCGACGGGTACCTTGATCGAGCCGAGCTTCTCAACCAATGGTCCTCGCACTTCCGGCGGCCCAAACGCCAGAACAGCGAGAAGAGGGCCGGTCACGAAGGGAGAGAGCACCACTTTTGGAATCAGAGAAGCCATGATGATGAAAGATGATGCAACTGGCGACAAATACCTGCGGCGAGGAGGAGAATCTTGAGAGAAATTGCTGAAATGTCACTTCGTCCGTAGTCAATATGTACGTACGGACTTCACATGAAAGCCGAGGCAGGGGTCCATTTTCTGTGTAGATCTAGTTTCACACTCGCGCAAATACGGATTCTCCGCAATACTGAATTGACTATCTCGGCATCTCGAACAGATGTTGAGAAGAACTATATCAACGAGCAAAATCTTATACAGGGGTCAATATAGCACTACTTCATCTATCCTTGTCCCGCGCCCGTGTAACCGGGCACAGATTGGAGGATGACTAAGCCTAGCCTCGCAACTCTTCCCTAACTGGAACCACGAGCCAAAATAATCATCCTCCTCATATTCCCACATGCCACCACCTCGGATACACCAGATCAGAGGAACACTCACTCCGTTCCTCTATCCGCTTCTATGGGAAGAGGCGTGCGTGGGCGTCGGTCGTCGGCTGCCGAGACAGAGGACGCGTTGCTACGTGCAGCAATGCAGGAAATATTCTACACCCACCACAACAACTCCAACGTCGCCCTCTGATCCAGCTCAATTGCCCGAGGGCAGACTCAATCCGTCACGCGACGACTACTCCATCACTCCCTTTGCAGACCGCTGCGTTCTCACTCTCGCTGCTGGGTCTGGTGGTCATGGCTGCGTAAGCTTCTTGCGCGAGAAATATATCGAGGATGGGCCCCCCAATGGTGGAGATGGCGGGACAGGAGGAAACGTCTATATCCAGGCCGTCAGAGGCGAAACATCGTTGCATAAACTGGCACGCAGACGCACGATATTCGCAGGAAGAGGCAAGAATGGCCAAGGCAAAACCAAGGGCGGCGAAAGAGGCGAGGATGTGCTCCTCACCGTGCCAGTCGGCACCGTCGTTCGCGAAATCACTAGACATGATCCTGTAGGAAACGAAGAGAGACGGATATTCATGGAGCAGGGAGGTCTTCAGCCGGGAGAGAATGACACAGGCTTTGAGGGTGGAAATTGGCAAGACAAGAAATGGCTGCTCTACCCTGGTATCCCAGCCTCGAAAATTGCGTTGATGCCTATGCCAAAGGTACCACCGCCGCGAAGATCACCATTAGCTGCAATGGAGCCCAGCGGCCCCATTCGCCTCGACCTAGACAAACCTATGGATCGGCCTATGCTGCTCGCTGCGGGTGCTGTAGGAGGTCTAGGCAACCAGCACTTTGTATCAGAAGAGTTGCGCAAACCTATGATGGCTACGCGAGGAGCAGATGGGACGAAAATATCCGTGCAGCTTGAGCTCAAGCTGCTGGCGGACGTCGCATTGGTCGGCCTGCCGAACGCTGGGAAAAGTACTCTGCTCAGGGCGATCAGCAACAGCAATGCTCGGGTTGGCAGCTGGGCCTTCACCACGCTGCAGCCAAACATTGGCACGGTAGTTCTAGACGACCACAAAGGCCGCCCCAAGTTGACTTTGCGCGAGACCAGCGGCGAGACTCGACCCAACTTTCTGATCGCTGACATCCCAGGACTGATAGAGGACGCACATCTCGACAGAGGACTCGGGCTGGGCTTCCTCCGCCATGTCGAGCGCGCTGCATGCCTTGCATTCGTCATCGATCTCTCTGCAGGTGACGCCATCGTCGCGCTGAACAGTCTGTGGAAGGAAGTCAGCGAGTACGAGCTGCTCCGCGAGAAACAGCTGTATGCCGAATCGCAACGAACGGTCAACTACAAACCCTTCAACAACGATCTTGAGCATCTGTCCAACGCCGATTTTGTCACAGCGCCAGACCAGGACGCACACCCACTCCCATCCCTCGCATTGCCTCCTCTGTCTGCCAAGCCCTGGTTCGTCGTCGCAACAAAAGGTGATCTCCCAGAAACACAGCACAACTTTGGCGCACTCCAGTCCTACATGCAAGCCATCGCGGCAGGCAGACTGCCGCATCCCTCAGGCAAGGCAAACGCCTGGAAGAGAGTGCTTCACGCTGTTCCTGTCAGTGCCATTCGCGCAGAGGGTACCCAACGCATTGCCGAGGTCGTCGTCGAGCTGCTGCAGCCAGCGGCGGTAGCGTGATGTACAATCGAGGCGCAGCACCGCAGCAGCACCGCAGCGCCTGCAAGTCGGACGCCATCTGCCAGCCATCTGCCAGCCATCGTCACCCGCTTGCTCCTTCCCGTATGAGCAAGCTACCTACGGAGCGCGCAGAAACAACTTCTACTCTGCTTCTTCGATCGTGATTGCTGACGTGAGGAGGACATGCGACCTGTTTCTGAGGACTTGTGAGACATGGATCAGGCCGCAGCTTCGAATGCAGATTACAACACCTGAGAAACGCAAACAAGGCTTGTTGCGCGGGAGATGTACAGCTAGATCTCCGATGTGCCGTTCGAATGCTTCGAATGCTTCGAGTACATAATACATCCCAGCAGCAGCGTCTGTACATAGGACATTGTACATAATTCCTGCCCGTCTCTCCACGCTGCGCTGACGCTGCGCTGCAATGCAAAACCTCGCTTCTGTACATAGGATAGTATAACAATTCTACACAGCGTGGTGGCTCCAAACACCCCACCGACCGCCGCTGCGGCTCTGAAACATAGACAGAGAGTATCGTTTCATTTATACTTCGCATTGATAAATCACGCGTCTACGTTGACGCATTATAACGCCTTTTTCCGTGTATGTTTATTCTCAGTTCCATTTCTTCGCCGTCGTCGCGGTTCTGTATTCATGTGTGTATATTTCTCTATATGTTGATGTATCCATGTGTCTCTGTTTACAGTCGCCGACTTAAATTGACTAAACTTTGTGGTCGCCATCTCGAATGGACGCTTCTCTCCGCAGCGTTTTCTTTGCTAGGATATCTAGGATACATGCGGCCAAACGCTATGTATACGTACATAGATAGCCCCATACAAAATACATACAATCACCCGTCCGATTCAGTCCCAGCAACGCAGTCTTTCCCCTCCCCAAAATCAACCAATACTAGATCCGCAGTCCTCAGCCTTGTCATGCCTTGCCTTGCCTTTGCCTACCCCAGTCCTCAGCCAGCCTCGCCCAATAAATAGACATGGATACCTCCCACTCTCAAGACGGGTAGATACACAATAATCAACCAATTAACCCGTACTCATTAGCCGCTATTGAGCGTGTGCTTGCATAGGAGCAATGGCCACAATGACATAACAAACCTAATAAACATGCTGTCATGCCTTGATCAGGTCTTGAGGCTTGGACTTGAGGTCTGGAGGTTTGATAGGGTGGATTCTGGACTGTACTAGAACCCCGCACTTTTACCTATCCATGGCTGGATCCATGCAAAAGCTGCAGGTGGTGGATGTCACAGTTGCATTTGCGGGTGCGGGTTGCAGGCTGTATGGTCAGTCACGTTATTGGCATTGTTACGTTACATTCTTGAGGGGTGGTTTATGCGTGGTGATGCGTGGATAGCGTTTGGGATGTTTTGATGGTGCTGTGATGTTTTTGATGCTATTTCTGGAGATTGGGTTTTTGGGGTGGTTTGATTTGGGATGTGGTGGGTTGCTGGGTGGGTTATGTGGTTTTTTCTTCTTTTGGTAGTAAGGTTGTTAGAGGAGGTAGACTTGTGCTGTATATGGATATGAAGTGTGTAAGAGTGGTCTATTGATTTTGTAATACGGGTGGAGTATGTGATTGCTGTGGTTTGATTCCTGGATTTGAGTTTGTATCTGTGTTTTCATGTGTTGAGTTTGATATTGTATGTTCGTCTGTTTGTGTTTTTGTGTTTGCGTGTTTGATTATTCGGCTCATGAATTGATCCGTCTGTAACTTTTTCAGCGCGACTCTTGGCACGCGTCGCGCGCGCAACACACCACTTTTTCTCTTATTCTTAAAACTTACCTTTTCCCTAATATCTCTAGAACTAGAACTCTAGGAAGTTTTCTAATTATATATAAATATACCTCTATATAGTCTCTTACTCTCTATATAAGAAAATTAATTAAAAAAGAATAGACTAATTAGTTATTCTAAGAAAAGCTCTATAAAGTAGAGAGCTACTAAAGTACTAAGGTACGTAGTAGAGAAAATAAGAGAATAGAGATTTTCTCTATTATCTATCTCTTTAAGACTCTTTAGTCTTTAAAAGAACTTAATAAGTACTCTTTAGATATAACTAAAAGTATATATAATCTTTTAATACCTTCTAGAGTCTTAATACTAGGGTTATTAAAGGAAATCGTGGTTTTTAAGAATGAGAGAAAAAGTGGTGTGTTGCGCGCGACACGTGCCAAGAGTCGCGCTGAAAAAGTTACAGACGGATTACATTCTGTCACCTTTATTCGTGCCTGTCCACTTTTAGAGCGAAAGTAGTTAATCATCCACTTCGATGATAGCTGATATCATGGCTTGCCTTTGTATCGTGCTCTGGTGTGCTGTACTATACCATACAGTACTATGCTATCTTCTACCCGGTATGCATTTCATCATCATATGTATACTAGTCAGGTTGTACCATCCATTCGTCACAAAAGTCCACCACATTATCATGCATTTCTCCATCTACTTACTTCCCACTCCCTAGAGTATCTAATCTCTAGCCTTTAATCTTAAGCCTCATGTCAGGCAAATGTCAGGCAAGTGTCAAGGTTGACCTTAGTCTCCGTACCAAGCGCTAGATCTGTTAAACTAAGTGTCAGAGCTCGTCACGACTGCATGGCGAACATTGCACGACTGATCGGTTGACTGACTATGCAGGTAAGATAAGTAATCAGACATCCATGCAGGCAAGTGAGGAACGTACAACGTACGTATGTAGTCAGGCAAACAGGCAAACAGACAGACAGGTACCATCATCTCCAACGCATACATACGCATACAAATCCAATGCTATTCTATGTATATGCTTTATAACTATTGTTTTATCGCGCGTCAGTCCCTCTAATCTCCTTTGTCTTGTCCTGTCTCGTCCTGTCATGTGCTGTTCCCCGTCTTGCAATCTGGTGCGGGATACGACACGACGCGAGGCGAGATACCTGTCTGTATATGCAATATCCATCCAATATTATCTAAGCGCCCGGCCGCAGCTGCTATGCTGTGCTCCGTTTTTCACGCACGCGCATTGTTTATGGGCATGGGTGTGGGCATGAACATGGGCGTTGGTTGATTGGGGAGATGGACATGGACATGGACATGCGTAGTAACTAGCTACGTACACTGTGTTAATTGCCAAGCTAGCTGTGTAGGTAAACGGGTGGGTAGTCAGTAAGAAGTTGTCAGCCAGCCTTGTGATGTGGGTACGGAGCGCCCGCCTGCGCGTCTGTCAAGAGATATAGCAACATTGAACATCTGGAGAGAGACGCACTGCATCACCCACCATGGATGTACGCACACCGTGTCGCAGAGCATATCGTACGTCGTGTAACAACAGATTATACAGGGTCGATTTTGGGACTAAATGTACATACAGAAGAGTGGGAATGGAGATTCTAGTATCATACAAATAATACCAGCGACATGTATCATCCACAGCCATATCGCGGAAGGAACGCCGTTGAAATGCCGTGATATCTCCAGTATTCCCGAGCGGCCAAAATACAAGGGATAGTCGGGACGTCTCAAAAGTCTATGGTACAAAAGGGGCAATGAGATGCCGGAGACGGTGTCGAGAAGGTGTGGGCGAGGTCGGAAGTCGAAGAGCGGTGGACGCATACAAGAGGAGGGAAGTCATTGAGCTCAGTGTCTTGAGCTCTGACTTCCTCTTGCTTCCCAAGGTCTGTTGGCTCGACCTGAGTCTCTGCCTCTTCTTTCTCCAAAGTCTCCTCCCCGGCCACCAAAGTCTCTGCCTCTTCTTTCTCCAAAGTCTCCTCCCCGGCCACCAAAGTCTCCTCCCCGGCCACCAAAGTCTCCTCCCCGGCCACCAAAGTCTCCTCCACGGCCGCCAAAGTCTCTTCCTCTGCCGCCTCCACCTCCGCCTCTGCCACCAAATCTGCTGCCAAACGATTGACCTCCACCCATGCCACCTCTTGACATCATCTCCCCAGCGTCCTGACTCTGGAAGACATCTGCTTCATCCTGATTCTCATCAGGGCCTGTATTGATGCCGCGACAGCGGGAAAGTCCAAGTTTTGCTGCCATGCTGCGACCAATCGAGGGAGGAGATGTGAGACCCCAGCCAAAGATGGCGAGGTCGTTCAGCGTGTCGACGAGTGTTTGTTTGGGCAGACTGCCTCCAGCCACGCCGAACATGGATGAGTAAGAAGCCTTCTTGAAGTCGTATGGGACTCTCCTGTAGGCCTCCCTGAGACCTGCGAAAACTTCAGCCGCAGCTGCAGGCACCTGGCCTTCTTGGGTCATGTTGACACTAGCTGTTTGGAGCGAAGTATCGGCCTTGATGGGGATGCCCCTCAACAAACCCCGGACGTGGCGCGAATTCTGTTGGTCAACCAGGAGCCATGCTTCTCCTTCCTTACCTGCACGAGCTGTGCGCCCAATACGATGGATGTAATCCTCCCTCGCACGAGGAGAGCCAAATTGGATGACGTGAGTGACGTTGGGGAAGTCCATGCCTCTTGCAGTAACATCGGATGAAACCAGGATTGCAGATTCCGCATTACGGAAAATCTCTGCTCTCCTGGTCCTAGCTGACTGGGTCAGTTTGGCGTGGATTTGGAGAACTCTTGTCTTGCTTAAAGGAGACATTCTGTTCAATTTTTGATACGCAGCGAGGGCTTCAAATGTAAGGGAGACATCGGCTGTAGTGTTGATGAATATAATGGCCTTAAAAGGTCGACCTCCCTTCGGCTCGGCTATTCCGTTGTTGCAGAGCTCAACCAGAGCAGGAGTCATATTCTCCAATCCTCTCGCCTCAACTAGTTTTTGCGGTACTCTCTCGTGGGTGGGAGCCTCGTTTTCATCGACACACTTGACAAACTGAAACCCTGGGCGTAGAGTCCGTCTGACCATCTGCACGACTTCATTCGGTAGCGTAGCAGAGAACATGAGTTGTTGTCTGGGACGTTCACGAACGTCGGGCAGACTCTGCTTGATCTGCTCAATCTCTTTGGTGAAACCGGCTTCCAGCAGGCGATCTGCCTCATCCATGACAAAGCAATCCAAGTTAGGGGCAGAAATGCCGGATTGGGGGTCCGCGAGAATATCATTCAAGCGTCCAGGAGTACCGACCAAGATGTGACATCCTTCTCGTCGAACTTGACTGAGATGTAGGCCCTTTTGTGTTCCTCCGACGGCGACCTGAACGACAAGGTCGGTGCGGGCAGTGACTCGTTTGGCCTCATTGGCAATCTGTTCAGCCAATTCTCTTGTAGGCGAGATGATGATTGCACGGATGTCCGAAGGTCTCGCGCGAGCTTTATACCGCCCAGAGATTGATCCGAGTGAGGGCTCTTGTAGGAGAATTCGATGAATCAAAGGAGTCAAGAATGCAAGTGTTTTACCAGTACCGGTCTTTGCTTGCGCGACGCTGGAAATGTTAGTTCAAGTCTTGGCTTGATGATACTGGTTAACTTACACATCCACACCACTAATAGCCGCATTGATCGACTTGCTCTGCACCTCCGTCATCGTTTCTAACTTCATGTCGGACGTGATCGCCTTAACAAGGTTGGGGTGTACGAGTCCGCCAGTTCCAAGATCTTCAAATCGAGTGATGTACTGTTGGGGCTCCTTTTCTGTTTCTTGCGCTTCTGCTTGCTGCTGCAACCTCGTGAAGCTGTGGAACGACGCAATCCGGGATGGCGTCTGAATTGAAGTAGCTCGCAGACATGCTGCATTCTGACTAAATGATGGCACGACGCGTACAGCCCTTTGAGGACATAGTGAGAGGGTTCTAGCAATAGATGCAGGGCATCTGCGGAAGGTGCCCAACATTCTTGTCGATGGTGATGTAATGCGACGAAGCAAAGAATTACAACCTTTAGTATGTAGTAGAACACAGAAGAAAGAACAAGCCGATTATGAAAGAAGAGATAGGAGTGAGGGTAAGGCGAAGTTGTGTGAGGTGTGTGAATCGTGCAATGGAGCGCGACGAACTTTTTTCTCGAGGGCTAGGATAAGACTTCGATCTAACTGCATTGGTGGTGTATATTGCCGCCTCAGGCATCACATACTGTCAATCCGCCTTAGGCGCGATTTTATGTCGCCATCATGGGATATCTCAACTACGCCGAGATATACTTATATACACACGCATTGGCTCAGAGACATACATACATCCATAGATGAAGTCTTGAATGATTGCTTTAATCCATAGACTGAGCTTTTCAGACAGGCTTGTCTTCCCGACAGAGGTTTCAACTTATCGAATCGACAGAAACATATCACCCAGGAGATCTTCAATATTACCGCTTTCGCCCATCATCTCACGAATATGAAGCGCGATTCTCTCAATGCGCTGGCCCTGGCTTGATGACCAGTACTGTAATGCCCGCCAGCAAGCTGTCTCAATCCTTCCTCTCGATGGGAGTTAAATCTCAATGAGGAGGGGTTAATGAACAAGGATAGATCTGTGATCTAGTCGGTCAATACTGGTGCTTTGGAACGAGTCAGTCCTTGAGTTGTAATGAGCTGGAGAGAATATATTAGTCGAACGAAGCTAGCTGTTCTCAGCACAGTACCGACGTACTATTACTCACACCAATAATGTATTACGAACTCTCAGATAGGTCTCATCTGACAATTGAGACTTCCACGGGATATGTGGCAAAGGAACTTGCTTAGACACATAGGTAATGTACACCTATTGGTGGCATAGACTTTTGATACGGAGACTCGACCAACTAGAGCTAAAAAGGAATACCAAGAGCAACTACAGCGCAGGACTGGCGAGACAACGAAAACAACAACATTCTGAAAACGTTAGTTTGCCAGACGCTAGATTAGATGTGGATCCTAGCCTTGGTATGTACGTCATATCATGATGCATCGACTATTTGATAGCACATCCTATCACCAGATGCTAGGACTCAGCACAGAATCGGACCTCTCTGCGCTCGAGCTACCATGTGTTCAGACCCATCTCTAGCCATACTCACTCCTTCTCCCGACATCTACGGTTATTACGCCGGTCGTACAGGGAAGAGATACCACTCTCCATCTCCAAACTGGCTCGACGACGGCGCATACACTCTAGGCGTCGCCTCCTATGCCATCGTATCCGCACCTCACGCTCTGGTCTTCGACGCACACATATCCCCCATCCACGCCTCTGCAGTCCTTTCGCACCTGCGCTCTCTCGGCGTGACGCAGGTGACATGAGTATACAGCCACGCACACAGAGACCACATCGCCGGCGCATCAACATTTCGCAACTCCGCCAACCCACGAACCGTGGAGATAATCGCGAGCGAAGAAACGAAGAGACGCATCAAGGACGGACTGGAGAGCTTTCTATCAGGCGACCCGTCCTTCGAAGGCGTGTTGCCGACGCGCACATTCAATGGTATCCTGCCCCTTTCCGTCGGCGCGCTGGATGTGGAGCTCTGCTCGTTCAATATCCATACCTCTGACTCGATCGTTGTGTGGATCCCGAGTGTGAAGCTGCTTCTTGCCGGCGATACGCTTGAGGATACGTGCACTTTTATGGCTGAACCGGAAAATGGCGCCGTGCACTTGCGGGAGTTGGAGCGTATGGAGAGGGATTTCCCTAGTGCACGTATACTCCCAGCGCATGGGAGTGCGGAAAGAATCAATGAGAAGGGGTATGACATGCAATTTGTGGCCGCGACGAGGAGATATATTGCGGCTATGACGAAGGTAGGAGAGAGGGAGCCGAAGGCGTGGAACGAAAGCTTGCGTGAGGTACAGTGCGTTCAGAAGGACTTGCAGAGAGAGGCAGTAGAGTACTGGGGCGAGTATGAGATGGTACATAAGGAGAATGTGCAGGCGCTGAGGAGTCTTACCGGCTCTTGAATTTATGCTATATTGGACTTAACTTTGTGGCAGGAATTCTATTTTGACAAGCGTAAATGGCTAACAGGCGATGAACCCATCGATACGACGTATGCAGGCACTTGTTCCAAACTATGATTATAGCGGAGCGCACAAGAAGCATGCCCGCGGAAAGATAGCGGCACATGGTGTAAATGAATCATCTGTAGGGACTGAGATGCCATAGCACTTGCCCTTGTCCGGATTTGCTGCGCAATAGGTGCAGATCTGCTCCACCAGTATCTCTTCGAAACCAATCTCTATGGGGCCCGAATCCCTCTTTCCCCATAGCTTGAATTGTGTGTAAGCAAAGTGCTGTACGCTGAGCAGAGACCGAATGATCGCCTTCTCGTTAAGAACATGGTCGTTTTCTCCTATGGACACTCCTGCGTCAGTCTGGAGAAGGGCACCCAGGAAACAGCCAGTGAAGTGGCTTTGTGCCTCTCGCAGCCTTCTCAACAAGGCCTTGCGATCAAACGTATAGGGTGAAAGATCCTCTGGAAGAAAATAATTGGCTGGAACTACCTGTGTCAAGTGGATCGGCATTTGATCTATAGCGAGAGCCACTATAGTGCGTTCGCGTGAGAGTTCTAGTGTCATGTTGGTCTGGAGGCCGAACGCATTGAACAGGAATGGCCTGTGTATGTCTTCTAATGTTACAAGTGCAGTAGGCACGCGCAAGAGGCGGATGCGCCGGGCGTAGGCAAAAGCATGGTTGACCTTGAAGACCGCGAGGACGTATGGTAAAATCCAACTCGCGGACTTGTATCGACACCAGCTGAAGTCGATAACATAGGTAAACCGATTGTGGACAACATCGTCAAATTCCTCCAAGATCTCGGGGTTTTCATCATGATAGAGCCACAGCCAGCGGCGGTAAGTTGCGAAACGCTTGACCATGTTTCGACAGTGACCCCATTCCGCTTTCCACACTTCATTTCGAAAAGTGCCAACGGGGGTCGGTGGAAGTAGGGCCCATTCTGTGGGCTCATGTTCGACGAGGCATTGGAAAATTCGGACACGGAGCTCAGGCGGGAGCCTAACGAACAGAGTTTGAGGTGGTCTCTTGGGTTGAACGGCATCGGCCTTCATCTTCATTATTCGCTCCTTGACATCTTTCGCAATAACAGCAATGCGATTCTGACCTCTGTACAAGCTGAAAAAGGGTCTGGCGAAAGTCCTGTTCCAGGCACAGTTGATACGATCTACGAAGCGCTCATCCATAACGATATAGACGACTGTGGAGACATCGAGATACGATGGGTGCTTCATTGAATCAACAGTACTACATTTTAAAAGCACCAAGACTTCTGTGATCGTGAAACGCTCGGAATGACATTGGTATTTGGTCGGTGTTCCATGGCAATGCTCCGACATTGTTTTCACATTGACTCACTTCACTTCACTAGCGATGTCCCGCCGACGTTCTCTCATTGGTCCACACCAACGAAAGAGGAAATTCGTGGTTATCGTTGGAGTTCTGTAACGTTGGAGGTTACTTTAAGGTTTGTGCAAGCTCGTACCATGTGTCTAGCTCCTGCGCAGAAGTCTTCACAGAGCAGAAGTCTTCACTGGTTAAACACATTATGTGTTATGAACACTATTCCGACTTGCGTTTCTTGACCATTTGTGTCACTTTGCGAAATTTCGTCTGTATAAGAACCAACAATGAACTTGATGTATTCTAAATCGTGGCTTCTTTGCTTGGCTCTCACCCCTTTTGGTCCGACAAAAACATGGATGATCAGACGTTTCTATACCGTACCAGGCTTCATGTCTCAGCGCACCTCCGCAAGGCCAAGTTCAGAGTTTTGAGACTTCATCGACGGTTGCTCGTAGCCCAGCTCAAGATCCAACGAGCGATCATTGACAAACGAGCCACCAGAGCCACCGCGTCTCAGACCTTGTACACAAAGCTCCCCCCTGAATTGCGCATCCAAGTCCTCGAACTTGTCCTCGCCGATGAGCCCACGGTCCTACACATGCTCCCACCAGGCCTTGGATCCAGCTTGGAACTGGCTGAATTCCAAGTCCACGACAATCAGCGCGCGGCGATGCTGAAGCATTACTGGAGCTACTTCGCCTGGCTTTTGACGTACCGCGAAACGCGCCCTGAGCTGTGGGACGAGTTGCAGGACGTTGTGCAGCGCCGCACGACTCTCGTCTTCGATTTTTCCTTCTTGAACGTTGACACCGCGTTTGCAGACCTAGCGGATTATGCGTTCAATAAGATGATCCAGGACGTCACGCGCGACAATAGCATGTCCGTTCGGCATATACGCGTCACAAATGTGCCGACCGCGCTTCTCATACTCCCGAATATACGCGCTTTCGGCCTGCGCACTAACATGGACCTCTACACCACTGCTGACCGCAAAATTAGATGCGTTACGAAGGACGCGTTGCCGTCGTTCATGGAAGAAGCTAGTTGGGTTCACCTAGTGAGCCCTCTGAGGTCCATCATGGATCCGCTTGCCACTTTGCAGCAGATAAACAAGGCACAGACACACATTCTGGAGTGCTGGCAGGGCGATCTATCAGATCCGACGAAGTATCAAGGCGAGAGTGAGAATCTCGTCACCAACAGGACAATCATACAGTCACTATCTAATCTGCAGCGCTTTGCCAAGGCACAGTATACTTATTGGAATGCTGCACGAACGTGCTCAGAGGAAGGGCTTGATAAAGCCACATTAGATCAGCTGTGCACGTACTGCGATGGGGTATGCAACGCAGGAATTCGGGGTGAGTGTACGCCAATAGACTCTCAAGTTGCTGGACGTGTTTGCCGGGATCAGGGGGAAGAATCATGTCCCTTTGAAGTATAGAGCGCTTGAGACATCTGGAATTTGAATAGCATTATTCTTTGAGCATTGTTACCTACCACATCATTATTGCAACAGGCACTTGAGCACTTATGAATGCAAGGATGACCTTCCACTGCAGCGCGAATCCGTCTGCGAACAAATGCAAGACATTGTCTCTCTCTGATACAGACAAGGTCCGCACGGCCTCTGTTGATCGCAAGATCGCTCCAACCTCTTCGGCATCTACAATATGTCCCAAGCTGGGGTGCAGGCGAGCATTCAGCACGGCTGTTATCACTCCAAGTCCAACAGCTCCTCCCAAATAGCGGAACTGAGTGTTGGCTCCAAGGGCCGAAGCTTAATCACGGTCAGCTAACATCGCTATACCTGGATCGAAGACTTACAGATGTTCTTGCGCTCTACGATCTGTGGAATACAGGAGGTTGCGATCGCATTGCTAAGCCCTGAACCAAGCCCGAAAAGGACTTGAAACCCGTATTGAGAGGCCTGGACTTCGGTAGAGAACGGGAGAAGCGCGAACCCAATGGCGCCAGCGAGCTGGAATGCAGCGCCTACAAGTAGCGCAAACGTTGGCTTGATCTTGAGTTTCTCGACTGTCGCGGCACCAGCCACTGCGCCAACCGGGACCATAACGATGAATGCAAGAAGACGTATACCAGAGGCAAGCGCGCTCAAAGAATGAATCGTTTGCAGGCGTTGAGGGATCTGAATGACGGCTGAGGTGAATGGAGCACCAACAAGAAAGGAAACCATGAAAAGCGCAATGCACCTCCGCTCTACGAACTCCCAGGATAGGACAGGCACGAGAGCGCTATTAATCTGTGACCCAAGCGTCTCCCACGCGGTGAAGAGGAGGAGACAAAGGCCGGACACGAGAAGAAGCGCAATGATGAGTCCAGAGCTCCATTCGTAGTCGATTCCGCCCTCCTCGAGTGCAGTCACGAGAGGAACTGATACTCCCAAGAATAGCAAGGCTCCGACAATGTCTAGGCGTCGTAGCGAGGCGTACGAAATTCGATTACGCTCCTGTGGGCGATTGTGATAAGGGAAGAAGTTAGGGATCGCAATGCACAGGATGACGAAGGCGACTGCAGCAATTGGTACACTGGAACAATCAGTTTGTGTTCTTCACGGAATAGGATGGCAACGTACTTTATCCAGAAAACCCATCTCCAACTCGCGTGGTCTACAATCGCTCCTCCAATCAATGGTCCAATGGCAAACGAAACAGCCGTCACAGCCGCAACGAGTGAAACATATTTGGGGAAGTCCTCAGGCCGGATGGCTTCGGCGATCACAGTCATCGCCATATTATACATGCCAGCACCTCCGATACCCTGAAAGGCTCGAAGAACAATCCTGTTTACAAGTCAGTAGACGCCACTGATGGGCGCCACAACACTTACAGTTGCGTAGCAGTCTGGGCCGTAGCGCATCCAATCGAGAACGCGATAAACAAAGCAAAGGCCGCAAGCGTGAACGTTTTCCTACCGAGGACATGACTAAACTGTGCCCAGATGATTAGGAAGCCTGTACATCGTCAGAACTAATATACAACCAGCAGCCCAAACAGATCCTCACCAGTATAGGTCAACAGATATGAATTGACTATCCATGTGCTGTCACCATAGGACCCAAGATCATTTGTGATCCCCACTAACGCAGTCCCGGCGATAGACACTTCCATTGTCGCAAGGAAGATGCCCAGGTAGAGACTACAGATCGTCAGTATGTACTTGTAAAGATCCGCTTCGTAACCCGCGACCTACCCGACGATAAGACATGACAGACGCCATCCTCGCAGAACAGAAGTATCCTGCTTCTCCTGAATCTGGGTATCCGAATCACTCGCATGCGAAGCGACCCTCTCTGGCTCAGGTATACTTGACATGATTGCAATGACAACACGACAACAAAAACGACAAGAAATCAGATATCCGGATGCAGAGCAGATCACAATGGAAGGATCAAGAGTTCACACGGGAAGCCGTATGGATGAATAGGACCCGCACGCTTGGACACGATTGCGTCCAAAGCCATAACGCCCACAAGCTTATCCCAAACTCAAGCACCACACGCATGTCTCCGTCTTCATCGCAGATCTCGCCTTGGCTGTTGTAACAACCCGCCGATCGACGCCAGTCCCGCCTGGGGGCCAACGCTACGTTTGCGATGAGTATATCCCAGCACGGCGCCCCCTCCCCCTGAGCTCACTCAGCCCTCTCCGGCACATCCGCTAATCAATCCGAACATCCATCCCTCTTCCGGCAACACGACATGACATCACATGCAGCCCTGTCACCAACGTCATATGTCTCTCGAAACACAACTCCGCATACTGATTCATTCATTACAGTCACTCTACAAACTACCCCTGGAATATGACTCTACACGATCCATGCGCGGCCGCGCGCTATCCCGCCGCCAGCGCGCTTGCAACTCCGGCCCATTGAAGAAACTCAGAATATGATCGCGCTGCGCAAACTCGGCGCACGATGCGTCGGTACTGTCGTCGTTATGTGCGCGCCGCACGTCGAGGTGCCATAGGAGCGTTGCTATAATGGCGCCGACTTGCATGTATGCCATGCTTTGGCCTAGACATGCGCGGGGGCCTAGGGAGAAGGGCATCCAAGCGCGCGCAGCGCGAGTGTCGGGGGCGAGCCAGCGGTCTGGTTGGTACGCGAAGGGGTCGGGGAAAGCGTCGGCGGAGTGGTGGAGGCTGTATATACCTGTGCCGATGTCGGTGCCGGCGGGAATGTGGATATTGTTGGGGAGGGAGAGGCCCTGTGATTCGACTTCGCGGAAGAGGGCGCCGCCGACGGGGGGTGCAAGGCGGAGGGCTTCGGTGATGCAGGCGTGGAGATATGTACAGCGGGCCATTGCGGTGCCGGAGCGGATGGATGACGGGTTGGGGAATGCGGAGCGGATTTCGGTGACGAGGCGGGTGTAGATTGAGGGATTGGAGGTTGTGTAGTGGAGGGTTGCGGCGAGCGCGGAGGCTGGTGTGCCGGAGCCGGTGACCATGAGGAATTTGCACTCGGACCAGAGCTGTGGGAGGAGTTGTTCTGGGGGTGTGCTTGGAGCGAGCGAGGATAGCATGGAGTGCATGAGGTTTGGCGTACGGTGGTCTGGCTTCTCGGTTGCGGCGCGGGTGTAGTCTTGTGCCATGGTGAGGAATTTCAGACCGTACCAAATGCCGCGAGGGCAGAAGAGCTTCTCGAGATGTAGGTTAATCAGGTCGAGGGATTGCACGAAGGCGCTGTTGAAGCGGTGCAGAGGCGCGATGGCGTCGACCATGAACCGATATGCCGACGAACCCAGGAGGTTGAAATTCTTGCCCAGACATGTCTCGCTCATGATATCAAAGACCATATATCGACCTACACGAACCGTCAGCACGCAGCCTAGCACATAGTAGAACGAATACGCAAACGCACACAAACTCGATATATCCACCGTATCACTCCACTCCTCTCGTCCCTTTGGCGCAATCTGCTCCACAAACTCTCTTGCCTTGTGGAGAGCAAAGTCCTCTGTCCACGCCATCTGCTCTCCGGACAACGCCTTCCGCACCATTGCACGCTTCTCCGCACTCACTCCTTTATCATGCACATTATGCACATTGCGCGGCCCTGCGATGAGGCCCATGTACGCGCGCGCCTTCTTCACTTTGTCGGTGCGGTATATCACTATTCGCGTATATCAGTCCGTTTGATCATGCGCTTGATTATGTGCAGTGAGCTTACCATGCGCCGCGTCCACCGTGTTGAAGAGCAATTTGTTCGACCCATACCGCACCACGTCGCCGTGTTTTTGGTGTAGTCGGTATATATCCTTGTGCATGTCGCCTTTATACGCGTGCCATGCTGCGTACCAGTCGCTTGCAGCGGCACATTTCGGGCCTGGGTAATGCGCTAGGGGGTGGAAGTACAGACGGTATATGGTGCGCGCGAGGAACTTTGGATCTGATTAGTTGAGTGGGGACGTGAGAGTTTCAGAGATGAATACGTATGCTATGGCTATGAACAGAAACACCAGAATGGAGATCCGGTATGGTGAGATTTCAGACATGGTCTTTTTGCATCGTGGTGCTTCAAGTGTGGTGTTAAAGATGCTGATGTTTGTGTTTGATGGTTGATTACCTAGGGAAAAGTGTAACCTTCAAGACAGGAGGACGAGCTACAGAGCCGCACTGCAGGGTCACCAGAGGAGCCGACGCCGCCCGGGAGGATGCACATGCATGGAGGACACAATGATAGAATGACAGGACAACAAGGCAAAAGACAAGCGCCCCGTTCTCGCTATCACTACCATTCACGCTGCATCAGAGGGCCAGGCAATGAGACAAGTGCGTCATCCACTCAACCGTCCGGCTCAGAACTGCCGTTTCTATTTTCGGGATATTGCTGCATGCGGCAATGATGATCAAACATAACAATCGTGTGTCCTATCTCTCTGCCCGGCTGAATGCCTCGGGGGAGGGGGGTTTGCACGGAGCACAGCAGATCCGCAGCGCCAAAAGTTCCAAAGTGCCGGAAAAGCGGAGCAGCTAGCGTGCGCCTCACCCGGCAGCGGTGAATGACAACAGACGTCAACTTGCAGTGCTACATATTATGCTATCTGCGCAGTGCTCTACCATTGATATTATCATCCATGCGATAACTCACCATAGCTACGTCTCATGCGTACCAATTCTCACGGCGAAGCCATAGATATACACGTACCATCACAGCATCCTCATACCGAGGCGCATCTAAGCACGGCCATGTCTTAAACTTCCGCATACGGGCGGCGCCATCGCTCGATCCGATGCGTCATGTCTAGCGTATCCATACCAAGCTATGCAAGTATGAGAGATCGTGGCCCCCATTCACGGTTGTGTGGGTCGTCTTTTGACCTGTCTTGGACTTAGTGCGCTGCGTGTATATCTTGTCACGCGCTCGCTGGGGTAAGACGGGCTGCTGGGCAATGCGATTCCGATGGCAGTTTTGCGTGTGGCGTTCTTGGGTGTGGGGTGCTTTCTGACGTGGTGCGTGGGAATAGGGAATAGGAATTAGTGAGGTTGTACTCGGTGTCGAGGTATGCGACGGGGTTCCGTCTACAAGCCCAGGAGGGTGGGCATGTTGAATGTGAATGATATGGACGCTCTACGAAGGTTGGGAAGGAATAATGGAGGGGATGGTAAATCAGTAGATTTGGTATATACATTTATTGTGTTCGCTAATGCTATAGTCATGATGCAACGACAACATATCGTTCAAGACACCCGCTCCACTCCATTCATCCAGTCAGACCCGCGTAATGATCATAGGCCCTTCACCAAATCACACTCTACTATGCTGCGCAGTGACCCTCACATCATGCCTGACATGAATCTGCCCCGGCATCCTTGGCAAATCTCTGTCCATCTCAAAACTCCTAGTCCCATCACTACTTCCCTTAGACAGCAGACTCGGCTCCGACGAGTCCCGCTCCGTCGCATGCGTCGTCTGATCGAACACCATCGAGTTTCGACTCCGCGATGACAAGACGTTGCTCGTCGTCCTGCGCAGCCACTCGTACGCCGACGTCATCTGCTTGCTGTACACCAGCTTGGCCAGGATCGGGCGGTACGTCAATAGACATGCCGAGATGAGGTAGATGCTGGCCTCGACAATGACCCAGAGGATCAGGGGCGAGGCATACCATGTTGGGTCGGATGAGTACTCGTTTAGGAAGAACTGCGCAAAGCGGATAACGGATGTGATGAGACCCCTGTATATGTTTAGCGATTGTGAATCCACAAGGCGGGCGAGGAGCTTACACTGAGGCGATGAGGAAGGTCGCGTAGAGACCGAGACGCACGTGGTTTGAGACTTGTAGCTTGCGCACCACGGGGATAGGGAGGAGGAGCATCGCAACATCGGTAACAATGTTTATGAACGGGCCCCAGATGAGGAGGGCTTGAAAGTTGAGGCAATGACGGCCAGGCTTTGTTAGTTCCCAGGAATACTCCTGGCCGTTGCACTGGAATCCGACGAGGAAACAGTTGATGACGGTTGCTATGCCTAGTGCAGCGATGAGAATCCAACAAGCGATACGGCTGAACTTGTCGATGAAGATGCGTAGGTAGAGTACTAAGACTGAGATCTTAGGTAGCACAGAAGCGATGGTGAAGGTAATGGGTACTGCATAGAATGCATTGCGGCCAAAGTTGGGAATCTGTTCGGGTTCGTTCGTCATCACCCAAGCGATGCGACGGCCAGCGCCCCATCGTGGTGCAACTGTGGATTAATATCAGAATGGACCATCTTATTATTGTGATACTTTGACATACGGAGTCCATCAATGCAAAGGCCCGTCACTGTTAGCCATGCTAGCACCATGAGAAAGTCATCCCAGTACCACGGCGTCTTCTGCTGTTGTCGCGATATAAATCGAAGAATCACGGCAGTTTGATTCAACGCAAGAAAGACAGCAGCAGTGACAATCAGTTGATTGGAAGAGTCATCGTAGAAACCAGGAGGTATCTCGGTAGGCATTTTGAGTATGAGTGATTTGAATGACAAGTATGAACAAAATCAAAACAGAGAGATAGAGGTCAGACCCATGTCTTATGAATCCCGGGAACCTCATCGGTGATATAATTGGTGTCGGTCAATAATGCTCGTTGATCATAGTAAGCTAGCCTGCAGCGAGACAAGCTCGGATACACTGATCTACTAGAACTACCGATTGGGGCCAAATGCGGCCACATACACATACGTAATGTGGGTAAGACTAGGTCGTATAATTGCTTACGTTATTTGAATGCTCGGACGACGAGAATTACGAAGGAGTTCTCATACTTGTATTCTAGCCTAATTTCCATAGTGTTCATCATACAGTATAAACTTTTTCAATCTCGTCTTTGAACTGCTCCATGGCCATCTTGCGCTGAACATAACCTTTTGGAGACTTGGGAAGATGTTTCCCTTGCGGTACAAAAACAACGTGATGTCTCTCGATCTTTATTTGCGGCGGAAACAGGTTGTTACAATCATTGATTGTCTCCCAGACCTGGTCAATGCTTGTTGCTAGGTCTTCACACGCTGCGGCTTCCAGTTCGACCAACAATGCTGTATAAGGTCTTTGAGTCCCTACCATTGAGACTGCTGCCACGAGAGAATGTGCTGATACTCTATCTTCAAATTCGAGGGGATTGACGGTATCACCTGTACTCAGGATGAGTATATCGTCTATCCGCCCTTGGTACATCCAGAAACCTTCACGCTCAGGATCAGGCATGAATGTGTCTCGGGTCGAGAACTCTTGGAGCTCTGGAAACAGCTTAAACACAGCCTGCTCATCCTCCGGGTCTCTGTTCCGGACTACTACGGCCTCAAAGACCTCTTCGTTCGGCACTTTGCGGAAATCGAGTCCCTCTCCTGGATGGAACATTATACCTGTTGTTATCAGAAAAGGGTCAATGAGAATGATTCGAGGTATTGACTTACTATTCCAAGCACCTGCGTCCCATGGTCCGGCCGGCGATATCTTGTGTAGAACCCCTATGTCACTAGTTCCGTACATTCCCATAAGCCGGAAACGACGGGCTAGAATATTTCCAGACGTCTTGGAGATCGGTCCGCCTCCAAAGCCAATCGTCGTGACTTTTGCGGCGACCTCTTCTAGCAAAGAAGGGTTTGTTGCAATGTTGTCCAGGATGAAAGGGGGTGCGATAATCATAGAAGGATCGTTGCGTCGTACGAGCTCCATTACGGTGTCGATATTGAGAGGGGAAGTAGGCAAGGGGAACAGAACAGTGATCTGATTGGCCAGCGCTCCAAAGAAGTTTGGGAACAGACTGCTACTCAGATTCGGAGGCGCAACTACGCACAGTTCAATGCCATGCGTGAAGCGTTCACGACTCGAATGGCCATCTGGAACTGAGCTTTGATTCCGTTGGATCCACGCAGCAGCCCAGTCATGTGTGAGAGTGATAGGCTTAGGTGGTCCAGTAGTCCCAGACGTATGTATGACCACCAAGGGCTCTCCACGGGCTGATTGGAAGGTCTTTTCGTAAGGATAGTGCTCCACCACAGTCTCGAGCAGACTCATGAGGGATGGGATCTCATGGATGTCGAGCTGCATAAACTCTGACAGAGACGAAGCCAGAGGGAAATCAGCAGAAGCTACGAGGAACTTTCTGCACTCCAGTCGTTTCAATAGCTGACTCAGTCCTGCAGCAGGATATGCAGCGGAAGGGAAGACCATCTTAATGGTGTCAACTGCGTTTTTTTGGACTTGACAATTTGCTCTGCGTACCTTATAGCCTGCTTTGACTGCAGCGAGAATTGTAATGATGTATCGGATATCCCATGGACCAACGTATGCGAGAGTCTCAAAGTTGAGAGACTTCCCAAATCGTTTCTCCAACCACATCGCTAAACCATTCACAGCATTGGCCAGTTTCGAGTAGGTGACCTTCTGGAAGCCATCTTGGAATGTCTGGTCGTTTCGTGGTATCTTAGCCCACACGGTATCAGGTCTGTAGTTTGCGAGACCATCAACTACGTTAACAAGGAGTTGTTTGTTTTGTGCTCTCGGACTTGGTGGGCGTGCCGAGCCTTCTGTGAACTGAAGTGATGGCATGGATTCGATACTTGGATTTCTATGTAGTCTTCTTCGGGTCTCTCAATGTCCTTATGCGTATAGCAGGCTTGCTTACGAGTGTGTAAGATTGCGATTGAAATGAATCTTACTCATCTGGGGTCGTCGATCTGTTCAACGTGGCAGTCACATTGCATCACTGGTCGGCTAGACATTCGGCTGAACACGTTGATCAGAGGCTCTATTTCAGGCAACGGACCGAAGCCTGTTGTAGTAGGTGGAGCGTCGGTGTGTAGGATCAACAAGCTTATGCAGTGCGAAGATGAGGTTTGCAAGTTGCCCGGAGCTGCCCTGCGTACAACGAGTACCGACGTCCGGGCTTGCGATTGGTCGAGCTGGAGGGCGCATATGTCAGATAGTCTATAATATCACCGCATTGGGTGGGGGCCGTAAATATCCATCGAAGATGGCGCTGTGATCTGTCATGCGCAGATCGATGTCAGTCTAAAAATGCCAAACGATGAAGATTTAGTATATTGCTGCTGATCAGCTCACATGCATGCATGTATACACTCTCAGCCTGTTTACATTGGCGATTCATGCTTATCACATCTTGCCTTTGATACCTTGCTGTCGCCTCAGATCGATAATAGCACAGAGATGTTGCGCTAAGGCTACCAGTTCCATACCTTCGTCCAGAATCTCAACCTTCATCGACATGCGAGAGTTCATAATTCGCTTCGCAGTAGCACGCACATAGAGCCACTTTACTCCTTTCTGAGGCAAACGTTTCCTGATCTCCAAATTCATGGACTGGGAGCTGATCATTGCGGGAGCAATGTAAGAGCCCGAAGACTCGTCCAGGGTTTCTGCGATACCTGCATTACGGTTCTTCCTCTGCTGTAACCCAATCTTCACACTAGATGCTTGCGACCCAGTGGATCCTGGGAAGTAGTTGTCTAGGATAGGGAGAGAAACATCGGCTACGAATCCAAGCATATCGTTTGTAAACCAGTTGTCTGGGTCTGTTGGAGTGATCCACTGCTCGCGGTAGCTTGGATCCTCAAGGTCGACGGGAACGAAGAACTTCAGATATGAATGGACTTTGCGAAAACCTTTGGGGTTGTAAGGTGTAAGGATAGAGATCCATCGATCGTCTGCATCATCTGAGAGTTTCGAGAGGTTTACCTCTGTTGGTCTGGGGTTGATATTCCAGGGTACATCAAACGAGAATCCGTTCGCTGGTTGAGCGATATTGGTCAAGCTTTATTAAAACAGTGAGCTCAGGAAACTGGGCGAGGATGGGATGCTTACTTCAAGAGCCCTACCATAGCATCTTTGCCACCCTGTTGTATCGTAGCTCTCACCGTAGATGCGGATTTCCCAATATGCACTGGGGTGATGAAGATGCATGCTTCAGTGGGCGTGAGATACCGCAGGAATTGCCATTGAATGTTGATCACATCTGGCTGGTCAAGATCTGGATAGTTCTTTGATATGTAGTCATTGACAGCTTTGTGGGCTACCGCAACAGCAGCTCCTCCGAAGATTCCTAACAGTATCGTTCAATAGATATATGGAAGAGCAGTGGATGCTACATACGAGGACCAAAAGTGTATGCGCTTGGAATCTTGATCAAGTATTCACCCTCTAACTTTGATGATGGTTGCAACGCTGAAAACCTGGGAGGCATCACTGATCCAGCCATTAGGCGTATATGCTCACTTGAGTGATCAGGGCTGTTTGATTGATGAACAATTACCCTGTGTCAACATGAAATGGTGCATGAACAAACAAAGGAATCGTAACGGCGTAAGAGCCGCGGCACAGCCAGTGGCTGGCCCCCACCGCTCATCCGAGTCAGGGGTGGGTCTGCTGGCAGATAGGGTGCGTATTTTGTGGCATGGTTGACGCCTCTACGTCATAGCTATTTAGTCAGACTCCTTTGATTCAGCTTCATTCATTTCTGGTGTCAGACGTCAGGTCTCATCTCATCTCCTCTGCTGGCCAGCAAGCAAAACACTGCCTCCTCTTGAACCGTATGATGGCTGTGGTAACAACAAGGCAATCCTGTACTGAGTGCCCAGTCCCAAGAGGCCCGTTCGCCTTGTCGGAGTATCAATGTCCGCTAATGGGACTATTACTTCTTTAATGCTGTCGATCTGATCCAGTAGACTTGATGATCCGCTAGATACAGGATTGGGACAGCCCCGAGGCCTCCCTCCCCCCTGTTGTCCATCGGCGAGACAGCCTTGCGGAGACCAGGCAATGGGCCAAGCGATTGGTAACGCTGCTCCGGCGAGTGACGCTGATACTGTACTCTATGAAGACAAACCTTCTGCCCATGACAGGCATTAGCGCTATGACATTAGTCGCAGCTTTCATAAAAGACCTTCGCCGCCGAACTGGCTCTTCTAAAGCCACAAATGGTAGAAGAATCCTACAAAGGCACCGTTCTGCAGGGACCATTCGTTCTGCCGCGCATTTGCTCCTCTCATCATGACTGCTGATTATGATTCACATCCTTCTGACCTGGCGGGTCCGGGTGTGAGTACTGACAGCTCCCGTAGATATGGGTAATGCACTGACAACAATTCTAGCCTCAGTCGGGAGTGACGATTGACAGTCTCAAGAAAGCAATTCCAAAGCATTGCTTCAAATCATCATATCGACAAGGATTCACTATTCTGTTTCAAGACCTCTCCACCGCTGCCCTCCTCGCCCTCCTAGCAATCAAATTCATCCCCCTAATCCCATCAACCGCCCTTCGTATCGCTGCCTGGGCTATATACGGCCTAACCCAAGGCTTCGTCTTCACTGGCATCTGGGTCATAGCCCACGAGTGCGGCCATTATGCATTCACCCCGTCCAAGCCGCTCAACGACACTCTTGGCTTCATCCTACACTCCTTCCTGCTAACCCCCTACTTCTCCTGGAAATCCACGCACCGCAGACACCACATATACGCCAACAACATGGCCCTCGACCACAACTATGTCCCGCCGCGCGCAGACGAGTACTCTGCCTCCTTCTCCTCCCGCATCGAAGACCTCACCGAAGACGCCCCCCTCGTCACCGCCCTACGCATCCTGCTCCAACAACTTCTCGGCTTCCCCGCCTATCTGGCCCTCAACATCACCGCCGCCCCATCCTCTCTTCCTGCGAAACCCTCCTCGAGGCCCCTCGAAAACGGCCACTTTGCCCCCTGGGGCGCGCTCTTCCGCGCCGAGGAGGCGCACCTGATCCTCGCCTCAGACGCCGGACTCATGGCCATGTGCGGCATCCTACACTACGCGCGACAGCACGTCGGGATCGCGACTGTATTCGCAGTATACGTCGTGCCGTACCTTTGGACAAACCACTGGATCGTAGCCATCACGTACCTACACCACACCCACACAGATGTACCCAAGTACGAAGCAGACGCATGGAGTTTCGTGCGCGGCGCAACATCGACAGTAGACCGCGATCTCGGCATTGTGGGCCGTGTGTTCATGCATGGCATCGTGGATTACCACGTGGTGCATCACCTGTTTCCGCGCATCCCTTGCTATCATGCGCGCGAGGCGACGGAGGCGATAGTGCCTGTGCTTGGCGATGCATATCATAGCGCGAAGACGGAGAACTTTATGGCGTCGTTGTGGCGCACTTTTGTCGGGTGTCAGTATGTCGTGCCGCGAGGGGAGACGGCGGGGGTGCGGGATGGGAAGCTGTGGTATAAGGGTGGGAGGTGTCCGCCTGTGCAGACTGGTATGGGAACGAAGAGGTGGTTGATCTGGCCTGATGTGCTGTAGGAATTACATACGAGGAATGAAATTGGATATAGAGACCGAGTTTATTTCATGATATATACCCAGATTCGTTATCATTCATTTGAGAACCATTAGTCGTACCTCTCAAGAGACAACCAGCTACTTTGACCTTGACCTTTAGGCCACCCTGGTATGCGACAGCTCCTACAGTCAGCAGTGTGGCTCCATAAGGTAGTTTACAACTTCCTGTTACACTGACAGCAGATGCGGCTAGAGACGATCAATACGATACATACGAGGCGAAATTTCGAGAAAGGAGCTGCATCACTACGTTCCCCACTAGTCGTGGACTATTTCCGCGAGTTCACTCATCCATAAGAATGACTATTTTGAGCTATTTTCACAAAAATCATGAATGCCCTGATGCATTCCGCCGCCTCGGACTCGATATAAAGTGCCTACCTCAGTCGCCCAGAATGGGTTTTATATTGGACCCATCATGCAACTTTTTTCTAACGGACGTGGATGTATCAGACCATCTTCAAATGCCACATGCATGAGTGTTGATAACATCGAGTACGATGCGCGGCGACGTGAACAACGTACAAGATGTGCCGTCACAACGCCGTAACGACTGTCGTGAAAGAGACTTGAGGGATGGATGCCTCTCGGCGTCCTTCTAACACCCAAAGACTCCTATTGAGCCGATGTGAAAGGCGTTAGTAGGTAGTCTATATGGTATAGACTTCTATGTCAAAGAGCACGCGACGAATTTTTCATACTGACCGGACAAGTTCTGCTGACCAGAAGAAAGATGTGCACTATGTACTGAGGCATGATGGAGAGATACAACGCGCACACTCAAGACAGCCATCAGCGCCCCCCGTCCGACATTCATTCTGTGATGTAAAGTGTTGGAATATGATCGAATACAGTGCATTAAACAAAGAGCGCGCCACCAACTGAGTCAATCATGTTCCACGGACGACCAATTCGTAAGAGCTGAATGATTGCTGCATCACGGGTTGGCTTATCCACCACTCGCTGCCATATTTGAAGGGATCTTTGAGAAAAGCCTATGCTGCTATGCAGGAAGCATTCTACAATACTGCCGACAAGAGCGAACGGACAGAACTTGCGTTCGGCGAAATTCTACGAGAACTTGAGACTGGAAGGGATATTATACTGGAGACCATCCCCCTATACCGCGCAACCATCAACACCGCTGTATTCTTTTCGGAACGCCTCATGGAGTCTCATGGCCTCTTCGCTAGCCAAGCTCTAACAAGGCGGAAATTGACTCTTCAGGCGTTCGCTCTTGACAGGTCAAACGAATAAATTGTCGCATCATTTATACATATATATATTCATTCTTCTGACGTTGTTGACGAAATGGTGTCCCTTGACAGTGCAAGACCAACCTTGTGCACCGCATCGCACAACGTACATCATGCCTGTCATATACCATACCGAAGCTTCAACCATCATACTGTATTACATACGTTCTGCTGAACGATTCTGTGTGCAAGCAAAACCCGATATCACTGCATATGAAGACGAAGAAAGAAAGTGATTCGTGCCTGCCAAAGACAGGAGAGACTCCGAAGCCACGTAATCCGCGGCTACAGCTGGATGGACTTCCCACAGAACTCCTCGTCCAGATCTTCCAATATGTTGCGTTCGACGAGTATATGGGCCATCGCGGTCTGTTCGAATTGAGGTGGAAAGAGACTTTACAAGACAGAAGTGACGTATGGAAGCAATACATGCGGCGTACCACATCACAAGACCCCAAGTCGCATCCATCCTGGATATATCTACGCGATGTGATGAAAGCACACTATTCCACCCGGCTATCAGCCATCGCTGCCAGTCTTCTAGCAGATTCAATGTGCCTGCTAGATCTCAGATACACAATGGACGCTGAGATCAAGACTAGGAAGCTAAACACCCAGATGAAACAACTGAAAGAGCTGTGTGAGCTCCTGCATATAAACGGGTTGTATCACATGCGGCATCTCGTGCTCCGGCGCGTACGCTTTGCGATATGCACCCTCAGCCTCGACACAACCACAGCCGTCGACTTCACAGCGACATTTATATTGGACATATCAGACGACGGAAGGCATGCCAAAGTCACTGTTGTCCCCGAATTCCACCACCTAGTACAGACATATAAGCACACGAACCATACCATGCGCGCAGAAACAGGGGCGGACCAGGCATCAGAGACGAAGCAACTAACGAGCTCGCAATTATCGAAGCTGGAATGGGCGCTGCAGGATGCGCAAGAGCATTTCAGGCGCTGGTGGGAGAGCGACATACAGACACTCTTGCGAAACCGGAGCAAAAGGCATTTCGACATGCTTGATAAATCGCTGCGGAACCTTTGGGCGGTTTCGGTGGCGCAGCGACGTGAGTCGTTTGATTTTGATGATGTGCAGCTCAGGCACGAGTTGAGGGAGAATGGGTTTATGATGCATCAAGGTCTTCCAGAATGTGCGGCTACTGGGCTCCATGGATACAGTAGAGGTCTTGATTTCCAGGAGAACAGAATGCTTGTAACCTCTCACTGAGTCCGGATACGGCTTTGGTCTTTCTCGCCAATACACGCCAGGGATACTTCCCCTATCCAGGGATCAGTGCCAGTCATACGACCCCGAACGTTCAGCAGTGGGTCGGATTTACTTTGAAAATCCACCGCACCACTAGACAGGAACGTAGCCGCGCTGAGAAACACCCAGTCATTATCCATACGGCTCCAGCTGTTGTAATCCAGTGTCACCAGTCAATTCAGGTCTGATCATGACGGACTGGACGAAGATCAAGCGTAGTGATGGTAGCCAGATCAAGATCAGTTCCGTCTGTGTGTATACAGTGATCTCGAAGATGGTACTGCACCTACCAATGGCATGAAGTAGTTCCATTAGGTGCGTCAAAGACTTGGGGTACGGAAAGCAAGAAAAAGCGAAGGGACTCCCATTGGCGGAGCAGATTGAGAGTGTATCCTGGTACTCCATGGCTCTCCATTGACAGTCTGGGAGGATATGGGAGATGTTAGCTTGAAGTCCTTCTGAAACATATTTCTGTCAGCTTATGGAGTCCGAGGACCGATCTGGGAGTGTTGTATTATTACATTTCGCTTCGTGTATCAACATCTATTTGCATACCTTATCTATCTTGCTTTGGTCAAGATCTGATGCTAGGAAAGTGGTCATTGCTATACCCGCCACTTTAAGAAGGCGAGAAACTCGCATTGAATATGGTGGCCAGTCCCAGCCCAGACTCCATAATAACCAGCGGTTATAAACCGCCGCACGGCGTCCCATCGCCGCATCCGGGCCCGTTCACAGCGGCCCGGACCCACTATAAAAGACGCTTGTGCCCACGTTCAGGCGCCCAGGGATCTATCTACATTAATACATACACATCACCACCCCCCGGCCTGCAACCTCTTAAACCACAATCCCCAGCAAACACAACAACACTTGCCCTCGCACGCCGAGCATGGCCACCACCACCCCACTCACCCTCCCACGCACCCTCTTCACCCCAACCCTCTACACCAACATCCTAAAGCTATGGTTCCGCGACATCCCACCCACAACACGCGTCGTGCCCCCCGAGACAACGTCCCGCTGGTTCGGCAAAGGCGCGCCCGAACCCAACGGCAAAACCTTCGACGAAGCATGCACAGACGAATTCGAGCCCGTACTCGAGGCCATCGGGCCCCAGCAATACACACTGCCCGCAGCAGCCGTAGCAGCAGATTACAGGGCCGAAGTGGCGAGCAGCGCCGGCATAGCGGCGCCGTTCCTCGCGGATATTCAGAGCGCGGATGAGGCGCAGACGAGTGCGAACGCGCTGGGACTGATGCTGTTGCTGGACCAGATGCCGCGGAACATCTTTCGCGATAACCAGGCGGTTGTGTATGGGCATTATGACCGGATAGCGCGGGCGGTGCTGCGCGGGGTGCTGGAGGGGAGACCGCGGGTGGATTTGCATGGGAGTTTGCGGCTTGTGCCGTGTCGGCGGATGTGGTTCTATATGCCGCTGATGCATTCCGAGTATCGCGAGGATCACGATTTGTACTGGAAGATTATGAGCGAGGCGCAGGCGGAGTTGAGGGCTGATGGGGATGAGGAGAGTGCCGGGTTCGTGCAGTATAGCTTGGATTTTGAGAAGAAGCATGTGGGGTTGATTGAGAGGTTTGGGCGGTATCCGCATCGGAATGTGCATCTGGGGAGGGAGATGACGCAGGAGGAGAAGGAGTATCTTGAGGCTGGCGGGGAGAACTTTGGGACAGGGGCGTGAGTAGCAGACATGAAAGCGAACACAATACCCAATGTTGTCTAGAGATCTATACTAGAGATGCTAATCCAAAATGCCGCTAGGTCATGAATTACAATCCTGTCGCACCTCTCTAACTTCCTGCAGCGCCTTGATCAAACCCAGGTAATGCGCGATGCCCGCGAAGATGACCATGAAATGGAAGATCTGATGGCTCGCGCCCACAAAGTCGAATGTATAGGGGTACAACCGCTCCGGCACCCTGGCAGCATAAGCCGCAGCTCCGAAGATATTGAAAGAGGCCATGGCCAACATCCACTTTAACGCCATGCGGCGCTCCTGGATCTCAATCCCATGCAGCATGATTCCATGAGTGACAAAGAACATGGCAGCAAGGCCTAACCCTGTGTACATGCCAGCGCGATAGCTTCGGAAATGCGGCGTGCAGAAGCGTGGGTGCATCGTGGTGATAATACAGCCAGCAGCGAGCGCTGTCGTCAGCGCCCAGTGGAAGTATCGCAGAGTGGGATCGCAGATGAAACCATAGTAGATGGATGGTAGGCTCGCCGTCCACATCAGCAGCACGATCCCCAAGTAGTCCAGTTGATTGCCAAATGATGCGATCGAGGGACTATGGTTCCAGACTATATGGCAGCTGGCAGAGCAAGCGAAACATATCGAGACTCCGTGGAAGTAGCCAGTGAACAGCACAAAGTCGATCAGGGACGCATGAGGCGTCTCGAGGTAGACGCTGTAGTAGAAGTGGAATGGCAATGCGGCGAATAACACACTGCCAGCGATGTGCGAGATTATGTTAATTGTTTCATTGTGCCAGCGGAAAGAACTTTGGAAACAATCCAACGTCGAGTCTGCAGTCGGTCTGTAGCCTGAGAGGAGATACTCGTTTTCCTGTTGCCAGCTTGGGATTTCGTGGAAGTGTAAAAGTCGTTGTTTCGTTTTGAGGGTCGAAAGAGTATCAGGATCGCTCGGCACGCTTTGATATGTGATCTGGGTCTCGGTTTTCATGCTTACTCTCCTTGACATGCTTCAGCGGAGGTCTCCCAGCAGGCATTATCAAAGGCCTGTCGGGCGGTTGTTATACGCAGATTTTAGACGCCGAAAGTTGTCAACAAGGCTGCAACGGGAAGTGGGGGACAAAGACCCGCAGCAGCGCTTGTTTAAGCCGTATGATTGGCTAAATCCATTGATGTATTAGCGTAGCCACTCTTTTGACGACATCCGGTCTATCTACATCCTCCTCTGCATTCCATCAGCATATTCTTTCATCAACTTGGAGAGCTTGATGTGTCCGACTCATGAAATCTATAAATACTCGGACCAAATGCTAGCATCCGCGTTATCTCGGTGCGATTGTGCCGTGTGCGCGGTTACGTCTCTTCTCATTATCAAATGATAGAACAGCAATGTTGCCTCGCCAGCATATGCTCGATGTGTTGATGCAGAGAGCAACTCAAGTCCAAAGCGCTTCGAGCGCTCTCTAAGCGCAAGAAATTCACTGGCCAATACTCACTTGGTTACAGACCTGTACTGTACTATCCGTACGCGCTTGACGCCTCCAGTGAGACCTGAAACATCCCCTTCCAGCCGTGCCGTTCTAAAAGCCTTCATGGCTGATCGATCATGCAAGTAGTCTCAAGTACTGTATCCATGGGCGCTTCGACATCCATGTTAAGACCAGGATGTCTGACATTCCCCATCGCACACCCCATGCTTGCTCTATCTATTCCCTACCGTGACTCTCACTCATGGACTTCAGCGATATAGCGAATGTCACCGTCGGCAACCATACACTCGTTGGATGGGTTGACGGTCCGGACCGGCGTGGGACGCTGTCAATCTTGATATCATGTCTCACGACACTATTGCTATGCACATGGTCTGCCATGCATCTCAATGTCCCCAAAAGGCATGTGAATGAAGTCTCATACATCAAGACCCAAGTGTTCTGGAGTCTGGTGGGGATATTCGGGCCGGAACTTGCAATCTGGTGTGCGTGGAGGCAGTACATGTCGGCAAAGGCATTGCGGGATCAGATCAAAGCAGCTCTGCTTAATGTATGTCAGTCACTGTTCAGGACTAAGTATACATTTAGCTAACATTCCCTCAAGTCGGGCAAGCACAGCAGTTACCACGAAGAATGGACACTGACGCACGGCTTCTACGCGAGTATGGGAGGGTTTGTCGTCGATCTGGATTCTCACGACATGTCCGACAAACCAAAGTTCCTCAGAAACTCAACACGGCTCACACTCACTCCCAAAGGCATCCTACTTCTGGCTCGTTGCGGATACCTACCCTCGATAAGACGCGAGGAAATTGAAGATAAAAGTAAGACTGATGGTCTGGGCAAGTTCCTCGCCTGTGGCCAAGCTCTCTGGATGACGGCACAAGTCATCGCTCGACTAGCCAACAACCTCCCAATCACACTACTCGAAGTGACCACCCTAGGTCACGTCCTCTGTGCCCTAATCCTGTACAGCTTCTGGTGGTACAAGCCACGCTGGATCGCGGAACCGACTCGCTTGGACGGAGACTGGATCCCCATGATATGCGCCTTCATGTGCATGGCCTCGAAGCTAGGCGACGACCTCACGATCGGCGAGAGCGATTTCCAAGAACGCTTCGCAGTCGACACAGCAGAAATCTCACGTCTGCGATATGTCTTCCAGGAGACGCAGGAGGAGTATCCCGATCAAATCTCTACAAACATCGGCGATGCCCAATCCTATGACTTCGCGCCACACCCTCGCCCTCAACGAGCACGCACAGGCAGCAGCGGCAGCTTCGTAACCCGCCCGGGCACAAACTCCCACAGCAAAGAAACAACCAGCAGCAGCATCGTAATCGACATCACCCCCCTTCCCTCAACAAATCCCACAATCGACCCCGTAACACTGACCAGACACGACCTCGCCAGCCAAGCCATCACCACCTATCCCGCAATCCGCAAACTCATGCAATACCCCGTCCCCGCACACGCCCAGAAACACGCCCAGGCCATCCAGCTATACCCCGAGATGCCGCCCAAGGTCAAGAACGCCATCGCAGGCTGGCAGCCCGCGTCGAGGACGTGGCTGGAATGCCAGACCGAGCATCTCGTCTGCACGACGGCAAGCAATTGGCCGTCGGAGGGTCTGCTGCGGCCGACTGGCGGGCTGGCGACGGGGGCAGCGCTGTGGTTCTCGAGCATCGCGTTTGCCGCGATCCATATCGCGGCGTGGCACGATGCGTTTCCGTCGGTGGTCGAGGCGTGGCTGTGGCGGGCGTCGGCGGTGTATCTCTGCTTTTCGGGCTGTTTGTGGTGTTTGATTCATGTGCTTGCGGATGTGTCGGCGGGGTTGTGGTGGCTTTGGTATGATCTGTTGACGGGTGGCGGACCGAAGTTGTTGAGGAGTTTGCTGTTTGCGGTTTGTAGTGTTTGTGGCGTGGCGTATGTGTTTGCAAGGTTGTTTCTGATTGTTGATTCTTTCGTGAGTCTGCGCTCGCTGCCAGCGGCTGCGTTTATTGTTCCACAATGGGCGGTGAATGTCCCGCATGTGTAATCGAAGCACTTGGATTCGAACGGCGCAGAATATTCCATCAGAAACGTTAATACCATCATTAACCCCTGTAATTCGAGGTAATAATACCCATATATCCATCTATACAACTCCAAGCATTTCTTTTCCCCTTCTACTCCACTCCTCAGTCCCGACCCAACACCCCCCCAACACCCCCAAACCAAGCCCCCTCAAAACCACGAAAACCCAATCCGATCCGCAAAATCCACATTCTCCTCCACACACTCGATCCGCTTCCCCGCCGTCCCAAACAACCGATCCCACAACAGCGTCTGCTTCCCATAATTCTTCGTCTTCCGATACCCCATCCGATGATGAATATCATGGTCCTCAACCGTCAACTCACACCCAAACAGGCCCAGAATCTTCGTGTGCACGCTCACCGTCGTCGTGTACACGCGCACGCCCGAGTGGCCCATGACCTCCGAAAAGGCCACGTACTGGTGGCACATCCACCAGTCGTAGAAGTTCATGGGCAGGCCGAGCAGCCTCATGGTGGCGTAGGTGAGCAGGGGGATGCCGATGATGTCGAAGATTTCTTGCTCCGTGTCGGCGTAGATGGTGAGGAGTGGGTTGGGGTGCTTGGTGAGGTGGTGGGTGCGGTGGTATTTCCAGAGGAAGGAGACGTCGTGCATTGCGCGGTGGTACCAGTAGAACCAGAAGTCGAGGATGACCTGTGCGAGATCTGTTAGGGCTGGCCATGCTTCTCTCTGTATTCCCTGTATGGAATTATGGTACTTACCCCGTAGAGTCCGATCTCAATCGGGGTCCACCATGTCATGTCGGTCGGCACCTGGCTGGAGCGCCATCCTAGGAACGTACACATCACGGGCCTGAGGAACGCGACAGAGAGCAACGACTGCACCACGCCACGCACGCTATGATCCGGTACCTCGTCCCTCCTGTGAACCTCGCCATCAAGATGACCATAGGCATTGCCCATCCTCCGCAACGCATTAATCTGATGAATCGCATTCACCGTAAACGCCGTACTATACAGCGCAACCGCGGCAGCAGGATGGATATTATGCCCCGTGTAATTGACGTACAGCTGGTGGACAACGAGCGGCCATAGAGCGTGGAGGATGATCCAGATATGGCTCGAGGTTTGGGTGACATAGGGCATCTTGTCCGTCTTCTTGTGCACGGGGGGCTCGGTACCGACATCGGTAGGGTGGACGTGTATGATGTCGAGGAACCACATCCAGAAGTTCCATTCGGACTTGTCCTTTGTGCGCCATGTCGACTTCATGGAGTCTTTGGCGTTGCGTTGAGCGACGACCATGTTGACGGTTGATACAGGGAAAAATTAACCAAGACCTCCGTCTGTCACCAATCCCGATCTCGAAGGGGTCACATCTTATCATATATCAATCATATTTGACGTCCCCCGACACCACCACCCACGTGTGGTCCCACTTCCAAGTGTCAAACATGTCAGCTCTTGTAGGCTCGGAGCATGTGAAGGTGGAAATTGTTGGGACCACAAATGTGGAGCTGACCTTTTCTTCTAAGCTTGCGAGACTTGACATATAACGGCGATGAAGTGTTTCACAAATTTTGGTGAGAGGTTCTGTGCCGAGGTGCATCATATCCGGTCCACACTTGATGAGCACCGACCCAAATGCAAGCCGAGCTATTTTTAAGGTCCCGTTTCTCAGACGCCAAAGACGATGAAATGGTGCAATGTGGCCCGTGATCAGAGCTTAGTCCCGGACATGTGAAAGCGCGGCCTGGCTGTAGCGACATTGTTACCGTGATGATAGGTAGATGCTTAATTAACCGAAGATTGGTATTACAATACCAGGCAGTCCGAGGCAAGAACACGGGATGAAGGAGTAAACGCAGGTAAGCAATCGATCATCGCTTCATATTAGGCTCCATGCACTATCGACCGGGTAAATGCATTTGTATACAACATGGCTGTCACCCGCTCCAACCTGACCTCATAGTACAATGTATATGCAAGAAGACTGGACTCGTCGATGATAAAGCGCGCCGAGCGACATTCAAATCGCTCATCATCATCGTCCTCAATAACATCGAACATCATTAGAAGAGGAGGGGAGCTAAATCTCATCAGCAGACGCAGCAGCTATGCACGCTTGTGCTGCTTCAAATATCCAGCAAAACCATATGATATGGCAAGGAAAGAGAAATAGAAGCCCAAACGCTTAGATGACCAGTGACATAGGGAAGGTTTGGTTGTTGGGTATCATTACGTTCTCGGTTTATCGCGAGCTGTCAATCGAACCTTGTTGACGCGCAGGCGGACTTTGTGGCCGGCTCCAGAAATCCATGCTAACGATTACGTCTTCTCCGACCTCGTCTTCATGGGCGTAGAGAATCTACACTAAGTTAGCCAGTGACTTCCAAGAGGATCGTCAAATGTGACACCACAGACCTCTCTGGTGGAATAATGCAGCATCCTAATGTTCTTCGCCGTCACTATGTGCACCAGCGCACCACTCTCCAAATGCCGTATCTCAATAAAACTAGGCTCGAAAGCCAGGATGTAGGAACCGAAAATGGCAAAGGCTTGCGGATTGCCCTCCCATACGATCTGCCAATCTGGTCGAGTGCGCCAGCCATTGCGATTCACGAAGAATGAGTAGTCCATGTAGGACAACAAGAATTCACTCTGTAGCCTTTCAATGTGGATCGGTTTCATGTTCTCTCGTTGAGAAACAAAGTCAAGCGATGTGTCTGCTTGATCCAGTAGAGACTGGGTCTCCAATGTTTCAAGACTGACGACTTCAAAGCCACGAGCGCAGCCAATACACAGCTTTGATCGCAAGAAGTGAATGGAACTGGCTTCCGAGGGGATGTAAAGCTCCTTGTACGGCTTAAGAACATCTTGACCACCCGTTAGCATCTTGGCAAACCCAGACTTCTTTTGCTTCTTTATCATGTTCTCCATTGGTTCGTAGACCTTGACTGTCGTCGAAAGAGCTGAGGTTCTGACACAGCATACGAGCTGTGCGCCGTTGCATACACCAATCTTAAAGAGGTTGGCATGGCAAATCTTTCGTGCGCGCTTATTCAATGCATCGTCGGATTCGAGCGCGTCCGTGGAATACGAATACAAGGTCTTGTCACTCAATACCAGAAGAATCGAGTAGTTCTCCAGGACGTCTATCTGCGTGACAGATTTGCAGTCCAAGACACGTCGCGGCTTGAATGATGCATCTTTGGGCTTGCGGTCTGAAACGTAAATGCCGAAATCGGTCCCGTACACCAGTTTTCGGCCGCCATCTAATTGAGGTAAGTATATATCAAACATGTTGTCGGTGACTCTCCTACCTATAGGCACACAGCAGTTCACTCTGTTCGTCGAGTTGAAGAAGCCTTCATTCAGTTTCAAGTGCACATAAATGTTGCTTCGTTCCCTGACATTACGTTGTTGTGCTTCGATATGTTCCATCCACTTTTGCTGCTGGATCTGACTGCTGCAGTACAGTGTGATGTCATATCCGCCTTTGCCAAGATGTTTGAAAGTGATTGGGAAACCTTGCTGCTTTGCATCTGGTCTCTGGCCTGTCATAGTATTGGTACGAGTACCTGGGATGAGACTAGAAGATGGGCGTTTCGCAATGCCTATTTTGGGAAGGAACTCCTCCATTTGACCAATGACCAAAAGCTCGAGAGGGATCGGTTTGCGGTGTACGCGTTGTTCTTCTCTCTTATTGACGGTTTTGACCTTGACAAGAAGGACGGCGTGGTCGAAGAGGTAGGCCGCAATGTCTCCTTGGGCGTCTGTCGGACTGCGCTTCAGTTGGGCCTTGAATACAATTCGACGATTCTCCTCTGTGAGCTTGAGATCTACGAATTCGCCGTTGCGCCACTTGAGATCTCGGCTGAGCTGCATCAAGTTGAAGTGATTTTCTGCCTTCCCTGATTCGGTGTTGACCTTGGACAGGAAATCCCTGATCATGGCTATGGCCTTTGGAATATCTTGCTTGTCTGGATTGTCATCTGCAGTGTATTTCGCGACGTTCTCCAGTAGTAGCGGGTATCTTGCCAACCTCGTTGTGGGCTTAGTGAGGTAGCCATTGAGTTCTAGTTTGCGTGATTCCTTCATTCGTTCGACTTCATCCACAAATTTGGAGAAGTGAACATTTGTCCGTTTTTCGTGCTCAAATTCGTACTTTCCAAAAAGTTGGTTTGCACCATACTTGATGAAAGGACTGAAGTGAGGAACATAGTCCAGGAAAATGTCACCTACATTTCGAACGACAGGGCTCTGTTGCTGACGGCGTGTCAGAGATTCCGCCATGCGCGAGTTGACCATGTAGACTTCCTGACAGTTCGAGAAGACAGTTCGCACAAACTTCTCTCTGCGATGCTCTGGTACAGGAGACGTGGCTGGATTTCGAAGAGGTTTCATCCAGAAGTCCCTAAGGTATTCCAAATCCTTGACAAAGTCACGTTCGGTGTACATAATCTCGGAAATGACTTCTTGGCGTTTCTTTTCCTTGTCGTCGATGCTGTCTGCAACCTCCTTCGATACAGTATTGATCCAAAGTTTTTGCTCATCATTTGCATCTTCGTGTAGACTGGCACTGGAATCCTCTTTCCTCAATCCTGGCAACGGTTTCATGTTCAAACGAGCCTGCTGCTCGAGTCGTCTTGGGCATGCGATCGAGTAACAGAGCTGATCACGAGTACATGTCGGCGAATAGCACTCAGTGAGCAAAGTGAACACTCCATTGACGTCTGTGTCGTCCTCGATGACGGTTTCGCGAAACTCGTAGATCTCGTTACTGGAATCTCGTAGCCTGTGTGCATAAGTGACATCGTGAAAGAACTTTTGCGCATCGAGCGATCGGCCTAGCAGTAAGGCAAGATTTCGGTCGGTAGTCTTGATAATGTAAGATATCAAGTCAACAGCCTCGGCGCCAGTGAAACCATTTTTGTAGACAAGACCGTCCTTCTCCTGGTCGTTCACCCCAATGCGATCGCGAAAAGTCTGGGCGACTCTAGATAATAGCGCGGGGTATACTAGAGGTGACCGTCTTTGGGACACCATCAATGCCTGTGAGTTTGTCTTTGAGCCCGATGGTCGAGATGTCATGGTGTCAGTTCTGTCTCCTATAGTCGAGGCCATCGACATGGTACGCGAAGGCGGTATGCTACTTTGGCTGGGAGACCGGACCTTGACAGTTGAAGTCGAAGATGCACTCCACGTGCTTGATTGGTCCTGCTGCTCCACTGGGTAGTCGTCCGTATTGCTGGATTCCCGTCTTCTGGTCGGTATGATGCGTCCACTGTTCGTCTGCTGCACGGCATTGTTTGCCTCCCGGCCGTACGAACTCATGGACATGGTCCGTTCATCCTCTGGACGCTGTGGTATGACTCGACCATACTGCGTTGTGCTCGCCGTGTGGTTCATGTATGGGGCTTGACGGAAGGCATTTGCAGGTGCCATTGGGCCTTGATACGGGGGGCGCTGGCCGGTCGCCAAGGATTGTGTCCTGAACCCATCATTGCTCATTGCTGGAGCTGGAGGGCCGCCAGGATACCTGTTGGGCATTGGCTTAGTGCTGGAAGTTAGTGAAGGGGCACGTTCATCTAGGCGCTGTGGTTGACCATATGGTCGGCGATCTGTCCGAATAGGCTGTGGGTATTGCTGTTGCGCAGGTGGTGCTCGTTGTTGCATCGAATGTGCTTGAATCATGTGTGGGCGTTGCGATGGATGATTGAACGTATTTGTCTGCGCACGACTGAAATTTGGAGCTGCATGATGCTGCTGGTGGTTACTCTGCTGTTGTGGTGGATACCCGTTCGACATCGGGGGCATGGGCTGTCGGGCGGGGGGTGCTCGTGGCATCATATCTGCGGTCATAGTTCGCGACCTTCCATCTTGCGACATCTGTGGTCCACCCATAGTCTGAGCCCTTCCTGGTGGAGGTGCTCCGAATATGTTTGCGTACGCGGCATCTCGTTGGTGATTCGAGGTGTGGCCATGGTTTGGCGGTCGGCCGTAGTCTCTCCCTTGCTGAGAGCTAAAGTCTGCCATAGAAGTCCGTCCGTCTGCCGACAGGATGTTCAAAAACCAAACATTCGTGAGTATGGGATGTTGATATCCTAGGAGTTACCCAACACTTCTCGTTGTGGTTGTGCGTGAACTTCGGCTCGGTCGATCGGGCTTAAGGAGGTGCTCTTCGTCCTTGGAAACCTCGAGCGCTACAGCTCCGGTTTTGAGTGGTGTGATTCTCGTGTGTCTTTTCCAGGGATGAGCGAGGCCTGGATGCGAATCTTGACGTCTGCCCGCTCGAAGATAGTGGCTAGGTCGGGAGAGTCCACCACTGATGTCAGGCAAGATGTCCGTGGAGTTGTTGAGGACGGGAGAGGGCGGGAGAAGGTAGAGAATACGAAGGCCTCGGGAAGTCACTCTGCTCAAGGCCAAAGTAACAAGAACGAAAGGGCTCAATCCCGGGCAAATGAAGTGCAGGAGTTGGATGTGGATCTCTGGCGTGGAGAAGTGAGAGAGTTGCGGATTCTCAGTTCTCATCGGAGCTTCCTTGGCGCGCTACCCACTAGCGCCTTTTGCTGCAGTCGGCACTCACTGGGGGATTGCGAGATGCACAGGTCATGAAGTGCGTCTCTACAATTTACAACCTCACACTGCCCTTCACCACTACGAACAATCGTCTTCATCATCTACGACTCGTCACCGCCTCTCACTATATATTTGATCTTATCTGCTGCTTAGAGCAGTTCTGAACTGCAAGATGGAGTCAGAGCTGACCCCCAAGTTCGCGCCCTTCATTGGCATGGTTAGTCCATTCCGAGCAACGCATCCTCCAGTATATCGCTAACATTGTGTAGGCTGGCATTGCAGGAGCTGTAAGTCGATTCACTACACGTAGCACAGGAGTCTACCGATACTGAGCCTTCTGCGTACAGATGATCTTCGGCTGTATGTACAAGCAATAGAACGACATACCTGGGTGCTTTTCTAACGAACGACAACAACACAGGCGCAGGAGCTGCATTTGGCACAGCAAAGTCGGGTATTGGCATTGCTGGTGTTGGAACCTTCCGGTCGGACCTCATCATGAAGGTGTGCAATATCTACCCTACCTGCATCCCAAGCTCATGAAAGCAGTCCTTGATCCCCGTCGTCATGTCCGGTATCATCGCCGTATATGCCCTTGTCATCGCAGTCCTTATTGCATCCGATGTAATGGCTCCTCCCGCAAAATACTCATTGTTTAGTGCATTCATGCATCTTGCTGCAGGACTGTCGGTGGGCCTAAGTGGACTGGCTGCAGGATACTCGATAGGGATTGTAGGCGACATGGTAGGTTGCGCACAACACATGGACGGGGGCTCAGCTGATCCAGACCAGGGAGTGCGATCGTACATGCAGCAGTCAAGAATCTTTGTTGGCATGGTACTGATACTTATTTTTGGCGAAGTTTTGGGTCTCTACGGGTATGGTCCCACAGCAGTCCTACCACTATCTCTAGTCGTACTGTGCTAACATTGTTACAGGTTGATCGTTGGACTTATCCTGAACACGCGCGCCAGAGGTTGAGAAGTGTACGCTGGCGCGGGCATCATCATTGCGAAGAGGACACAATAGCAATACTTGTACAATACATAAGAAGACTATTTGGTGTAATGTGCTGGGACAGCGCTCGATCTGCGTGGGATCCGTGGCGCTTCTGAGTTGACAGGCCGCATGATCGATATCGACGTTGAACAAAGCGGAAGACGTGTGTTCATATGTCAGATCAAGCCTGCCTCGACCATGTATGTTGTTAATGCCGGTACGTACGGACTTGGGAGTAGAGTACGTCTACGTGTATAGTTGCTTGCTTCAGCGTGTCTCATATATGTTATGCTTGAGTGTATGATACAGACAAGGCCTGGTACGTCTCGTCGGAGAATAGTGCACGGATCATACTCTCGCGATGCACAGTGAAATCGGGAACAGCATAATATCCTTTTTGACAGCCTCCTGGACCTGGACTTCTAGCATCAAAGCTGACATCTACTCCTACATCGAGATGCACCCGACATGCCAGCACGACAGAGTCACATGTTGCGAAAGTGGACTGACGAACAGATACAACCCATGCCTTGCATATCGCATTCCAATGAGCACTCTCTTCTAGACGCCGACCTTGAACGACCGAGCCGCTAATCAATTAGATGAAAGAGGCTGGGAGTGGTGGTATTGTCACCAGCCTCATCAGCAGCGTATCGGCTGTAGAGACCAATGGGATGAAGACCAAATGAAGTCTGCAGCAGACAGTTTCACATCTTTGGCCCAATCTACCTCCTACTAACTGACATTGACACTGACACTGACACTGACACTTGACATTCACACTGAACACTGGCCGTAGGGGGACAAATGGAATGGATTATCTCCACTTAGGTAATGCAGGCACGGCGCCACCGGCTTCGTCATAGGCAAAGAGTAGTTTAGGTCGTAGTTCCCGAGCTGGCATTTCCCTCCCGTTTTTGGACTTCAGCCCCTCCAATCGATGAACCCCGAGCTGTTCCAATTTAGATGACTGCTCACTCTCTTCACTACCCTCACGCTTCTTCGCGACCGGGTCCGGTCTGAAAATAAACGGCCCAATCTCGCGTCCAAGTCCAAGAGAAAGCTGCTCCATCTACTCTTTTCCGTCTCGGAGAATGATCCAGACACCAGCGCGCGCATCGTCTTTCGCATGAAAGACGAGCTACCACCACCACCATGGCTGCAACTGCGATCAAGAACCACCTCCCGTCTGCCCTCCTCCCACATCATCGCGAGTCTTCACCACCCAAAGACGACCCAAAACCCCTTCAGAAACAGTCCACACAGGAGATACACGAGGAGCGGGAGCAAGAGAAGCGGCTTGTATCACAATGGGAAGACCACAAGCTGGCACTGAGTCCTTCTCAAGTCTCCCAGGCTCCGTCGCAGAAGCAGGTCGGCCAATCGCAAAGACACCTGCGCTGTGAGGACTTTGACTTGGTCAAGACGCTCGGGACAGGTACGGTGTTGTCGCGAACTGCCTCCCCAGGCGATCGGACCACCTAACGTACTGCTAGGAACATTTGCCCGAGTATGGCTTGCACGGCTTGCGAATGCGAAGAGAGAAGATCGCGACAAAGTGTTTGCGCTCAAGATTCTACGGAAAGTGGATGGTATGGCTGTCCTAACCACTACATGCACTTATCCGAGGCCTTGCAGTTGCTGACATGTGCAGTAATCCGCCTCAAACAGGTCGAACATGTGCGCAATGAGCGCAATGTACTTGCTGTGGTTGCTGGCCATCCGTTCATAACGACCATGGTCGCAAGTTTTCAAGACCAAGACTCCCTATACATACTTGTGCGTTATCCGACACGTTGCGGATAAGGACGAGAGTGCCAAGACTGACAATTATAGCTCGATTATTGCCCTGGAGGCGAGGTTTTCAGTTATCTTCGACGAGCTCGGCGTTTTAATGAGCATACTTCACAATTTTACGCGGCCGAGATTGTATTAGTCCTAGAGTTCCTGCACGAGCACGAAGGTGTAGCATATCGCGATCTCAAGCCGGAGAATATCCTGATAGACGCCGAAGGCCACCTCAAACTGGTCGATTTCGGATTTGCAAAGAAGGTCGATGACAGTACGTTATGCACACTCAGTGATTATTCCATGATAGATTTCTGCGACTTTGCATCAAACATTTCACCCTGCTGACACGAGTCCCAGGAGAAACATACACGCTTTGCGGGACCCCTGAATACCTCGCCCCTGAAGTAATCCGCAACACCGGCCACGGCTGCGCCGTCGACTGGTGGGCCTTTGGCATCCTCGTCTATGAATTCCTTGTCGGCCAGCCGCCCTTCTGGGATCAGAACCCGATGAAGATCTACGAGCAAATCGTCGCCGGCCACGTGCGCTACCCATCCGCCATGTCTCCCGACGCACGCTCGCTGATCGCCGGCCTCTGCACCGTCGACGTCTCGAAGCGCCTCGGAAATATCAAGGGCGGCGCCAAGACCGTAAAGCAACATCCCTGGTTTAAGGGCACCGATTGGGATGCCCTCTATCATCGTCGCGTTCAGGGCCCTATTGTACCACATCTCAGAGGTCCTGCTGATACGAGAAATTTTGACGAGTATGACCCCGAGCCTGAGGGTCGGGAACCTTATACCGAGGAGCTGAGACAGCGGTGGGACGCCTCGTTTGCGGACTTCTGATGGGCTTTTATCATACGTTTTTTGAGGCTCAAATGTTTTCACCAACATTTTTCCTTGGCTCGATTTGAAGCTGGGGCATCAGGCATTCCTCCCTTTGGTTCGATGGGACACATTCTCCAAGAAAGGGGGCTCTCTTTTTTGTTTTGGCACAGCGTAGTCAGTGAATGCATGACAACGCTCATAGTTTTGTTTGTTTTGTTCCGATAATGGTCTCTGTGGCATGTAAAGGGCAAAGGGTTGGTTCATATCACGAGTTTGAGAACTGAACTGAATGCACATCGCGGATGGGGGGCATGTGTGGCTGTATGACCAGAATACGAATGGCATCACGGGACGAACCCGCCCTCTTGTTCTTGTTCCAAAAAGAAAAGATGATATGCTTTCTAATATGCTTTTTACTTGCCGTTCGATTCCATTCCCCCCAAAGTTTCAATCATTTCCAATCCATTCCAGCCATCAGCCCGCACGTGTCCACTCCTTATTAAACGCCCGCCCAATCACCATCCGCCGCACCTCACTCGTGCCAGCACCAATCTCATACAGCTTCGCGTCGCGCAAGATACGCCCGGCGGGGACCTCATTCATATAGCCCATCCCGCCCATAAGCTGGATAGCATCAAGCGCCACCTCCGTCGCGCGCTCCGCCGAATACAAGATTGCGCCTGCGCAGTCCTGCGTGCGGACCTCTCCATCCCCACCAGCCGCCGCACTCTTGTCCACGGCCGCGGCAACACTCATTGTGAACGCCTGGCTGGCGCGATACTTGGTGTACATGTCCGCGAGACGGGCCTGGACGAGCTGGTTATGGGCGACGGGGATGCCGAACTGGATGCGCTGGTGGGTGTAGGGGAGGACGAGGTCGAGGGCGGCTTGCATGAGGCCGAGGGGCCCGGCGGAGAGGACGAGGCGTTCGAGGTCGAGGCCGTGCATGAGGACTTTGACGCCTTTGTTGAGGGGCCCGAGGGTGTCGGAGGTGGGGACGAAGACGTTGTCGAGGATGAGCTCGCCCGTGTTGGAGCCGCGCATGCCGAGCTTGTCGAGCTTGGTGGCGACGGAGAAGCCGGGTGTGGAGGTGTTGAGGATGAAGGCTGTGATGCCGTTTTTGCCGGCTTCGGGGGTGGTTTTGGCGTAGATTATTATGTGGTGTGCGTCGGGGCCCTGGGAGGTGGAAAAGGGGGTTAGTTGGGGTTGGGGATAGATAGGGGGAGAGGGGGGGGAGGTACGTTTGTGATCCACATCTTTGTGCCGTTGAGGAGGTAGCCGCCGTCGACTGCCTTTGCTGTGGTCTTCATGCTGACGACGTCGGAGCCGGCGGAGTGTTCGGACATGGCCAGCGCGCCGATCTTCTCGCCGGATATGAGGCCGGGCAGGTATTTCTCTTTCTGGGCTTGCGAGCCGTTGAGGACGAGCTGGTTTATGCATAATTGCGAGTGTGCGGCGTAGGAGAGGGCGATGCTACCTGGAGAGCAAGTCTGTTAGAAGGAGTGCGATGGTATTAGTCAATGGCCATACCTGATGCTCGCGATAGCTCTTCCATGACGATGCAGTGTGCCTGGTACCCCATTGCTAGCCCTCCATAGTCTGCGTCGGCAGTGATTCCGAGAAATCTGCATTTCTTGTCAGGGACTCCTTCAACATAACAGCTGATTCAGCGGTATGGGATGCCCACCCTGCATCTCCAAACTTCTTCCACATCTCGTTGGGAAACTCATTGGTCTGATCGACTTTCTGGGCGAATTCGGGGGTGATCTCGCGCCCTGGAGGATTAGGTCAGTACAGGTACGACACAGGCCGGATTACTACTTACTACAGAACTCCTGAACAGACTCTCGCAGCTCGATCAAGTCGTCGTTGCTCGGCGCGACGAAACCCTTGGAATGCTTCGACGAGGCCGCTCTCCGCGCATTCAGCGGGGTCAGACTGGCTCGCGGCTTGCAGATCTGGCGAAGATTGCGCGAGAGCAAGCGCGGAACAAAGGACGACGACATCGCGAGAGGACCTGAAGTGAATTACAAGAAAAAGATGAGGATGTTGAGCCGCTTGCCAGGAGACAGCGGGTTAAGAAGCGCGGAAACATAACACACGACAGGACCGACGTCAACCGGGACCCGCACCTTGACTAGCGCTTCCCCACATTTTCCCCAGCTCGGGGGCTGAGCCGACGGTAGCCGCGATGTTTGGACCCTGGCGCGGGTACAACGTAACTAACGTCTTGTCACTTTGACTTGTGTCTTGACTTCGTCTCGTTAAATGCTCACACTTCGCCCAAGCTAATACTCTTGCAATCAATCTACACGTCTCTGCAATGGTTGCCAAAGCTCCGTCCAAGGAGGTGCTGAGCCTCCTCCGCCGCTCTACAATCTCGTCGCCGTCGAGACGCGCGCTATGCCCTCACATCACTACCCCCGTTGGTCCCCGCATACAAGTAGCATCAGTTGCTCGCCGCACCGTTGCTACGCATACGTACTCGCACCATGCCCACGCCATATCGACCCTACCCAACACGGTAGACACCTCGTCGGCCGAGTTCAAGGAAAACAAGGCAACAATGGAGGAATTGACAGCCAACCTAGCCGACTTGCACGCCAAGGTCGCGCAGGGCGGCTCTGCAAAAGCACGAGAGAAGCACGTCGCGCGAGGCAAGATGCTGCCCAGAGATCGAGTCACGGTGCTGATCGATCCGGGGACGTCGTTTCTGGAGCTCTCGGCCATGGCGGGCCATGAGCTGTATCCGGGCGAGGAGGTGCCGTCGGGCGGCATCATCACGGGCATCGGCACGGTCGAGGGCGTGATGTGCATGATTGTAGCCAACGACAGCACCGTCAAGGGCGGCACGTACTACCCCATCACCGTCAAGAAACATCTCCGCGCCCAGACCATCGCGCAGGAGAACCGCCTGCCGTGTATCTATCTCGTCGACTCGGGCGGCGCAAACCTGCCTCACCAGGCCGACGTCTTCCCAGACAAGGAGCACTTTGGCCGCATCTTCTACAACCAGGCCCGCAGTACGTACTTGCTGAGATCTTGTTCCATCATACACGCTCTAACCACCCAACAGTGTCCGCCCAAGGCATCCCCCAAATCTCCATCGTCATGGGCCCCTGCACCGCCGGCGGCGCCTACGTGCCCAGCATGTCGGACGAATCCATCATCGTCGCCAACCAAGGCCACATCTTCCTCGCCGGACCGCCCCTCGTCAAAGCCGCAACCGGCGAAATCATCTCCGCCGAAGACCTCGGCGGCGGCGCCCTACACACCAGCACCTCCGGCGTAGCAGACTACCTCGCCGTCGACGACGCCCACGCCCTCGTCCTCGCCCGCCGCTCCATCAGCAACCTCAACTGGCCCAAACCCATCCCATCCCCACCCACCCCGCAAGACCCCCTCTACCCACCCTCCGACCTCGCCGGCATAGTCGGCACCAACCCACGCCGCCAAATCGCCATGCACGACGTCATATCCCGCATCGTCGACCGCTCCGCCCTCGCCGAATTCAAGCCCTCCTACGGCTCCACCCTCATCACCGGCTTCGCCTCCATCCACGCCCACAAAGTCGGCATCCTCGCGAACAACGGCATCCTCTTCTCCGAAGCCAGCCTCAAGGCAACCCACTTCATCCAGCTCTGCACCGCCCGCAACATCCCCCTCGTCTTCCTGCAGAACATCTCCGGCTTCATGGTCGGTGCGGCCGCGGAGGCGGGCGGCATTGCGAAGAACGGCGCGAAGCTCGTCACGGCGGTCGCCTGTGCGGATGTGCCTAAATTCACGGTTGTGGTGGGGAGTAGTGCCGGTGCGGGCAACTACGGGATGTGTGGACGGGCGTACGGGCCGCGCTTCCTGTGGACGTGGCCGAATGCGCGGACGGGCGTGATGGGCGCGGAGCAGTTGGGTAGTGTGATGCGGGCGGTTGGGAAGGGTGGGGAGGAGGTGCGGGGGTTGGAGGAGAGGGTGGAGAGGGAGAGTAGGGCGTTGTTTGGGAGTGCGAGGGGTTGGGATGATGGGGTTATTCCGCCGGAGCATACGAGGAGGGTTTTGGGCATGGGGCTGCAGGCTGCGTGTGGGGTTGTTGGGCAGAGGGATGGTGAGGATACGCGGTTTGGGGTGTTTAGGATGTAGGATGTAGGAGAAAGGGGGTTCAAAGGGGGGGAGGTGGATGGATGGATGGAATGGATAAAAAGGAAAGGACTGATGTTGTTCTATTCCCGTGCCGGTTGGTATCACGTCTGTTCTGCTATGCACTGCTCTGCTCTGCTCTGCTCTGCTCTCTGCTGTCCTGCCTGTCCTTGTCGTGTCCCGTACCGTCCATGTACCCATCGATTACAAATATATCCCATCCCAGCCGTGCAGGAAACACACGCACGCAAGTCACGCCTCCAACGCCCTGCAATGACAATGACAATGAGAACAATACAAGCATAATCCCATTAACCCCAGTCCGCCGTCTCGACACACATCGACATGCCCACCAGAAGACCCACACTCAACTCGCGCTCGAATCGCCCTTATCATGCCCAGTCTCATGCCCAGTCGTGGTCGTGGTGCTACTGCTCTCAGCGCCCTCCTCGACCAGCTTCTTGAGCGCGCTGCTCTTCTTATCCCTGCCCATGCCGGCCTTGCCTTTGCCCTTGAAGCTGTCCGACTGCGCGGCAAAGTCCTTCCATTTGCGCCAGCCGTCAAAGTCGATGAGAGCCTGCATGCAGCCCCACTCCTTGATCTTCTGCTCGAGCCAGAGGAAGTTGACGGGCTGTAGGTTTATGTTAGCTTGGCTCTACAGAGGAGGGAGAAAGAACGGAGGGAGGCAAGAAAGGGTAGTGGTTTACTTTGGTCAGGAAATCGTTGCAGCCGGCGGCCAGGGCCTCGTGTCGATCACTCTGCAACGAGCTGGCCGTCAGCGCGACGATGATGACAGGACTCTTGAAGAGACCGCCGTCGCCCAATCGGTCTGCCTCGACGAGCTCGCCCCTCTCGCCCTCGGGCCCCATCGTCGGCGCTACGCTGCTCGCGCTGCTGAACACGCCTATGCTATTCACGCGCTCCAGCCGCCGAATCTCCTTTGTCGCTTCCAGGCCATTCATGATCGGCAATTGGATGTCCATGAGCACGAGATGGAAGCCACCGGCACGCCATTTGGTGACTGCCTCCCGCCCGTTCATGGCGCGCTGCCAGCGTACTTTCAGGCGCTCCATGAACGCGCCCAGAACTCGCAAATTGATCATGTTGTCTTCCACAATCAGCACGTTGATGGGCGGGACGGCATTGTCGAGGAGGCCGGAGCTCAGCGAGTGGGAGCCGTCGACGCCATCTTTGCCTGCCTTTGTACGCTTGCGGCCTTTCATGCCGGGCCTGGGCGACGAAACTCGTGGAATGGGAGGTGTGGACGCAGCGGGCTTGACGGGCTCGACAGGTGCGGGCGGCGTGGGAAGGGGTTGGGCTGTCGCAGGGGCAGCGTGTTGCATGGCATCGGAGTGGGAAGAGTCGTGGCGTTGGCCGCGAGGGCGGATTGAGCTGTTGCTGATTGCGTTTGCGGCCATAGTTGTAGGTGAAGAGGTGTGATGGCGGCCAATCTTGGGACGGTGGGAGTGGGTTCTCTTGCGCTCGCCCCCTGGTGATGGGAGAGGGGGAAGATAGCCAGTGCCTAGGACTGTCATGGATCGTTCAGGGTGCGAGGACCTGCTCTCGTGGGAGACAGTGGATCCGCCTGCTGGCGATGGTATGAGCACTGGAGGCATAGGCGGAAAGTATTCTCCTCCATTCTCCAGCGGACGTGCCGTCTCTTGGTCATAGTATCCGTGATGCGACGCTACTCGCGGCGACGGCTTTGGGGTTCTTTTGTGGGGCACATCGATTATCAGCGCCTCTTCGACAGTCTGGCCGCCTGGAAACGTCGCATCCAGCACTCTGCATATCTCTTCCTCCGGACCCAGAGTTCTATCCTGTGACTTCTGATTGTGTTCTCGTGGCAGGATGCGCAGAGTGACGTCTGGTGAATCGAAGCTTCTACCCAGCGAGTTGGCATACTTTCTCAATATCATGTCCCGCACGTCATCGACCAGGTCATCAGTCTTGATCTGCACCAGTGTTGCTGAGGCATGGGGCCGCTTAACCCATATCTTGCGATGCGTCGGGGTCATGGCGGTTGGGACGGACGGCGAGGGCTCTTGTAGCGTGACGACTGGAGTGATCTCACGAGTCTCAGACGTGACGTTGGACTCGCTGGAGAGTTGCAAGTCGCTAACAGGAGTGCTATCGTCGTGGTGACGGGCGTGCAGGTCTGTTGAGCTCAAGCTCCCAGGAGCGCTCGGCGGGAGGAGGATCTGGCTGTCGACAACGGTCTCGGCAGAGGGATGTCGCAGCTCATGCTCAAGCAGAAGCGAGACGGCAGGCTTCTGCTTGTCGAGATTGGAGTGGCTGGAGTCGCTGGCCGAGTCTCCTGTCGGCCTTGTTGTGATGGCAGAAGAGAGCTTTCCCATGGAGGCTGAAGGCCGAAGTTGAGGCAGGATGGCGGCGGCCTTAGGCAGCTTGCTTTCCGCCGCCGGGGCCACAGACGAGCGCCTCAGTAGGCGGATCCTCGCGTTGTGGAAGCGCGTCTTGAAATCAGGCATGCTCCATTGATGAATGACAAAGGAAGCGTAAAAGCCGGAAATGAGATGAGATGAGATGCAGGAATGAAGAGGGAGAGATAGAGTTGTAGAGTAGTGTGTGTGTGTGTGTGGCGGCCAGCAGCAACAGCAGCAGCAATAGCAAGCATCAACAGCTAATACACTGCTATTACAGGTTTATTACTATCACTATTACATGGATACACTTCACTCTGCCAACCTTCTCCTACACAGTCACAGTAACTTAATTACAGGGAATCGGCTCCCACAATCGTCGATCCACCCACAACTCAATCGTGCATCTCCATCTTCCCACATCACCGTCTCCATAACAAGACCGACTTATCCCACTTGGCACTCTTCCCGGACATCTACTGTCCAATCGGATTTCTTCCACGCCCGCATCTTCTCCTCCATCTCCATCTCGCCATCGTGAAATGCTCTGACCATCGGTGGTACTCGTTGACGCGACGCGGCCCGTGTTTCTGTCTGACTAATCACGCTATGTGAACTTAATACACTACAATTGTTGTCTATATCGAGCGGTATACTACATACTCTATCATAAGATTCAGTTTACTTGTTCGCAAGCTGTCACTGCTAATTATCTTATAGTCTGACGGCTTCATAGACATTGCCACTAACAATACTACTACCAGCGCCACGTCTAAGCATACATCGATGTTCGGGGAGATATCCTCAGTACTAAGCGCTCCCTCCTATAGGTCCAACTTCACAACCCAATATCTGCATCTACATCTACATCAAACCCGTTCCACGTCTCCGTCTGAAAGTCTTGCACTAAATGCTCCCACTCACCCCAATTCAACGGCGTCGTCGCCGGTCCAGACGACATATCCATATATCCTCCAGCATCACCACTACCACCAAATGATGGCGTGCTAATCGCCGCCGCATCGAGCCCAGTAAACACATCTGACGGTGTTGTCTCTATTGTGGCTGGTGTCTGCATGGTGGCTGGCGTTTGATAGAAATTGTTGCCGAGCTCGATCGATGTGTGCTGCTGCGCCATGTACGCGCTCGACGGATACTGCTCTGTAGTAGTCGAGCCAAAGAAGTCTGGATATGCTTCGACATGCGTCTCCGTAGCTACCTTTGACGGTGACTCTGCGCTCTTCGCCCTCGCTGCGTGTCGTCGTTGTGATCTCAAGTCGAGAATGTATCGTGGCGGGCCGTTACCACTTCCCACTATGGTATACGCATCACGCCCGTTTGCTGCTTCAAAGGCCGCCCATGCCTGCAATGTCAGACCGCCCACTGCAACATGCAGCGCCCGTTTTGTCTGTGCGATTATCTCGGGATGCAGACTGTATGACACTCCAATCGCCCTCCATGCCTTGTTGACATCTTCGCCGCTTGTTCGTTGTCGCAACTCGCCGAGCAGGTAGATGAACGGCTGCCATTGGAATTGTCGCACCACATGCCACCGGAACCTCTCAATGATCGGTGATTGCTGAATCAGCGTGTCATATTCCACAATCTGGATCGCAATAAGAAATTGCGTCTCCTCGCTCAGGCCTGCGCCGCGTGGCGACTCTTGCGGCCCTTCACCGTTCTGCCCGAGGCGGTGCGCACGAAGAAAGGTCATAAACCGCATCTTTGCCATGACCGAACGCACAACAGCAAACGCGAGGAAATGCACCGGAACTGACATGTCGGCATGGCGAAGGTACTTCCGCTCAAACATATCCTCGAGTTCATCAATCGAAAGCTGCTTCTCCTCTTTCGACACATTCGCTGACATGAGACTGACCCACGCACCATGGTATGCCGATGCAGGCGTCCGTTTCCTCAGCCAGTCGCCAATCTCATACCGCACGCGAGGAAATATCATCTCAGTCGGTCCCACGCTTTCAAGAGGCGGCTCTTGCATGTTCGGATTCAACGCAGTGTCTTCGATGTTGAGCGGCATGAGCGTGTCCCAGAGCAGAGTCGCCCCTCCACAGCCTGCCATTTCGCCTGCGCGCGCATCTTGTATCACCATCTCCCACCAAAGCCTTCGACGCAGTTCAGTCTGGAAAATGGAGAGTCCGAGCTTGCTTCCATCACGATGCAGTCCCATCCTCTGCCCGATGCGAACGGCTATGCCCGTCAATGCCCAGAAAGATTTGGGATCCCATTGGCCGTGCATCGCAAACTATGCCAGCTCGTCAGCCTCGTCATGCGCCATCGTATCTGCATCATGAAGCCATACTTACTAAGAAGATTTGGAACGCTTGCAGCGTCACGAGTTCCGAGGTCCGCAAAAGGCCTGCATTGGCCAAAGCCTGCTGCACTGCGAACCGATATCTCGTCTGAAGTACTGATTTAGGCTCGCCGGTCATATACTCGCACTCTTCATTCGACAATGACACGATAGCAGCAAAGTATACCACAAACATCAGTGCCTCTGTACTTTTCGTTAGATTGATCAGGTTAGACGTAGCTTCTAGGATAGTTTGTTGAGCGGTAGGCACATGAAGGACCTTGACCATAGGATTCACGTTTTCTAAGAATTTCTGCCATAGCTGAAATATCACCACCGGCGACGGATGCAATGCCGTCAAGCTGATCGCTTGTCGTCGATGCCGTAATAACCAGTCTGATGCGTCGGGCGAAACACTTCCAGGTGTATCAAAAGGCAGATCATCGCTCTCCGACTCCGTTGATTCTTCGAGAATCTCCTTTGAGTACTCCTGACCTACATCTGCGTACAGCTGATTGGCGAGATATCGAGTATTGTCTTTGTCCCCAATCACCATACCGTACTCCAGACCAGGAGAATCCAAGTCCGTATCGGGTGTTTTCTCGCCCGCCAAAGTGACATTTCCCAGGCGTGCGGTCGCAGTGCCCGAGTCTCCCTGTTCGGAGCTTTGCTGCTCATCGCCATCAAGACGCACCCCAAGTCTCGTCAATAGCTCTTCATACCGTTTCAGCTTCAACACCAGGTCTGTCTCCGGCGGCTTCTCGCCTCTTTTCCGGCGGCGCGGCGGTGCAGGCGCTATATATACGCATTCAACCCGAGCCTTTGTACAATTCGTGCAGCCACCTACGAGACGATCGCAACGGACCTTGCGCCGCGAGCAGAGCACGCACGCGTACGGCTTCACAGACGTTGGCCCCGAAGGCCTCCTGCCATCATCTGTCGGGGCAGCCGTCTGTCGATCCCGTGCTGACATCTCGAGGATATAGATACGTCTTAATCCACTGTGTGGAAGGTCTGAATAGAGAGGCTCCTGTCAAGCACATGCAGATTGCAGAGAGCGCATGGCGGTTTGAGAGTCCGCTGGTCCGGTTCGGTGCTAGACACCTAGATTGAAACCTTCTGCTAGGGCTTGAGAGCTGATTGTAGCCAGCTACATGGTTACGACGGCGATACGAGGGCGGTAGAGAGCATAGTCATCGCTCTAGCGTGCCCAGCTGTGTATAAGCCGCTCGCTAATCGTAGATACCGTAGCATACTAGGTGAAGGATTCGACCGTTTGATGAGGGGCCATTGTTGGTCCGTTGGTTGGTGTTGGCTCCTAATTTGGTGCTTGTGCGCCTTGATCCATGGATCTGGATCCACGTGTCCGTATCAGGTAAAGGCAAGGCGTGGCCGGACGCACAGTCGGGTCAGGGTAGAAGAAACTGCTAATATTTAGCCTAATCTTTGCAACAGACATGCATATTGCGATGATGCACGACATGCGAATATGTGCAAGTACATGTTTGAAACATGTGTATGCACGTACTTCCGAGGTGCTGACTGACGATTCGTACAAAGGACAAATTTGCCATGCTACATCTAATCCCAATACCTCCTCCTGTAAGGCATCTCGGATCTATCATCATCTCTACGCCAGAACGATCTAACAAAGGACACTAAGCATGGCTGCCAATTGAAGATGATATATCAAACTCTTTAGATGGCCATCACATGCACTACTACCTTACAGACGATCACTCCTCGATGACCATGACCAAGTTGACATTGCTCAGGCACGAGGATGCACATGTACAGACATGACTGTGCTATGTTGACAGTTTATTCTGATTTCATATTCCCCATCGATTCCTCGCCCCGCGAGAAATAGCCCTCACAGTGTACGAGGCAGGCATGTCGACAGTGTCAGCAACCGTTATGAAATACCTAGGTGTATTGATGCCATGGCGGCGAAAAGGGGTATAGTGTAACTAAATGAAGTTCTAGAGTACAAATCAAAGAAAACGAAAACTAAAAGTCACCCATACGAACAGACAGGGTCAACCGCGACAAGCACATCGTTGTCACATGCCATCAATTCATCAAAGATCATCTCCAACGAGCCAGTCTCCCTCAAAGATGCCCGAAACTCTTGCCATCAAAGGTGCCTTCATCGCGCTTCACTTCATACTCCGGCATCTCACTTGCCTTAAGGTGCTGTGGCAGAATGTCGCGGCAGGTAATTGCAAATCGCCGAATGCCTTTGTTTTCTACGCTGTGTTCATAGTACTCTTGAATAGCTTCGCCGTGCATGATGACGATATCACCATGGTTGAGGCAAAGCTTGATGATAGGCTTCGCGTTGGGTATCTTCTCTTTGGTCAAACCAAGCTCTTCCGGAATCTCTGCCAAGCGATCTTGCACCACTTTACTGACAGCAGGCGTCTTGCGCGGGTTTTTCGATGCCGACGCAGGTGGAGGGTTCTCTTTGACAAGTCGCTCGAGCTCGGCATTTATAGCAAGGCGTTCTTCGTATTTAAAACAGCCTGGGATGGGAGCCATCGTTTGGTAGCGTCCGACTTCGCTCTTAAGCCCGCTGTAGTGCTTATACTTCATCCGAAGTGTCATGGAGCCAGGCGAGCCGAGTGACAGTGTGGCGATGGATGGTCCCAGACCGGTTTCTCCGTCGTCATGGTACGATATGTGCGAGCCTTCGAAGTAGCCAAGTACTAGAGATTCATTAAAGTCATTGTGATCTGCTTCTGGGAAGGCTTGCTTCATAGCCCAATTTAGCAGTGTACGAGAGTTCCGGACGGCGGTCGGTGCAGCATCAAACGATAAGTTTGTCGCCTTGCCATCGAATTTGTATGGCATGCCATAGTTGACCGAGAACTGTGCGCAGAGAGTTCCTCCTTTCTGCAATCCTTTGCTCAGTGTGCGGCGTTCTAGAACCAAAGCTTTATGTTGCATCTCATCGAACATATGGTCAGCACCGGCATCCATGGCATTTGCAGCTGTGTTTGCTTTGAAGTGTGCAATCTGCCCACCATCAGTACCAGGAATTGTCAAGATACTGACTTCATAGTTGCCAATCGTCCGTGTCTTCTGGAGTACGGCACTATTTATCTTGTTCGGGAACACGATTTGGCTGGTTGACAAGCTTTTAGCATTCAAGATCGTGGTCCTCAAACTGTATGTGAGCCCACAGCCATCGTTGTGGCATTCCCAGGTTGTCCACTTAATTCGGGAGTTACACATACCACAGCGCGGACAAACGAATCCCTTCCAGGCATCCTTAGATGTATCCCTTCCGGACATGTCACCTTCCTCAATCGTCATCAACGCTGGGCGTAGAGGAGGAAGAGCCTTACTGCTGGTGTCCCAAGCGGTGTACTGGTGCAAGAAACGTTTGTCATAGACCAGCTCACTCTCGTTGGGCTCGGCACCATTGGGCAATCTCCAGAAATTGGCACAAACAGCTTGAAGGCACATCCACCCCTGAACGTAGATCCGCAAGCTTAGATCTCCGCACATTGGACATTTCTTTTTTACAGCGGGTCCGTCGCCTCCCAGTCTGCTCTGTGATTGTCCTTTTGTACCCCACCATGATTCAGCGAGGGGATCGAAGACCTCGAATCGGTATCTCCAAATGACGAGGCCATCACTCTTCTCAGTCCACGCATGGGTGGGCTTGAAATATCCCAGTACATTGTAGTTATGAGGAAGTGATGCAGGCGCCTTTTTTGCATTGATACCAAGGGTGATCACGACGGCAATCTGCGCTCTGATATTGTGCTCGACAGCTTTAACACGGCAATCCCGGGGACGGTCTGCTGTTAAGACCATTTCGCCAGAATTCTTGTCGGGCTTTAAGCCACCTCCAGCTCGGGAGATGATGACGGCATCATCAATATAATCCCTTACGTGGTCATTACCGTCGAACATGAAGCCAAAAGCTGTCCCTTTAGAAGTGTATGTACCACCTTGATGGGCTCGAAAGTATGGAACGGCTGAACAGAGATCTTGCCTTCCATTGGCCCAGACAGGTGGTGAGCCTCTTGGTTCGGGCTTTGCTTGAGGAATTGTGACAGATGATGCGGGCACTAGGCGTTTTGAACCTCTCTTCTTCGCAGGAGGTTTCTCCTTTGATGGCTTCGATTTCTTCTGCCGCTGCTTTGATCCCATTGCACAGTCAGAATCTACGTCTCCGTAGAAATCGCTGTCACTAATTACAGACCAGTCTAGAGCTATTGGTGTACCGTGAGCTTGTGAACTGACAATTGTCTTGGTGGTCTTCGGAATCTCTTTCTTCCAGATAGAAGCTTGCTTTTTGGACCCAACAAATTTCGTAGACGCTTTGCGTTTTCTCTTCTGTTGAACTGGTGTTTTCTCCACCACAATTTCGAGATCGCTTGGAACGTTGTCACTTAGGCCTGATGGCCATGGCGACAGGGACGAGCTCATCGCCCGGGACCTCTGTTGAACCGATGTTTTCTTCACCTCGATTTCAAGATCGCTGGGGACATTGTCACTCAAATCCGATGGCCATGGCGAAAGGGGCGGACTCATCACTTGAGACCTATCTATAACAGGGCTCATCACTTGAGACCTATCTATGACAGGGCTCATCACTTGAGACCTATCTATAACAGGCTCTTTCGTCATATTCTCCTTTCGTTTCGCAGATCTAAGGATGCTCTTGTTGATAGCTGGTACGAATTCAAGAGAAGTGTTTTGCTGGGTAGAATTAGATCCATTCGACGACAAGGATGAGAGGAGAAGACTTACTAGCGGTTCATCAAGCTGAGAAGTACTGGCAACGAGGTCTTGTGCTACTGAGGATTGCCGAATCGTTTCATCGGCAGTGAAATTGAGGTTCTCTGCAAGAGGGTCTTGCCCGAGAGCGGGCTTTCCAGGTTGCTCTCCATTCTCTCCGTGTTCCATTAGTATAAGAGACGTGGATATAGTGGCTGAGTTTGGGTTCCTGCAAAAACTAGAGCTAAAGACACTGCTCTGCGGCGTTGAATCTGATGATGACGTGGCACTTTGTGTGGCTCGAGAGTTGTCAGATACCGCCGGAGCCTTGTTTCTTGTTGCAGTTAAAGGAGTGGAGTAAGAAGCACAAGACTTTGTCGCTACTCTCCCAGAACGACGAAACTGTGGACCGCTTTCCAAAAGCTTCGTATCATGCGAATTATCTGGTATTTCATGGTATGCTATCAGAATCTCTCGTCTTTCTGTGGGTGTAAAATTGCTCAACGATAGTAACATACGGATATTTTGTTCAGTCATTTTTGCTAAGGAGAAGTTGGCATGACTGTGCAGAATTGAATATTTGAGAGGAAATGATGGAGAGTTTGACGTTTGTCTAAGTGCAAGGAAAAGAAGATCTTGAACAGCAGGTAGATTGATCAGGTTTCTGACGCTCGAACGTGGAAGATAGCGTTCAAAGGTCGCAGAAATGTGTAGAAACTCAAAGTGGAGATCACCAGATGAGAGACAGAACCCAAAGGCAAGGTCGGTGTGCGGCTTGGAAATTTCCGCGCCTCTGTTTCAACCTGAGAGGCGTGAAGCAGTCGGCAAAACTCGGACTCGGGCGAGTAACACAACACGGAATTCTGTTATTTCGATTGAAGCCGTCAAACGCCTCCTTCGACTAGACTTGTGCGGTAGAGACAGCTGTGAAGCATTGAACAACAGGTCTGACACAAGCAAGGTTGCAAGCGAGAAAAGGCTGAGAGCATCGCTTGAGGTATCGCCAAAACGACCTAATTCATTAGTCCATGAAACCGTGAGCTTCGTTTGGGGTTGTCAAAGATAGCTTAGGTAGATGAAGCTCAATGGATCCGGATTTACGGACGCTTCTTGCCGATCACTTGGACCCTTGTTAGCCATTCCTTCACTGATCACGCAAAGTCGCCCAAATCACTTTCCATCACCTTTACTATCGTGATTATATATACAATAGATCACCAGTTCTTGTTTCCTCTACACTACTACGAGTCTAATGACTCTCCAAGATACCCTATCCCTTCGTTCTATAGCGCGCAACTTCGCTTGGGAGACCTGAAGCACACTGAGAAGCAATTGAGCCATGTTTGGCTCTCAGGGTTTAATTCTACTGGCTTTGGGATATGTAGCTGCCAGTAATGGTATACGTAATGGTTCCAAGTTGTTCCAGACGCACCCATACTAGAACAGGCCCCGATCTATGTTCGAACGTCGTCAACGGTGTGGGACCTGGACCAGCTGCAACGTCAACACTCAGCTAACTCATCTCATTGAGCTGGTCTCTCACTTCACCGGCAAGTGATCAGACTCCTTACATGGGGCTTGAGCGTCTATTGAGAGCTCGGTTCCCGCCTCGTTTTTCCGATGCTGACACAATTATCATGATAACTGTCCCAGTTATCACGTCTTCACGCTCTTTCAGGGAATGTAGCAATGAAGGATGAGTCTTTTCAGCCTTCTGCTAACCCGAATGGTCACAAAATTGTACTTGCCTTCTGTAGAGTACTGCATATTCTCCAACTTCTGGGTGCTCATAATGACACGTCGCTGTCATATATGAGCAAGAGATTCGTCAACTTTAATCCTAGCGGGTCATTAAACAATCCCTCTACTTCTTACGAGTACCATTAATACCTTAAACTTTCTAGAAGCTCCAATTTCCTCTCCAAGGACCTTGTCAGCAAAGTTAGGCTATGCTGTCACTGCTCCGTTTGCTAAGGTCTTGATGTTTCACAAGAAAAGATCATAGGGCATAGCTGCCTAGGCTATCCCTTGATCATAGACCTGGTGAAGGCGCCTTTGCAGGTCCTATAGTAGTCTAGTCTCGATGTACAATAACAAGTGAGTTTTCACCGACTAACTAGCGATTCGATGGGCTACCGTGATCATTCAATCCTCACCAGAGACCGACCTTCATACTTAGGTTTGTATATGTTCATGGTATTTCTGTATTAGAGAGTGTTCTGGTTCAGGTCTTTCATGACTTATCTATGTGCTCAATCCTCCCTCCTTCGAGGTGGAGCTACATAGATCTTTTTGAACAGGAACTGTACTATTTTGGTAAGGTTTTGCGTGTGTTTAATCATTTCATTCACAATTGCAGCCTTGGACAAGATGCTGGTGGGTGCGCTTCACTTCTCTTGTGGAGGACGACAACTGATCTCACAATCTTATAGATACACCAGAAAGATAGGTTGTATCCAGCCCCAATTGTGTCTATGCTGCACTGCTTCACTAGACGAGTGTACTCAACCACATGGTCGTCAGTCTGAAGCGGCCTGGAGGTTGACGGCGATCAGTCTGACACGGCTATATTGTCAGAAATTCTCAAGATTTTTACCTCTTGGTTTAGAATCCTATGCAACTTGTGTTAAGATACTGATATGAGATCTCAGGAACGTCGAAATGGAGGACAGGGCCCAAAAATCAGATAATGTGGCATAGATTTCATGATGGTAAGAGCGATTGCTGTCAGGTTTTGAGAAACTCAGGGCTGACAAATATAGCTATCATTGATTATCACAAGCATCGCAAGCATCACAACGACAAACATAACAAAGGCCTGATCAAACAGATTGAGCAAGCGAATACGAGTCCTGCAGATGCAATGAGCTTCCTAGGAGACATTGCGGTTGGACTTCACGGCTAAATGGAATCACAACAAGCTTCGTACATTGTCATTCGTGGAGCACACTGCCAACCTCCCTATGAGACAGATTCCGTACTCTCGGATACACTTATACAATCCGTCACGAATCAGTTTGAAACAGACATACCCAAGTATGAATATAACAATTTAGTACAACATATTGTAAAGAAAATAGTCAGATCGGGGCTTCTGATCAAGTAGGATGATGACAACGTACTGGATGGTGGTACCACAAGCTCCATGCGGGTCCTATCAGACAACTCAGAACGCGCTGGTGCGAAGGGCCTTGAGCAAATTGGAGAGTACAGAGGATGTCAATCAGGTTATGGAGACATTGGAATGAATATGGTCACAGAAATAACACGAAAGAAGTAATTTTGATTTGTATACGCAGGGGAGGGTAGCCTGAGGAGCAGAATCAACAGATGAAGTCGTACATAGAGAATTGATGAGTTGATCGAAGCAAAACGTTGTTACTTGGAATGGAAGCACATTTTGACATCCTGTGTCGTGTTAATTAATACATGGAACATTTTGAGTGTACAATTTCCCCGGCAATGACTCAATACTGTGACCGGTGACGGGCGAAGAGGGATATATCTAAAATCATGAACCAGGAGACGAACACAGATGAAACTGTTTCTGCCTGGTCGAGCGCGATCAGAAGTTTAAGGACGAAATGAACAGCCGATGCTATAGCAAACGGCAAAATGTCAATCGCATTGATAACATCCATGAAAGAAGTCATGTCAACATTCTCTGAGTCCTACTATCGATCTCGATGACAAAGTACAACAGTCGATCATCCAATGGCGACAAGTAAGCTAGAACTAGCCACGATAAGGGATGCTTGTAGGCGAAAAAATACGTATAGCACTGATTATTGGTCACAGATGCAGTACTCTCTCTCGCTGATACTCGGAGAAAGGTCTAGTCAAAGCAAAGTTGCGGCCTCAGGCAATTTCTCGCACGTGTCGTTCAGCGCGCTACCACGTGAAGGTGGCGCAGACGTCACCCGCGTTCGAGACAATGACAGCTATACACTCCTCCCTTCTACCTCAGTCTTGTCGATTTTTGCATCCTTCCTACACCCACTCTGTCACGACATCACAATGGCCGGTCCAAAGTATCAAAACGTCCCACAGCGCGACTCGTTCGACAACCCGCAGTACTCGCAAGCCCCGCCTTCGTATGAGCAGGCAGAGACCTCCACCAACGAGGCCCTCCTCGGAGGCGCTCCTCGTGGGGAGGATGACAACCTTCCCGACGACTTCAAGGTCAGTACAACATGCTGTCTCGAGCTCTCGTCTAGTATGCGAACGCTAACGGATCGACACAGTTCGGCGGCGTCGTCAGCGAAGCAACGCTCGATATCCGCATGCAATTTGTTCGCAAAGTCTATGCCATTCTGTAAGCCTTAGCAGTCTTTCACTTCAGAGCGTGTCTCACGAAATTATAGCACCGTCCAGCTTCTCGCTACCGTCGCCCTGAGTGCCGTGTCTTTTGTCAGCCCTACATACAAAAACTGGATCCAGAGTAATCAATGGATGATGTGGCTATCGCTCTTCGGAGCTATTGGCTTTATGCTGCTCACATTCTGGAAACGGAAGTCATACCCAACGAACTTGCTGTTCCTCGGAGGATTTACGGCCCTCGAGGCATACTCGATCTCCGTCATTACGTCCTTTTACGATGCCAAGATCGTTCTCGAAGCCTTAATCTTCACGGTCGCGATATTTGTCGCTTTGACGCTGTTCGCCTGCCAAACCAAATACGACTTTACCAACTGGATGCCTTACCTGTTCGGCGGCCTCTGGGTTTTGATCATCTTTGGTTTCATGGCCGCATTTTTCCCGTACAACTCCAAGGTCGAGCTTGGCTACGGAGTTATTGCAGCTTTGATCTTCAGTGGATACATACTCGTCGACACCCAACTCATCATGCGTCATTATCACGTCGAAGAGGAAATTGCGGCTGCCATCTCTCTTTACCTGGATATCATCAATCTTTTCCTTGCTATTCTGCGCATTCTCAATAGCCAGAACAATAACTGATTCTAGCCGGGCTTTTCATCTTACGAGAGGGATGAATGGTAAGCATGGTACGTATCGCGGGTTGGCAACGAAGGTCGAATTGGCTGGATCGCTCTGGAGAATCCCAGTGCGTTGAATCTTATGTACCTGTTTCCTTCGAACCTTGATTAGCGTTGTAATGCGATATCTGCTCTCTGCTATTATTCTTGTTCAAATGCACACAAAACGCTTCACGAAAACAGTAGAACATGACAAATTGAAGAATCATTGGATCGTCTGACTATACGAAAGGGCAAAAGTACTCCTCAGCCCACGTGCACCTCCCATAAATTCATGTACTTGTGACAATGCAGCTGATATGTTGACGTTGTTAATATAAGAGCTACTACAGAAATCATAAATGCAAAGAGATCATCACTCGAGCCCATCGTACGCCAGCAAGACTCGCTTCCACTTATAGTTATTACCAGTAATGTAACATGATTTAGTACGAAATTAAGTTGCTTTACATAGGCAATGTTGACCTACCACTGCTGTAAGCCAAAGCAGCCTTGATTCCAAGGCTACTGGCGCGGGTACGATGACAGGTAGGAGAATGCCTCCACTGACACTTGATCACTGTCAAAATACCTTCATTCGCCATAAATGCACTGACATCACTAGATAATCCTGCAGCTTTTCATTAAATAACCAAAGCCACGAAGCCGCGCTGAGACAAAGCTCGTCGTTCGTGACTGGCGTGAGGGAAGGGAACAGGGCTTGACCCCTATTCTTGACCATATATCACGCTAGACAGAATACACTGATAGAGAGTAGGACAAAAGGTTGTAATCTAAGTTGTGTTTGACCTTCAACAGTACTGAAGAGGCTGCATCCCATTTTGGTGATATGGTAGAAAGTACGCTTAAGAAATGGTCAAGTATTATGAGCTCTTGACACAGTACTTAGGCGATGTGTTCTGACACTTTCTTGGAGAGATAGAAGAGCGAGCCCGGATTGTGAGGTGCTCTATAGGTTCAAAGGGTGACTGGAAAGCTGATACAGTCTCACAGAAACTATAGTCTGGTCAAATTGGCTGGATACTTGGCCGTTGAACTGGAAAAGTGGTTGATTGGAGTCGTGCTCCCGTGTATCATAGCAGGGAGGTGATGGCGAAGATCATGGGTTCGATAAAGCTGAATATAACTTCGTCTCAGGTTTCAAGAGATCGAAGCTTCGATCAAGAGACAGATTCTGGGCAATGCTTGATGCTTGGGAAGCATGAAAAGATATCGCGCGGCCAAGACAAGGGGCTCGTGATATTCATCCGGACCCTGATTGTACTCTGATCAGCACAAGTTATCGGGCTATTTTTCTCAGACACTGATAACTGCTGCCTGCTACATGACTTACACATGCTCAGGCTTATTTCAATCGAAGCGCGCAGATCCTACATGCGCAATTCCTTAGTTCTGTGGTTCTAATAGCAAGGGCGAGCGGATGTTGAATAAAAGCATCATTCCAAACTGAGTACCATCTTGGGCGTATTGTTGTGTAATATTTCTCCATAGTTTCTCAGTAAGGTGAAATTTCTCGAAGCTACATGTCTTGATTCCTACAGATTTTGAAGTTACCTCTGTCGCAATCGCCCGAGACCATCATCTTTATGTCTGACGACATGACGTAACATCAATTTCGATTATCATTGCTCCATTCATAGTTTCTGGTGGGAGATAGCCTGTGGATTTTGTATTTACCTAGAAGGAGGAGGTCCAAGTCTACAAGATAAGGCTGTATGACATGAAGGCTGTTAATAATTACTATTTGCCATCCCTACAGGGGCTAATACTAACTAATGATCAATATTGAACACGATAAGCTTGCCAATGCATTATGGAGTTTATGAGCGCTCAGTACAGGTCGTAAGATGTATTCTTATGTTCATCGAGTCCATGTTCTAATTTTCATTCCTGGAGTTCTTCAGAGCTGTCTCCAGTACTAGGTTCACTCCGTGTGACACTCGTTTGTCCAGCATATTATTGAAACTACAACCCATCCTCTTACGAGATAATGGAAGCATGATGAAGCTCAGGACCTCTCGGTACACATGTTTGATAGCTGGTATATAGGGACAGATACGTCTCATTGCCGAGTCAAATTTTCCGTCACCTTATAGCCGTCAGGGTCATGACATTCAAGATAGAAAGCGAATTCAGTAAACTACAGATCTCTTTCCGCAACCATCACTTATTGTAACAGGCCAAGCTCAACGTTCGTGTGTGTCAGTTGTTCCAACGCTGGGTCGATCTTCAAGCATGACTTTGCATACTCGTCAAGATCTCATGAGAACGTAATGTTAGCCAAACGTCATGCCACAAATTGGCCTATATTAGCGACTCAAAACAGCACTGGATTCCTCCATGGTAATCCTCCATGGTAATTTTTCAATCACAACGGCAGAGATGACATACACTAGATTGAGATATATCAGTGCCGCTCTGGTATCGACAGGACGAGATATAGAAACTTGAGCCGGGTAACTGGCTTATGAGTATTGTATTCGAAAGCCCTCGTATTGGAGGAAATTTATGCTTTTCCAAGGTTTGATGTATCTCAACATCAACTCCAGTGGACTTTGATGATGTTGTGTAGCACTACCTAATACAATATATCTGCGGGAAATTTGAAGCTTCCTGCTTTGCAAAGCAATTAAGCTGACCACTTTCATCTTCGATCGGAAGCCGTATTCCGGCGACTCCATAATCGTCTGCCTCCCCCAAGTAGCTATAAATAATCTCGAGCACCCCCACCGGTCCATTGATCCCAGGAAGAATGATTTCCTCATAGCACTCGATTCCAGTACCTATGAATCTCCTGGCTTTATTCTCGGAACTCAGAGTAAAGTAATCTCTATCTCTCGGGAAATGGTAGCCCTGTCCCTTCTTCGGTAATCTTCACTGGCTCCACCTTCATTGGTTCGTCGGAGCTGAAGCTCAGTTAGTCGATAGCGCTATGGTCGTGGATAGACTGGACTGTGCTGAAATCCACTTACCAATCCCTTTTCTTATAGGCAAGCACTGTATCATTGCCCTCAGCGACGGTAGTGCGTGCTACTGCAGCAAGAAGCACAGTGAGGGATAAGATGTACATCATCTCTTCGTAAATTGCTATTTGATACTAGTGTACTCTGTCGATCTTATGTCAGAATTATCCGCTAGTTGTTATTTGTGGCCAAAGATGTGGTAGCGATGTCTAGCATGATTTTAGGAGGCAATCACCGCCATTTCCTCCTTATACATTACTGTTATGATCTCATACTAGGCAGTACTTGTTCAGTGATGCGAGGAACAAAGCACTGCGTTGTTCCCAGTGTTTGAAAGCTCACAGAGTCAACAAAGAAGTTCAGCTGAGCGTTTGTTGTGCCTTGGGCTCGGCATGTCATCATCATAATGCATAGTCTCATTGTTCACTTCTGGTCACAAAGCTTATGTATAGTAGAAGCTACCTTTGTCAGGGACCCGGATCCACCTGTAACAGTGCTGTCAGCACGAGTGTCTTCTCAAGATAAAGCAGTGTGAGAGTCTGATTGGGGTAAACTTGCACGAATTTCTCATGTTCAAGTCACCATTGACCCCAATATATAAAACGTCTCCTGACACAGTAACATGGTCCTTGCATGCATGAATTGGCGAGCTTTCGGAAAATTATTCTCCGATTTCCCTGTTGATTAGTCCTGGGCCTCCGCTTCTATTGCACGCAAAAAAGAACTTGGGGATCGTTACGACTACCTAAGCTAAGACTGGTAAGGAATGTATCATATTGTCCCTAGTAAAATCGCTTATAGATTGTACACTCGCTCTTCTTGGCCAATACATGATGACAACACATTGAACAGAGCGAACCGCCTATTTTAAGGCGGTGTGTTTCAACGAAGTCGCGTTTAGGATTAGAATCTCCGAATGAGACTGTGAAGGTGACGTTAGGTTCCCTTCGACTGTATCCATACATAGACATCTCAGCCATAGAGGACATTAACGGGAAGGTCGTATTAGATCAAGCTGTCACACGACTGCTCATGTGCGACCTGTCTCAAGTAATGATATACTGACGACGGCTTGAAAGTATCAGGGTGACGCAAACGGCATTCAATATGAGCGGCTAGAAGTACATAAAAGCACGATCTTACTGATTCTTTGCTGCGCCTCTCATCACTCTTCTTACGCTGATTCTCCAATTTCTGACTTCTGACTTCTGACTTAACATCACTTTGGAAGACAAGTACACGAAGTACTTGATCGACTGGAATCACACACACATACGGAGGGGAACACTCACCTAATACCCCTTACATACGGACCAAAGATCAACAACATGCGCCTCAGTACAGTTGTCGCAGCTCTGGCTATCGCTCTTGTAGGAGCTGCTGAAAACCCCTTTGGTTATCATATTATCGAATATGATGACGACAAATGGTAAGATTCTTACCTCTATTGATAAGTACAAACGTACGACTAACACGCACCGATGGACAGCGAAGGAAAACTCATCAGTGTCAGCAGCGGGGTCGATGAAGTGATGCTTGATAGCCGCACCAAGTACTTTCGAGTGCGAACAAATGGTCCTGGATGGTGGATCGGTCACCCCTACAGCTGCGACTGCAAGGACTGTCTGTGGCAGTATCCTCACGTGGAGCGATACATGTCGGAAGCAGAGGCGAAGAGACAAGGTTTCGCCGACGCTCGTACATTCAACCGAGAGAAACAAGGTGCGGACACCTGTTTCACAAGACAAAATGCCATCTGGAATAAGGATGTTCAGTGTCTGCGACTTGGTGGCACCTAGCGACTCCAATAGCCAGGTGTCCATGGGCATACGTGGAGGCTTTGTTGATGGCGTAAGCGTTTTAAGGTCCTGTACTTGATTTTGGGACGACAATTTCTTCATCTTGTCTTCGACGAGGATTTTCGAGGCATAGAGGTTTCCATCTGATCATTGAGATGATTTCTTTTGTGGCAATGCCACATCCCGATGTATGGAGGTGGTCAACTAGCACGTGTGAATTCTACATAGGGATCAATCAAATTTGCAATCACGTTCGTACCTTTCGCGTGCGTTAACATATTGAACAATCCGGCATAATGGTATTGAAGAAAAGGACATCAGGGTAGGTTTGCGGTCAATCGATGTCATGGCAATGCCAAGACCACGACGCTTGGACCGCAGCGACGTGTGACTTCCGGCAACCAACTGCCACTTCTGAGTCTCTGACATTCTGTCCTCCCAGTCCTTCACGGATACACATACCGCTCTGCGAGAAGGCACACGCGCCTTGTCGAGTACCTTGTGCCTCTAATAATATTGTCCGCCCTCTCCTCACACTCATTAACAGCACCAGCGAGACTCGAGAAGGTAAGCGTCAGAAATATGCTCCGCAGGGTCCACTCTCTCCACCCCACTGTATAATTCTGCCTCTACAAAACGGGACGATCTAACACAACAACTAGGAACACACACACTCATTTTGCTACTATGGACTCGATGCGATCCCTCAACACTTCGTTGCCTTCGACAACATCACCGAAAAAACACAACCAACCTCCAGAACAACTTCTCCAAGCGTTCAGGGCTGCCGCACTTTCGGTCACAAATCTGTACAAAACTGCCGCTTCGGATCAGGCAGCAGCACATGAAGCCGGCTATCAAGACGCGGTCGAAGATCTCATAGCTTTCCTGGACAAAGAAAACCTAGGATCGGGAAGTACAGATGGTTCTAGGATAAGACAGTGGGCTACGGAACGCCTCGCTGGTTCCGCACCCCCTCAGAATAACAGCGAGAGCGATGAAGAGACGGAAGTAGAGAAACGAGCCCGTAGCTCTTCCCCAGTTCTGGAACGCAAGTCTGTTCAAGAGACGCAACAGACGCCTACAGCGCCGACGCCCATAGAGCGTCATGACTCGGCGCCCCCAGTATCGCCGGACGAGACAAGTCGATCGATACCCTCTGGGGAGTTTACTTTCCGATCAAGCCACCCTTTTCCAAGCACGAATGACGTTGATATGGAAACCACCGATAATAGCCAAAGCTCTACCACACAAGTACCCGCCATGCGACTCGAAATCCACCCACGAGGATCAAGAAACCCTCCCCGACATGGTAGTCGGAACCGCAACGCGAACTCTGCAAACCTGGGACATGGTGCCGGGATGAAAAGACGGCATCAACTCGAAGAGTTCTTCGACATTGGCAACTTCGGCAACGGCAAAGACCGATTTGGTGGCGGGGGCAAGAAAGGGCGCTTCTCATGAATGACATGTACGACTGATCCATGATGTTCTCGAATACCTGCATCGACAAAGGCGTTTATCACGGACCTCGGTCCACGATCGGAGACAGTTTTGAGACTTAGCAATGATGGGCTGCATGGCGCGGGGCCCTTTGACGATTTGTTTGCATTCGATCGGTATGAATAAACGCAGAGGACACGATATTGCGGCGGAGCAAAGGCGATGTCACGACATAGAATTATACCCTAGTTGAGCTTCATCCCGCATTTCTGTGCATAGCGGGTCTTGATACATATACAAATACAAATACATACGATGACCTCCCGACTGACTTCCTGGCTGGTCTTTTCCATGCTGTCCTCCCACTACCGCATATATACAATCCCACCACCCAGCCTTATTCTCCTATCCTCTTATCCTCCCCCCAACCTTCCTTCCTCATTTCCCCCATCCCCGATCCCATATCCCAAAATCACATTACCCACCGATACAGCCCCATCCCCACCAACATTGCCGAAATCCCCGTAATCCCACTCCGCCGCGCATGCACCCCAAACCGCGACGCACTCTTCGCTATCCGCCGCTCGTTCTCCGTTATCTGCCGCTGTCCTTCGTAGTATGTGTATGCGCCCAGTCCGACGAATGCGGCTGCGCCTGTGAGTGTGGGTGTGCTTGTGTCAGTTTTTGTTTCTTTCTTCGTTTTGGGGGAGGGAAGAGGAGTGAAGAGGAGGGGGAGAAGGATGGGATGGGATGGGATGGGAGGAAGGTTAGGAAGTTACACACCCATTACTCGGCATGGCATGCAGTCGTAGTCTGGCGGGAGGTCTGTGGCGGAGGCTTTTGGCGAGGGGACTTGTTCGAGGGGAGGGTAGGCTCTGTAGGGGTTGTATTTTGGTTTTTCGGGGGGTGGTGTTGTTTGGGAGGGGTCGGAGGAGGACATTGTTGAGGATAAGGTGTGCGTGGACTTGGGCTGGAGCTTTCGGGGCGGTTTTATTGGTGGTGGTGGTGGTGGTGGTGGTGGTGGTGTCTACGTTGTGCGTGCGAAGATGTTTTGTGAATTTGGGATTTTGGTATGGTGTTTTGGATAATAATTATGATATGGAAGGTGAGGCTGGAAAGGTGGAGGTATCAAGGATTCGCGTGCGGGATGAGAACTGCGCTACGAGCTATCAGACGGGAGCAAGGTTGTGGATGAGCAATCTTGAGATTGTAACTTGCTTACGGCGCATAGGCGTGAGCATCTAGATTCAAATATACAAGTGAGGTATGCCAAAGCTAATGTAACAATTGCGAGTCCAGCGCAGCATCTGCGCGAACATCTATCACGACCCAGAGTTTCTGGCCTTCTTGCGACTGCTCGTACTCTCTCGATCAGCAGGATCTCTCTTCCTCTTGCCTCCCTTCCCTCCCTTTGGAGGCTTGTAGGCAGCATCATCGTCTCCACCCTTGCTTTTTCGACCGCCTCGACCTGTGACAACAGGAGCCTCGATGAAGGCAGTTTCCTCATCGACATCTTCCTCCGGCTTCACTGAGCCCTTGGCCTCGCTCTTGCGCTTCCCGCGGGCAGCGCCCGTCGCTCGTGGTGCTGACTTCTCCGACGCGACTTCGTTGTCGGGCTTTGGGTCTTGGAGGAAGACCTGCGGCTGGTAGCGGCGCAGCCAGTTGTATGCACTATCAGGATTGGAAACGCTTACTTCCTTTTCCGACGGGATGGGGACTTTCGACACCATATGTATTGGACGTCCCCCTCTTTCGGACGATGACGACGGGTCGGCGAGAACAGAATCAAGCGCCATGAGATGCTCTTCCTCATGCGCAGGCGTCATGTAGCCTGGCAGTTCGTCTCCAAGCAGGTCCTCGGGCAGGTGCTCAGCGGGGTAATGCGTATGCGGTGTGTGTTCGAGCAGGTAGCTAAGGGATTTTGGCTTCAGTCGATCGGGTGCATCGCCGTTTGTTGTGCCGTTGCGCGATTTGCCTCTGCTCGCGTTGGGATCTTGTTCTGTCTCGAGTGAAGGCACGACTGATGCACTGGGCGAGGGAGAGCGAATATCGTAGTTGAAGTGTTGAGGCAGGCGTTTCTCTTCGTTGATGTCGAGGAGGAGTTCTTGGAGCTCACTGGTGGTGGTCAATAAATACCCTCTCCAAGTCCAGGACAGATGTAGCATACTCTATTTGCTCCTGTAGTCGACGCGCAAGGGCCATAGAACGGTGTTCTTCGCGAATGAGTTCATTGCTGGATTGCATTTCGTTCTTGAACATCCATCGTATCTTCTGGTATTTCCTTCTGCGAAGGGTCAGACCGGCACACTCTCGACACTCTCGACACTCTCTTGAAGCTTGCTTACCGTAGGGATTTCTGTGACTTGTTCGGATCCTGGGGTACTGACGGCGCGTTTGCAGGTGTCGCCGATAGAGATTCCTGGGCGGATGCCATTGTGGACAAGAAGTGCAGAGGAAAGGTGCGAGTTGCTGTAGATGGCGTGGACGAGGCTCCGTGTTCGAACAATGCCCTGAGCTGGACAGAGAGAGGCAGGGGAAGTTGCGGCGCGACGGAAACTAAATTCTTGGATGCCTCAGGCCGCAATAAACGGTATCTATCGTCGGCAGGCCTGGAACTTCGCCCGATGCGCGTCAATCAGCTGCTTTGAGAACGACGGGCAGCTTTTGTTGGCTCTCCGGCTTGTCTCGTGTCTCGTGGCCCAACTGTGTGTGACTTTATTCTTCTTGTGTTCCACAATTACCATCTTCTACATCAGCTTCATCAATCGACCTTCTTCTTGACGCTCGTTATTCCCTTCTCCATTTCCCCCCCTCTCTCCCTCTCTCTCTCCGCGGGCTGTTCGGAATCTGTCCACGCGGCATAAATAAGGTGAGTTCACTACGGGCCCTGAGTCACTACAGTTCACTTTGTCTGACGTACGTCTGCTCTCAGGTCATCGAAATATTCTCGCTGTTCACTCGACGTCTTGCCGCGCTACCGATCTCTCTACTTCTCCCGTCGTCACCCTCCGTCACGTATATTATATTTACTGGGCTGACCCTCACGGCCTTTCTACGCTCAACATCTCCCCCCCCGAACCACACCCATATATCACAACGATCACCCCACCTACAATCTCAAGATGCCTCTTGAACCAAGTGCTGTCAGAAGAAGACGCTCAAGTAGCCTGATCTACACGGAGCCAGCAGAGTCATTCGAGCAGCTGACCGACCAGTCCGCGCTCCCGAACCTCAATTCCCAATGGGTGAATGCCAAAGGTAGGCAGACTCATAAAAAAAACTAGTAGTGTACAAATCCAGCACAACAGAGCAAAAAGCATACTGACAAGGATATCTAGGCGCCTGGGTCATCCACTTTGTGCTCATCTTCGTGCTCAAGATCGTGTTCGACATCATGCCGTGGATCTCGCAGGAGACGTCCTGGACGATGACAAACATCACGTACATGTGCGGCTCGTACCTCATGTTCCACTACGTGCGCGGCGTGCCCTTTGACTTCAACGCCGGCGCCTACGACAACCTCAACATGTGGGAGCAGATCGACAATGGCGAGCAGTACACCCCCGCCAAGAAGTTCCTCCTCAGCGTCCCCATCATTCTCTTCCTCATCAGCACCCACTACACCCACTACGACCTCTCGTACTTTGTCATCAATCTCGTCGCCACTCTGACCGTCGTCATACCCAAGCTTCCGCAGGTGAGCCGCCCTTGCGTCCCTCCCCCCCGGCCCTTCACTCATGTAGAAATGCCTTTGCTAACTCAAACCCCGAATCATAGTTCCACCGCCTGCGCATAGGCCTCTTCACAGATCCACCAGAGGATCGCTGATTGTTCTCACGTCAGGTTTTGGTATCTGTTGGGCGTTGGGTCACTGTACATTTAGTCGCTACACTACACTGCACACACACACACACACACACACACACACACACACACACACACACACACACACACACACACACACACACACACACACACACACACACACACACA